GCATATGCATATATGCATATCATTATGTATAAAAATAATTATAATAATAATAAAAAAGAAACATATATTTAAAAAAAAAGAAGCCCGAGCCCGGCCCGAACCCGACAGCTGAGCGCCAAAATGAGACCCGAGCCCGGCCCGAACTTGGGTCGGGCCTCGGGCCTGCTCGGGCTCGGGCTGATCCCTGTTGGAGAAATGCCGGTGTCCAGTAGCAGCAGAAACACATCCATCCAAACAAACAAAACAAATAAATATATAATTCTGAAAGTAGCCAACAATAGTATTAAAATGCAGCATCACTTCAAGCCAGAGCAGCAGATGTAAAGTGATTCTGCGTAAAAACTGTTACAATAACCTACTGTCAGGGTAAAAATTATTCTTCTTGAGAATAATTATATCAGAATAATTATATCACAAATACGTACTATCACTAAGCGCCTTTGCGTACTTCATGTAACCCTGGGCATTTTTATCGTCTCCGTTTCTCTCATTTATTTTCATGCCGTCTCTTGTAAAGAATCTCGCGGTACTTGTCTTACTCCTGCGAGAGTTCCCACGGTCCCTGTGGCAACACTTCCTGAACTAAGTGCGCTCTATCAGCCGGTGGGTGTGTTGACGCGGGGAAAGCCTGAACCGAGCAAGATGCTACCTGCATTTTCTCTTTTTTCCGCGATCTAACTTTGTTTCACAATATACAGTGAGTAACTGATAAGCTTTTGCTACAGGCGCCTCCTACACTTCATGTGACGTACTGTAGATTAAGAGATTAAGATTAAGAGATCCTTTATTTGTCCCACAGTGGGGAAATTTCGGTGTTGCATCACAGGTTATAGGACAGTAGGAAAGATAAGCACACAGCACATGTTAACTGAAAAATAGCTGTACTAAACAAAATAAAAATAATCTAACTCTAGCATCAATAATAAATATAAAATCTCTATCTTGAAAATATAATAGATAATAATAAGATTATTATATATTATATAATAAGAGGCAAGTATAAAGTACTGTGTAATCTAGTACAAGTAAAGTGTAGTTATATGTTAGCATCTGTACATTAGCAGCAGTATGTTTACATCTGTACATTAGCAGCAGTATGTTTACATCTGTACAATAGCAGCAGTATGTTTACATCTGTACATTAGCAACAGTATGTTTACATCTGTACATTAGCAGCAGTATGTTTACATCTGTACAATAGCAGCAGTATGTTTACAACTGTACAATAGCAGCAGTATGTTTACAACTGTATATTGGCAGCTGTGTATTGTAAGGATATTGCAACGATGCGAGAATGACACTGGAATCAAGTTGGCAGTGTTCATTAGTCCTTATTGCTCCTTATTGTCCCTCTCTGTGATGCTGCTGTTCCAGCAGACCACACCGTACAAGAGGCTGATGCCACCACAGAGTCATAGAAGGTCTTCAGGAGTGGCCCCTGCACTCCAAAAGACCTGAGCCTCCTCAGCAGGTAGAGGCGACTCTGTCCCTTCTTGAAGAGGGCGTCTGTGTTATGAGTCCAGTCCAGTTTGTGGTTCAGATGAATACCCAGGTACTTGTAAGAGTCCACTCTCTCAATGTCCTTTCCCTGGATGTTCACTGGAGCTGGAGCGGCAGAGTGACGTCTGCGGAAATCCACCACCATCTCCTTGGTCTTCCCCGCGTTGATGAGGAGGTGGTTCATCTCCTTGGTCTTCCCCGCGTTGATGAGGAGGTGGTTCATCTCCTTGGTCTTCCCCGCGTTGATGAGGAGGTGGTTCATCTCCTTGGTCTTCCCCGCGTTGATGAGGAGGTGGTTCCGCTGACACCAGTCCACAAAGTTCTGTATAACTCCTCTGTACTCTGTGTCATCGTCCTCGGAGCTGAGTCCGATAATGGCAGAGTCGTCAGAGAACTTCTGTAGAACACAACCGTCCGTGTTGTGTCTGAAGTCCGCAGTGTACAGGGTGAAGAGGAACGGCGTGAGGACAGTTCCCTGGGGGGCCCCCACACTGCAGGTCAGGACCTCAGACACAAAGTCCCTGGTTCTCACAAACTAGGGTCTGTCTGTGAGGTAGTCCAGGATCCACTCAGACAGGTTGTAGTCCACTCCAGCTGTCTCCAGCTTGTCCCTGAGAAGCCTCGGCTGGATGGTGTTGAAGGCACTGTGCATGATCATACAGAGGAACTGCTGAGTCAACCTGTTTGGTTCTGCACGAGGCTAGTAGATAGCAATAGCTTTCACTGCTGGACTCTGGAGCCTTAAGGGAGTGCCCATGTCCTCCCTGTGTCTCTAAACTAAAGCTGTGGTACCTACATTTTCCCTTGCAATAATAATGCATAATAAAGATGGTTGTGCCTAAAAGAAAAATGTTGTGAACAAATCAAACAGAGAATTGTTTTGATTTTTGTTTTGTTTTGCATGTTTAAGAAAGAGCCCTGTAAGTCATTATTTGACTTGGATTGAGTGGATTATTTGAGCTGATCTAATCTATTAAAAAGAAGCAAGTATAAAATCTTGATTAAGAACAACGTGACAAATGGAGTTAGTACCAAACACCATCTCCTGGTTCTCATCTGAGAACCTCACTGAAAACGTTATGTGCACCCCTGATGATAAGAATAAAAAGTGTATAAGTGCTTGTAGAGTTACTTACAAATAAGTAACTTGGTTCTCTTTATCACAGACAGAACTTCACAAATATGCGCTACAATATCTTTCGGGCGGCGCGGTGGCTGAGTGGTTAGCACTCTCACTTCCCAGTAAGAAGGTCCTGGGTTAAAATCCCGGTCGGAATGAGGCCTTTCTGAGTGGAGTTTGCATGTTCTCCCTGTGTTTGCTCGGAAGTCTTCCGGGTGCTCCGGTTTCCACTACCACTAAAAACATGTACAATGTCTGTGCCTCCTGTACTGGCCCCGCTCCCAGCTCTGTGTGGAGTGAGAGACTAATGCCCACAAAAATATCTTGCACATTCTCACAATACTCTGGCCATTCTCTCAAACCATATTCAATGAGGGTGAAGTGTCTTGCCTGAGGACACAACTACAGTACTATTACAAGATATTCAAGGATAAGTTGTACGAGTTTAACCGGGTGCTACGTAGTACGAGAGAAAGGTATTTTTCTGAAATGATTGAAGGCTGCAACAATCTGCGTGTTCTGTTTTCAACAGTTAATAGATTAACAAACCCCCTGTTCAGATGCCATTAGAGCTAACTTCCAAACGTAAATGCAATGAGTTTGCACATTTTTTCAATGACAAGGTTCAAGGCATCAAAAACGCCATTGTCTCCAATCCACAGATAACAATCCAACAGCCATAAAGGCTCTCTGAGCTAACTGACTTTGCACCTGTAAATGATAAAACTGTCCAAGAGATAATCTCCAGTCTGAGCTCCTCCACATGCAGCCTGGATGTACTACCCACTAGATTTCTAAAGTCTGTTCTGAGCAGTCTGTTACCTTCACTCACACAGATAGTAAACATGTCCCTTCATTCTGGAATATTCCCAAAGGCCCTGAAAACTGCAGTCATCAGGCCCCTGCTAAAAAAGAGCAGTCTGGATGCTACGGTACTTAACAACTATCGTCCCATCTCAAATCTGCCATTTATGGGGAAAGTCCTTGAGAAAGTTGTCTACGAACAGCTTACTAGCTTTCTTATAATCAACAACTCATTTGATATGTTTCAGTCCGGCTTTAGACCCCACCACAGCACTGAGACTGCTCTCGTTAAGGTTACAAACGATATCTGGCTGAACACTGACGCAGGCAAAGTCTCAATCTTAATCTTGTTAGATCTGAGTGCTGCCTTTGACACCATCGACCATGAGATCCTCTTACAGAGACTAGAGGACTGGGTTGGCGTCACTGGCACCGCCCTAAGTTGGTTTAGGTCTTACCTTGAAGACAGGAAGTACTTTGTGGAGATTGGAAACTGTGTCTCAGATCATATGGCCCTGACCTGTGGAGTCCCACAGGGGTCGATCCTGGGACCTCTTCTGTTCAATCTCTACATGCTGCCGTTAGGTCAGTTAATACGCAGAAACGAAGTGTCCTATCATAACTATGCAGACGACACTCAGATCTATGTCTCACTGACTGCAGGAGAACATGGACCAGTGGACTCACTCCTTCACTGTATCCAACAGATCAGTGAGTGGATGCAAAACAACTTCCTTCAGCTAAACACAGACAAAACTGAAATGATTGTCTTTGGTCCCCAGAAACATTGGCCTTAAGGCCAGAAGGTCGTGGGTTCAATTCCCACCTCTGCACCTTCTCCACCGACTCCCACTGATGACTGCTGTCGTTGTGTCCTTGGGCAAGACACTTAACCCCACTTTGCCCAAAGCCCCCACTGAAAGATCAAGGCTATGCTCACACTCAGAGAGCAGCCGTCCTCCTGTGGACTCACCACCTGCAGAGGGTCAGTGAGGGGCTGGTGCTATGAGACTTGGGTGGCATCTCTGACTGCCACCCCCCTGACCCAGAAATGGATTAAAGGGTAGAAAATGGATGGATGGATGGATGTTAGTACCATATGAACCAGCCCGGACTCTGAGGAGCACAGGGACTGGACTCCTGCTGGGACTCTGAGGAGCACAGGGACTGGACTCCTGTTAGTGCCCAGAGTCAGAACTAAACATGGGGAGGCTGCTTTTCAGATTCATGCTGCTAAAATCTGGAACGGTCTTCCTGAAGATGTGAGACAGGCCTCCTCTCTGACAATGTTTAAAACCAGGTTAAAGACAATTCTGTTTAGCTGTGCTACATCTGAGGGATTTTATATTATTAGCTTTCTTTTTAATGTTCTGTGATTATTTATGATTTTAATGCTTTCTTGTTTTGTTCAGCACTTTGTGTTGCCTTGTGTATGAATTGTGCTATACAAATAAACTTGCCTTGCCTTGCCAGTCTAGCACTTTACAACCTGATTCTAACCAGCTTCTGAGACGAGATTGGACATAACAAGACGTTTTCTCTCAAAGTGAAATGATCCTTTTGTCATTTGTTACAGAATGTGATGTTCCTCGGAGACTTCCATGCCGGTTGTGGGTACATGACTCGCGCCGACAAAAAGGACATCCGGCTTTTCACCAACACCAGCTTCTCCTGGTTAATCACAGATCGGACTGACACGACCGTGACAGACCAGACCAACTGCCCTTATGACCGGTGAGTAGCTCGCTACGGCGGCTAATTTGGTTAGCTACTGCTGGCCTATTACTTGGGCTAATTATAAGTTTAACTGATTTATATTTTTATTGCTATTTTCCTTTATTTAGCTGGTGTGGGCGGTTTATGTTTAGTGCACTGCCTTAAATGTCCATTTGGGGGCGCACTTCGGGATGGAGTTAGCCTGGGTTGATAGTTTTTCAGTTTTTGACTGCACGACTGTGGAAACTTTGGAAACTAGAACTATTAAAGCAGCAGTCTGTAAACATGTGGCCAAAAGTGGTACTGCAGCCTCTCCCACTCTCCCTGACTCAGGTTGCCAGATATGCAGACGAATCCAGCTGGGACCATAACAGCTGAATAGCGAACTATCTAAATGACGTCACTAAGACACGCCCTCGCCGCCTGTCAACTCCCGCCCACATGTTTCGGACAAACACTGCCCAAATGAATCAAATACCACTTGTCACTTTAGACGAAAATGATAAACCAGGAGCAAAATTCCTCCATCAAACCATCGGGGATCATAGTGTAGACCAATTAAAACGTTGGTTTGAATGTCGTGGTCTTCCAGTGACTGGTAGAAAGTTTGAGTTGATAAAAAGGTAATGGTGAGGATTATGCTAACATTATCTTGTCATTTAAATTGCAATGTTAGCGCCTTCTTTGTTTATTTTGCTGTGATTAACTTCCATTTATCAAGTTGTTTTTGTACTGTCCACTTTGTAATTAGTTTGATCATTAGTTAGCTACAGTCAGCTGATATTATAATAGATCCATGGGGTCACAACGGGCTACGCCACTACTGTCTCTGAGAGAAACTATCAGAGCCACACTCAATAAACGCTAATGACAATCAACACATGTAAATGTTAATGGGAGAATATATTATACATACATTCTTAACACACGTGCACGGAGGTTTTCAGAAGTATCTGTTCAGGTTTTCATGACAAAAATACTTTTTTAATGCGACTAAAACGATCGCTTTTTTGAAGTAGGTTGACTAGCCTCACTGTTACTCGCCTGCCACGGGAAAACCTTTGAGCTATTTTCTTTGCACTCATTAAATAAACCTTTCGGCATGAATAGTGACTGAAGTTAATTCTGTGTGTTCAGTTCGTACAAAGCGTATAATAAGCGGACCCCGACGCGCTTCGTCTGTACTTATTTTCCGATAGTCACGAAGTTGAAAAAATCCCTCATCTTTCTTCAGGTGTGAGAATTGTATACTTTCTGGATTAGGACAAACAATACTAATATGGATTTATGGGGTAAATGAAAAAGATAAAGTTTGTGCTAACTACATTCAGAAGAGCTCTGGTCTGCTCCGATGGTGTGGTTTAACGAACGGGTTGAATGTTACTGCTTTCATATAGTCCTTTTCAGAGTATCTGAAATCGCTCCAACAAGCACCATAACTGCAGTGTTTTGTTGTCACCATGATTCAATGATTTAGCCCAAATAAGGGCTTAAAGCCCTCCTGAACCTCAAGAAAAGGGCTTTCATCTCAGGGGACAGGGAGGAGCAGAAGAGGATCCAGCACGAGCTCCAGTGGAGGATCAGGAGGGCCAAGAAGGACTATGGGAAAAAGCTGGAGCAGAAGCTGGCCCAGGGAAACGCCCGCGACGTGTGGAGAGGCCTAAAGAACATCTCCGGCTTTGGACAGAGCGCCAGAGGAACAGCGGATGGAGACCAGCACCGGGCGGATGAATTTAACCAGTACTTCAACCGGTTTGATTCTCCCCCCTCTCCATCTGCCCCCCCTCCCGCCCCCACCTCTTCACTCGTCCCCAGCCCAGTGGACACCGCCCAGTGGACACTGCCTCCGGCTGCCCCGGGCCCTCCTGCCCCCGCATCCCCAGCCCCCACCTCGGACAGTACACCCCAGTCCCCCCCCCCTCTCCATCACACCGGACCAGGTGAGGAGTCAACTCCAGCGCCTGAAGCAGAGGAAATCCGCAGGACCGGACGGGATCAGTCCCAGGCTGCTGAGGACCTGTGCAGACCAGCTCACTGGGGTCCTCAGCTACATGTACAACCTGAGCCTCAGCCTGGAGAAGGTCCCTGTCCTGTGGAAGACCTCCTGTGTGATCCCGGTTCCAAAAACAGCACACGCCAAGGAACCGGCTCACTACAGACCAGTCGCACTGACCTCCCACCTGATGAAGACCATGGAGCACTGACCTCCCACCTGATGAAGACCATGGAGCACTGACCTCCCACCTGATGAAGACCATGGAGCACTGACCTCCCACCTGATGAAGACCATGGAGCACTGACCTCCCACCTGATGAAGACCATGGAGCACTGACCTCCCACCTGATGAAGACCATGGAGCGGCTCATCCTCACCCATCTCCGCTCCGTGGTCAGCCCCACCCTGGACCCGCTGCAGTTCGCCTACAGACCCAACATCGGAGCAGAGGACGCCGTCATCTACTTCCTGCAGCGGACGCTCTCCCACCTGGAGCCCGCCGGGAGCGCTGTGAGGGTCATGTTTTTCGACTTCTCCAGCGCTTTCAATACCATCAGGCCGGCACTGCTGCAGGGGAAGATGGAGGACGCGGGAGTGGACAGCAGCCTCACTGCATGGACCATCAACTACCTCTCAGACCGACCACAGTACGTGCGGCTGCGCAGCTGTGAGTCTGAGGTGGTCGTCAGCAGCACTGGGGCCCCTCAGGGCACTGTCCTCTCACCGTTTCTCTTCACCATCTACACCTCAGACTTCACACACGACACACACAGCTGTCACCTGCAGAAGTTCTCCGACGACTCCGCCATCGTGGGCTGTGTGTCTGAGGGGAACGAACTGGAATATCAGTCGGTTATCAAGGACTTTGTCGACTGGTGTGAGTGCAACCACTTGTGCTTGAACACCAGTAAGACCAAGTAGATGATCATCGACTTCAGGAGAAAACCACTTTCCCACACGCTGCTGAACATCCAGGGGGAGGACATTGAGCTGGTGGACAGCTTCAAGTACCTGGGTGTTCACATTAACAATAAACTGGACTGGTCCATAATACAAACGCCCTGCACAAGAAGGACCTAAGTCGCCTTCTGAGGAGGCTGAGGTCCTTCTGAGGAGGCTGAGGTCCTTCGGAGTGAGCAGGCCTCTGCTCAGGACTTTTTATGACTCTGTGGTAGCTTCTACCATTTACTACGCTGCCGTGTGCTGGGCCCCGGGCAGCACAGGGCGGGACAGAAACAGACTGAACAAGCTGGTCAGGAGGGCCAGCTCCACTCTGGGCTGCTCCCTGGACTCTGTGGAGGAGGTGAGGGACAGGAGGCTCCTGGACTCTGTGGAGGAGGTGAGGGACAGGAGGCTCCTGGACTCTGTGGAGGAGGTGAGGGACAGGAGGCTCCTGGACTCTGTGGAGGAGGTGAGGGACAGGAGGCTCCTGGACTCTGTGGAGGAGGTGAGGGACAGGAGGCTCCTGGACTCTGTGGAGGAGGTGAGGGACAGGAGGCTCCTGGACTCTGTGGAGGAGGTGAGGGACAGGAGGCCCCTGGACTCTGTGGAGGAGGTGAGGGACAGGAGGTGCTAGCCAAAGCCACCTCCATCATGAACAACACCTCCCACTGCACAGGACTGTAGAGGAGCTGAGGAGCTCCTTCAGTGGAAGACTGAGGCACCCTCAGTGTAGGAAGGAGCGCTACCGCAGGGCCTTTATCCCCACCGCTGTCAGACTGTACAATAAGTCACTTTAAATGATCACTGTGTGAAAACCTGCACTACTATTGACACTGTTTCCAATTGACACTTGTCACTTTTGTTGCACATAATTATTGTCACTTTATTGTACATATATCCTGCATGTAACATGTTTGCACATTTCCTCCTTTTGCACAATCTGAGTGTCTCTATCCATGCTAAATGTGACATGTAAATTTCTCCTATGTGAGATAAATAAAGAAAATCTTATCTTATCTTATCTTAAATACACACGCGTATGTGGAGAACACAGTAGTACTCAACGAGTCGTACACAATGTTTGTCCGAAACATGCGCAGTCATCAGAGCTATTTTTAGCACATTTCGGAAACCGGACAGTGCCCTATAGAAAAGAGTTTTGTCAACAACAAATCTATAACCAACACCTTTTTCACAAAGATAGAAATCCTGGTTTTATTCCTTGTTTTGTCGTTAATGATTTGAGAATCATAACGAGACTTTTTTTAGTTCCGCGCCACATGGTACTTTACCAGTGAGATTAGCTCCACGCGGTGAGTTCTGGAGCCCGGATCACAGACTTTCTGATTGGTGAAACGGTGGAATGCCTTTTGACAGATTAGGGCCCTTTAATGATGACAGATTAGGGCCCTTTAATGATGACAGATTAGGGCCCTTTAATGATGACTGGACATGAAAATCTTACATATTGCTGCTATAAAATCATTTAAATCACTCTAAATCATATCAAGTTTCATATCACACACCTGGACGTCCATCAGAAGCTCAGGCTCAGGCCGACAAAGTGATCACTGTGGATTTTTTGATCATTTCACTATTGTTCCTTTTGGTTTTCTCTAAAAAGTCTTCAGGAAGTTTTATACCGCAGTCTTTGAGAATTCCAACCCTAACAGCCGTGCATTATTTTTGTATACACACACACACTGCATACACTACGCCACAGTTGTTGCCATAGTAACTGCAACCGCTGGATCAAATACACCGTCAGTTAGGAGACAAGCTGGATAACATGGATTTTGAGGTGAATTTTTATATTTTTGGACTTCACAAAATCTTTAAGGATTGGCAAGAAGAAGAGAACGAAGAAGAATTTGATACCTATCTAGTCTGTGTAAATGTGAATCTTTTGTCTGTTAATAAAAGTAGTTCTCATTTCTCTTAACAACGGTTGCTAAGGTAAAAGTTTTTGATGTCAGACTTGGTAAATAACCCCTAAACTTGAACATATGTGGCTTCTCGTTGTCTAATCCTTACATAGACGAGGCTCAGGAGTCAAATAATGTATGAAAAGTACATTTGTCCAGCTTTGTTATGAAACGTGTTGATGTCTGGTTTTAGTCATAACTGTGTGTGTATGTGTGTGTGTTTTGCAGAGTGGTCGTTCATGGGCAGTCTTTTCTGAAGCAGATCAAGCCGTACTCCGCCAAAGTCTTCAACCCCATCAAGCATTTTAAAATCCAGTCCAGACAGGTCAGTCAGGTCCAGTATTCCAAAAAGAACACAGTATATGGGAATTCACATCTACAGGAATTCACTTTGAAGTTTTCCTGTATTCACATTCATAAAAGTTTGCTTGGGCACAAAAATACCCAAATTTTCAATACCATGAAGATAAAAAAACGACTTATTTTTACAAGATTGTGGAAAACCAGATGATAACATGTATATATTGTTGAGGGTTCATACAAAATGGAGATTTGAAAACACAAAGTAAAATAATACGGTCATGACAGTTTTACAAATGAGCCCTGGGTGATACTTAAACGCATCAAACATGTACCATTTATTTATTTAATTCTTTAATTAAAGCTTAGAAACATAAGCGACTTATTTTGTATATTTTGTGTGCTCTAAGTCCCGGGGATCCAAGATGGCGGCCTGTTCAAATCAGTGGCTTGTGCTCAGTAGTGCATGGGACATATATGAGAGATTACTGGAACTCGCCCATATTTGGTCATTTCTCTGGTCCTCCCGCTTCTGCGCAGTGGACGAGCTCCCATGATCCTTTGCTTTGCTTGCGGGAGCCAAAGGAGCAGAGTTTGTGGCAGTAAAGTGTGGATTTAAAGAAAACCAAGAGATTTAAGAAGAAAAGTTCAAAACGACAAGAGACACTAAAATCCAGGTTCTCTGTCAGGTTCTCTGTCAGGTTCTTTGTAGGTTCTCTGTCAGGTTCTCTGTCAGGTTCTCTGTCAGGTCCTCTGTCAGGTTCTTTGTAGGTTCTCTGTCAGGTTCTCTGTCAGGTTCTCTGTCAGGTCCTCTGTCAGGTCCTCTGTCAGGTCCTCTGTCAGGTCCTCTGTCAGGTCCTCTGTCAGGTCCTCTGTCAGGTCCTCTGTCAGGTCCTCTGTCAGGTCCTCTGTCAGGTTCTCTGTCAGGTTCTCTGTCAGGTCCTCTGTCAGGTACTCTGTCAGGTCCTCTGTCAGGTTCTCTGTCAGGTCCTCTGTCAGGTCCTCTGTCAGGTTCTCTGTCAGGTTCTCTGTCAGGTTCTCTGTCAGGTTCTCTCTCAGGTCCTCTGTCAGGTCCTCTGTCAGGTCCTCTGTCAGGGACTGTCAGGTCCTCTGTCAGGTCCTCTGTCAGGTTCTTTGTAGGTTCTCTGTCAGGTCCTCGGTCAGGTTCTCTGTCAGGTCCTCTGTCAGGTCCTCTGTCAGGTCCTCTGTCAGGTTCTTTGTAGGTCCTCTGTCAGGTTCTCTCTCAGGTCCTCTGTCAGGTCCTCTGTCAGGTCCTCTGTCAGGTCCTCTGTCAGGTCCTCTGTCAGGTCCTCTGTCAGGTTCTTTGTAGGTTCTCTGTCAGGTTCTCTGTCAGGTCCTCGGTCAGGTTCTTTGTAGGTTCTCTGTCAGGTCCTCTGTCAGGTCCTCTGTCAGGTCCTCTGTCAGGTTCTCTGTCAGGTTCTCTGTCAGGTCCTTTGTCAGGTCCTCTGTCAGGTCCTCTGTCAGGTCCTCGGTCAGGTTCTTTGTAGGTTCTCTGTCAGGTCCTCTGTCAGGTCCTCTGTCAGGTCCTCTGTCAGGTCCTCTCTCAGGTCCTCTCTCAGGTCCTCTGTCAGGTCCTCTGTCAGGTCCTCTGTCAGGTCCTCTGTCAGGTCCTCTGTCAGGTCCTCTGTCAGGTCCTCTGTCAGGTCCTCTGTCAGGTTCTCTGTCAGGTCCTCTGTCAGGTCCTCTCTCAGGTCCTCTCTCAGGTCCTCTGTCAGGTCCTCTGTCAGGTCCTCTGTCAGGTCCTCTGTCAGGTCCTCTGTCAGGTCCTCTGTCAGGTCCTCTGTCAGGTCCTCTGTCAGGTTCTTTGTAGGTCCTCTGTCAGGTTCTCTGTCAGGTCCTCTGTCAGGTCCTCTGTCAGGTCCTCTGTCAGGTCCTCTGTCAGGTCCTCTGTCAGGTGTCAGGTCTGTCAGGTCTGTCAGGTCCTCTCTCAGGTCCTCTGTCAGGTCCTCTGTCAGGTCCTCTGTCAGGTCCTCTGTCAGGTCCTCTGTCAGGTCCTCTGTCAGGTCCTCTGTCAGGTTCTTTGTAGGTCCTCTGTCAGGTTCTCTGTCAGGTCCTCTGTCAGGTCCTCTGTCAGGTTCTTTGTAGGTCCTCTGTCAGGTTCTCTCTCAGGTCCTCTGTCAGGTCCTCTGTCAGGTCCTCTGTCAGGTCCTCTGTCAGGTCCTCTGTCAGGGACTCTGTCAGGTCCTCTGTCAGGTCCTCTGTCAGGTCCTCTGTCAGGTTCTTTGTAGGTTCTCTGTCAGGTCCTCGGTCAAGTTCTTTGTAGGTTCTCTGTCAGGTCCTCTGTCAGGTCCTCGTTCTCTGTCAGGTCCTCTGTCAGGTCCTCTGTCAGGTCCTCTGTCAGGTTCTCTGTCAGGTTCTCTGTCAGGTCCTCTGTCAGGTCCTCTGTCAGGTCCTCTCTCAGGTCCTCTCTCAGGTCCTCTCTCAGGTCCTCTGTCAGGTCCTCTGTCAGGTCCTCTGTCAGGTCCTCTGTCAGGTCCTCTGTCAGGTCCTCTGTCAGGTCCTCTGTCAGGTCCTCTCTCAGGTCCTCTCTCAGGTCCTCTGTCAGGTCCTCTGTCAGGTCCTCTGTCAGGTCCTCTGTCAGGTCCTCTGTCAGGTCCTCTGTCAGGTCCTCTGTCAGGTTCTTTGTAGGTCCTCTGTCAGGTTCTCTGTCAGGTCCTCTGTCAGGTTCTCTGTCAGGTCCTCTGTCAGGTCCTCTGTCAGGTCCTCTGTCAGGTCCTCTGTCAGGTCCTCTGTCAGGTCCTCTGTCAGGTCCTCTGTCAGGTCCTCTGTCAGGTCCTCTCTCAGGTCCTCTGTCAGGTCCTCTGTCAGGTCCTCTGTCAGGTCCTCTGTCAGGGACTCTGTCAGGTCCTCTGTCAGGTCCTCTGTCAGGTCCTCTGTCAGGTTCTTTGTAGGTTCTCTGTCAGGTTCTCTGTCAGGTCCTCGGTCAAGTTCTTTGTAGGTTCTCTGTCAGGTCCTCTGTCAGGTCCTCGTTCTCTGTCAGGTCCTCTGTCAGGTCCTCTGTCAGGTCCTCTGTCAGGTCCTCTGTCAGGTCCTCTGTCAGGTCCTCTGTCAGGTCCTCTCTCAGGTCCTCTGTCAGGTCCTCTGTCAGGTCCTCTGTCAGGTCCTCTGTCAGGTCCTCTCTCAGGTCCTCTCTCAGGTCCTCTCTCAGGTCCTCTGTCAGGTCCTCTGTCAGGTCCTCTGTCAGGTTCTCTGTCAGGTTCTCTGTCAGGTCCTCTGTCAGGTCCTCTGTCAGGTCCTCTCTCAGGTCCTCTCTCAGGTCCTCTCTCAGGTCCTCTGTCAGGTCCTCTGTCAGGTCCTCTGTCAGGTCCTCTGTCAGGTCCTCTGTCAGGTCCTCTGTCAGGTCCTCTGTCAGGTCCTCTGTCAGGTCCTCTGTCAGGTCCTCTCTCAGGTCCTCTGTCAGGTCCTCTGTCAGGTCCTCTGTCAGGTCCTCTGTCAGGTCCTCTGTCAGGTCCTCTCTCAGGTCCTCTCTCAGGTCCTCTCTCAGGTCCTCTGTCAGGTCCTCTGTCAGGTCCTCTGTCAGGTCCTCTCTCAGGTCCTCTCTCAGGTCCTCTCTCAGGTCCTCTGTCAGGTCCTCTGTCAGGTCCTCTGTCAGGTCCTCTGTCAGGTTCTCTGTCAGGTCCTCTGTCAGGTCCTCTCTCAGGTCCTCTCTCAGGTCCTCTGTCAGGTCCTCTCTCAGGTCCTCTGTCAGGTCCTCTGTCAGGTCCTCTGTCAGGTCCTCTGTCAGGTCCTCTGTCAGGTCCTCTGTCAGGTTCTTTGTAGGTCCTCTGTCAGGTTCTCTGTCAGGTCCTCTGTCAGGTTCTCTGTCAGGTCCTCTGTCAGGTCCTCTGTCAGGTCCTCTGTCAGGTCCTCTGTCAGGTCCTCTGTCAGGTCCTCTGTCAGGTTCTTTGTAGGTCCTCTGTCAGGTTCTCTCTCAGGTCCTCTGTCAGGTCCTCTGTCAGGTCCTCTGTCAGGTCCTCTGTCAGGGACTCTGTCAGGTCCTCTGTCAGGTCCTCTGTCAGGTCCTCTGTCAGGTCCTCTGTCAGGTTCTTTGTAGGTTCTCTGTCAGGTTCTCTGTCAGGTCCTCGGTCAAGTTCTTTGTAGGTTCTCTGTCAGGTCCTCTGTCAGGTCCTCGTTCTCTGTCAGGTCCTCTGTCAGGTCCTCTGTCAGGTCCTCTGTCAGGTCCTCTGTCAGGTCCTCTGTCAGGTCCTCTGTCAGGTCCTCTCTCAGGTCCTCTCTCAGGTCCTCTGTCAGGTCCTCTGTCAGGTCCTCTGTCAGGTCCTCTGTCAGGTCCTCTGTCAGGTCCTCTCTCAGGTCCTCTCTCAGGTCCTCTGTCAGGTCCTCTGTCAGGTCCTCTCTCAGGTCCTCTGTCAGGTCCTCTCTCAGGTCCTCTGTCAGGTCCTCTGTCAGGTCCTCTGTCAGGTCCTCTGTCAGGTCCTCTCTCAGGTCCTCTCTCAGGTCCTCTCTCAGGTCCTCTGTCAGGTCCTCTGTCAGGTCCTCTGTCAGGTTCTCTGTCAGGTTCTCTGTCAGGTCCTCTGTCAGGTCCTCTCTCAGGTCCTCTGTCAGGTCCTCTGTCAGGGACTGTCAGGTCCTCTGTCAGGTCCTCTGTCAGGTTCTTTGTAGGTTCTCTGTCAGGTCCTCGGTCAGGTTCTCTGTCAGGTCCTCTGTCAGGTCCTCTGTCAGGTCCTCTGTCAGGTCCTCTGTCAGGTCCTCTGTCAGGTCCTCTGTCAGGTCCTCTGTCAGGTCCTCTGTCAGGTCCTCTGTCAGGTCCTCTCTCAGGTCCTCTCTCAGGTCCTCTCTCAGGTCCTCTGTCAGGTCCTCTGTCAGGTCCTCTGTCAGGTTCTCTGTCAGGTTCTCTGTCAGGTCCTCTGTCAGGTCCTCTCTCAGGTCCTCTGTCAGGTCCTCTGTCAGGTCCTCTGTCAGGTTCTCTGTCAGGTTCTCTGTCAGGTCCTCTGTCAGGTCCTCTCTCAGGTCCTCTGTCAGGTCCTCTGTCAGGGACTGTCAGGTCCTCTGTCAGGTCCTCTGTCAGGTTCTTTGTAGGTTCTCTGTCAGGTCCTCGGTCAGGTTCTCTGTCAGGTCCTCTGTCAGGTCCTCTGTCAGGTCCTCTGTCAGGTCCTCTGTCAGGTCCTCTGTCAGGTCCTCTGTCAGGTCCTCTGTCAGGTCCTCTGTCAGGTCCTCTGTCAGGTCCTCTCTCAGGTCCTCTCTCAGGTCCTCTCTCAGGTCCTCTGTCAGGTCCTCTGTCAGGTCCTCTGTCAGGTTCTCTGTCAGGTTCTCTGTCAGGTCCTCTCTGTCAGGTCCTCTGTCAGGTCCTCTGTCAGGTCCTCTCTCAGGTCCTCTGTCAGGTCCTCTGTCAGGTCCTCTGTCAGGGACTGTCAGGTCCTCTGTCAGGTCCTCTGTCAGGTTCTTTGTAGGTTCTCTGTCAGGTCCTCGGTCAGGTTCTCTGTCAGGTCCTCTGTCAGGTCCTCTGTCAGGTCCTCTCTCAGGTCCTCTCTCAGGTCCTCTCTCAGGTCCTCTGTCAGGTCCTCTGTCAGGTCCTCTGTCAGGTCCTCTGTCAGGTCCTCTGTCAGGTTCTTTGTAGGTCCTCTGTCAGGTTCTCTGTCAGGTCCTCTGTCAGGTTCTCTGTCAGGTCCTCTGTCAGGTCCTCTGTCAGGTCCTCTGTCAGGTCCTCTGTCAGGTCCTCTGTCAGGTCCTCTGTCAGGTTCTTTGTAGGTCCTCTGTCAGGTTCTCTCTCAGGTCCTCTGTCAGGTCCTCTGTCAGGTCCTCTGTCAGGTCCTCTGTCAGGGACTCTGTCAGGTCCTCTGTCAGGTCCTCTGTCAGGTCCTCTGTCAGGTTCTTTGTAGGTTCTCTGTCAGGTTCTCTGTCAGGTCCTCGGTCAAGTTCTTTGTAGGTTCTCTGTCAGGTCCTCTGTCAGGTCCTCGTTCTCTGTCAGGTCCTCTGTCAGGTCCTCTGTCAGGTCCTCTGTCAGGTCCTCTGTCAGGTCCTCTGTCAGGTCCTCTGTCAGGTCCTCTGTCAGGTCCTCTCTCAGGTCCTCTCTCAGGTCCTCTGTCAGGTCCTCTGTCAGGTCCTCTGTCAGGTCCTCTGTCAGGTCCTCTGTCAGGTCCTCTGTCAGGTCCTCTCTCAGGTCCTCTCTCAGGTCCTCTCTCAGGTCCTCTGTCAGGTCCTCTGTCAGGTCCTCTGTCAGGTCCTCTGTCAGGTTCTCTGTCAGGTCCTCTGTCAGGTCCTCTGTCAGGTCCTCTGTCAGGTCCTCTGTCAGGTCCTCTGTCAGGTCCTCTGTCAGGTCCTCTGTCAGGTCCTCTCTCAGGTCCTCTCTCAGGTCCTCTGTCAGGTCCTCTCTCAGGTCCTCTGTCAGGTCCTCTGTCAGGTCCTCTGTCAGGTCCTCTGTCAGGTCCTCTGTCAGGTTCTTTGTAGGTCCTCTGTCAGGTTCTCTGTCAGGTCCTCTGTCAGGTTCTCTGTCAGGTCCTCTGTCAGGTCCTCTGTCAGGTCCTCTGTCAGGTCCTCTGTCAGGTCCTCTGTCAGGTCCTCTGTCAGGTTCTCTGTCAGGTCCTCTGTCAGGTCCTCTCTCAGGTCCTCTCTCAGGTCCTCTGTCAGGTCCTCTCTCAGGTCCTCTGTCAGGTCCTCTGTCAGGTCCTCTGTCAGGTCCTCTGTCAGGTCCTCTGTCAGGTTCTTTGTAGGTCCTCTGTCAGGTTCTCTGTCAGGTCCTCTGTCAGGTTCTCTGTCAGGTCCTCTGTCAGGTCCTCTGTCAGGTCCTCTGTCAGGTCCTCTGTCAGGTCCTCTGTCAGGTCCTCTGTCAGGTCCTCTGTCAGGTCCTCTGTCAGGTTCTCTGTCAGGTCCTCTGTCAGGTCCTCTCTCAGGTCCTCTCTCAGGTCCTCTGTCAGGTCCTCTCTCAGGTCCTCTGTCAGGTCCTCTGTCAGGTCCTCTGTCAGGTCCTCTGTCAGGTCCTCTGTCAGGTTCTTTGTAGGTCCTCTGTCAGGTTCTCTGTCAGGTCCTCCGTCAGGTCCTCTGTCAGGTCCTCTGTCAGGTTCTTTGTAGGTTCTCTGTCAGGTTCTCTGTCAGGTCCTCGGTCAAGTTCTTTGTAGGTTCTCTGTCAGGTCCTCTGTCAGGTCCTCGTTCTCTGTCAGGTCCTCTGTCAGGTCCTCTGTCAGGTCCTCTGTCAGGTCCTCTGTCAGGTCCTCTGTCAGGTCCTCTCTCAGGTCCTCTCTCAGGTCCTCTGTCAGGTCCTCTGTCAGGTCCTCTGTCAGGTCCTCTGTCAGGTCCTCTGTCAGGTCCTCTGTCAGGTCCTCTCTCAGGTCCTCTCTCAGGTCCTCTGTCAGGTCCTCTGTCAGGTCCTCTGTCAGGTCCTCTGTCAGGTCCTCTGTCAGGTTCTCTGTCAGGTTCTCTGTCAGGTCCTCTGTCAGGTCCTCTGTCAGGTCCTCTGTCAGGTCCTCTGTCAGGTCCTCTGTCAGGTCCTCTGTCAGGTCCTCTGTCAGGTCCTCTGTCAGGTCCTCTGTCAGGTCCTCTGTCAGGTTCTCTGTCAGGTCCTCTGTCAGGTCCTCTGTCAGGTCCTCTGTCAGGTTCTCTGTCAGGTCCTCTGTCAGGTCCTCTGTCAGGTTCTCTGTCAGGTCCTTTGTCAGGTCCTCTGTCAGGTTCTCTGTCAGGGACTCTGTCAGGGACTCTGTCAGGGACTCTGTCAGGTCCTCTGTCAGGTCCTCTGTCAGGTCCTCTGTCAGGTCCTCTGTCAGGTCCTCTGTCAGGGACTCTGTCAGGGACTCTGTCAGGGACTCTGTCAGGGACTCTGTCAGGTCCTCTGTCAGGTCCTCTGTCAGGTCCTCTGTCAGCTGAGGTGGAGCTGTTTCAGTTTACATTGAGTTTGATGGGACATCTTTCTGTGTAGTCCACATGTAATTTGGTTTTGTTTCGTCTGCAGTACCGCGAGAATCCCCCGAGTACATGGTCCTTCAGCTCTAAGCTAGTACCACCCTCTCCACATATAATTATAGATCCATGGTGTGCTCTCACTACTCTCCTGTATGTGCGCTGCAACATTGAAATTTCCCCACTGTGGCTCCGTTCCAATCAGGAAAGAGGAACTGCGAGGTGGACCCAGGGTGGTTTTTCATGACTAACAAATGACCACAACAACACATCAGAAAAACCAACTCATTTTAGTGTTTTGATGTCTCTTTTCTGCTGGTTCTTATCGCTTCCTTTGGTTTTCCAGTTGGTGAAGGTGAGCGACCACTTTCCAATCGAGGTGGAGTTGAAGAGCTCTGCGATGTCGCTGCTGCAGGCCAAGTTTCTCTGCTTCCTGCTGCTGAGCCTGCACTTCCTGTGACCTGCAGGAGACACCGAAGCCCCGCCTTCTAAAGTGTGTCACCACAACTAGACATGTTGTTCTGATCACGACACTGCAGGAAGTAATGAAAAATGTGTTAAAAATCGCTCAAATCTGGCCAAATGTATCTTAATCTGAGCACATTTTGACTGAGCTGTGAAACTAGATTTACCAACGGGACTAAGCAAAATGATCTTGGTTTTTTTTCTCATTCAAAGGGAGACATTTCTTGAATCTTTTTTAAAATAACAGCTCTTGACATACGACTAAATGGCTTCGTCCCATTGGAGAATCTGGTTTCAAGACGGTCACAATGTGCTCAAATTAAGGGAAAAACCACTTCATTTAGCTCATATTTTATCACTAAAATCCCCTTCTGCACTTGAGGAGAACTGTGGGATAGAGGGGATGTCCCTAGTCTCCTTTTTTACTATATTTTTTCAACTGAAGGTAGTTTTTTTGGTCTTAAGTGACTACAATTACAACACAAACCATGTGGATCCACCTGCATGAGCACACACACACTCCTCACTGAGATCTAAGTACTGAGGATTAAATGTAGGCTTTTTGTGGCTCTTTCTGCTTTTGTTGGACAATCTGCTCGAGAAATGTAAATGATCATCATGTACAGACTTTTGAAAACTCAGAAAAAATCAACTTCTTTTGTAGCTTTTGTATCACAAATGTTCTAAATGATTTTGACCTTGTGTCTCAGGTGGAAGATGGAATTATATTTATGTAATTTTAAATCAATGGTTCCTTTTTAAATTCATATGAACTTCTTGTGAGGGTGTGATTGTCGGTCAAAGGGGCGGAGGACGCTTGCTCCTGATTCTTCCGTAGTATTTTACCATCACCTTGAGTGAGTGGATATTGCTACATAAAGCCTTTTTTTTAATGTTTTATTTAATATTGTTTTATGAAACTATGTCCAGAGGTGCAACTCCTCAAACTTTACCAGGATTTTTAACACGAATGTCAAGACAATTGTCCTAATGCACAAACATCTCTCTTGTGATGTTATTGATCTTTTTTTATAAACTCTCAGGATCAGAGCACATTTTGTTGTTGACTGTGATAGATTCAAGTTTTAAGGGATTTAATTTGAATAAAATATTATATCCTACGGTGTTTCTGATATTTTATTGACAAGTTGGTGGATCAAATGAGACACTAGCATTTCCCACATGAGCACATAAGACCTCGTTTGTTACACACGAAACATTGAGAAAATAGAACATTTTCTCTTGGATAAATTGACTCTGAAGCGCCTCCTTGTGGTGCAGGCCGCAGCCACAGCTGTCCAGACGGTGGCGCTGTGTTGAGTAAAGCCACAACACGCGAACAACTCTAGACAATCTGTATTCGAAGAGATGCGCCACAAGTTTTTGTTCAAACTCAAACAAACCGAAGAAAAACATTAGATTTATTGACAACCGAACTATCTGGACCCGTTACCGAGCAGCAGCATTCGTTCTTAATAATAGTCCTGTGTCAATAAATCCTTACACATTATTATAGATCCATGTCCTGTGTGCACATTATTATAGATCCATGTCCTGTGTGCACACTATTATAGATCCATGTCCTGTGTACAGCCCATAGACTGCATGTACAGCCGTGGATCTAGCGCGGTCCTGCGGAAGTCAGTCCTCTGTCGGGAGTGAGACCTCTTACTCTCACTGAGGATCTCTGAGGCGTAAGGAAACGTGGCTTTACGGCGCTGTGCACGGTGTGTTTGCGCGTTGCCCGCAGTCCACAGCGGGTGAATGAAGTAGAACCATGTCTGCGGCAGATCCAGTCTCCGAGTCCGTCCCGGACGCTCTGTCCGAGGCCCTGAACGCCAGCTCCGGTAACGGCAGCGAGGCTCTGAACGCCACAGTCCGCTTCACGGCCACCCCGGAGGGCACGGCCCTGGCCTACGGAAGCCTGCTGTTCATGGCGCTGATGCCCATCTTCTTTGGTGCCCTGCGCTCCGTGCGCTGCTCCCGGTCCAAGGTAAGACTCAGAGGCCCCGGGCCCCTCTTCCGTGTCTGGACCGTGAAGGTGTGACGTCTGCTGCAGGCTCCGCTCCTTTACCTTCACGGCCTCAGGTCTGATGTGGACCGTGCTGTTCTGGTCTGTCTCCGACTCTGCTGTAGTTAGCACTAAGAACAATTGTAAACATTTAATATTGCAGGAATAATAATCATTTAAAATACAGACACAGTTAACGTAGTGGTGTTGTTTATCAACTATAATAATATAATTCTAGTCTACAGCATTACACTGAGGACTGGAAACAGCTGCTGTCTCTCCTGGACTGTTTCCAGAGAATATAAAGAGCTCATTTTTCCACACGGGTGTCAGAGACAGAGTATTTGGATGAAACGTCTGCAGACAGTGGTTTGTGTGTAGACAGTGGTGATGTCTGGGAACGACCCATCTGGATTAAAGAGATGCCACGGTTTTGTAATGGGAGACATCAAGACAAACTCCATCAGACAAAGGTCCAGAAAGACTCCTACTCATTAATTTCAGCGGTAGACTCCCTCCATCTGCCTCTGGTGCTTCTTCCTCAAACAGTAAGCTCTGCTGTCTCTCTCTGTCCTGTTGTGTATGTTGTGTTCAGTGGTGTGGTGAGGAGGCGGAGGAGGACCCAGGCTCCAGAGTGAGTACAGGAAGATGCAGACTGTTCTGGATGTAGACCATGTTTGAGGAGGAGTCTAAAGTGTGCACTTCTCACTCTCAGTTTAGGACATGCTTGTGTTGTGGTGCATGGATTGGATTCACTAATGGAGGAGTTTTTCAGATCCCTTCACTAATAGTGTTTATTTTTATTTTTTCAATAAACTTCAGCATAACCCAGGAACCATTTGCCACTGAAGCTGAAGTCAGACATTACTTTAGACTTTTCTCTGTCTTAAGAAAAATCATAATCTGACATCATTAAAGGGCCCAAATCTGTCATCATTAAAGGGCCCTAATCTGTCCAAAGGCATTAATAAAACCCGCTCTTTTCCAATACTTCATCAACTGATAACAGTAGTTCAGAGATATTTGATTTTCTAAATTACTTTTCCAGCCTCTAAATCTTGTTATTGTTTTCATTTCGATGTCCCGCCCTCCACCGTTTCACCAATCAGAAAGTCTGTGACCCGGGCGCCAGAACTCACCGTGTGGAGCTAATCTCACTGGTAAAGTACCATGTGGCGCAGAACTAAAAAAGGTCTCGTTATGATTCTCAAATCACGACAAAACAAGGAATAAAACCAGGATTTCTATCTTTGTGAAAAAGGTGTTGGTTATAGATTTGTTGTTGACAAAACTCTTGTCTATTCAGCTGTTATGGTCCCAGCTGGATTCGTCTGCATATCTGGCAACCTGAGTCAGGGAGAGTGGGAGAGGCTGCAGTACCACTTTTGGCCACATTTTTACACACTGCTCCTTTTAAACTTGTTCACTGCTCTCCAAAAGCCTAACCAGAGACGGGGGTTATAGATTATCCTTATCTATGTGTATGGCTGTTACCTGTGGGGGAAATGTTTTTGTACTGTCCTTGTCAAATGAATAAAATAAATAAATAAAATAAAATAAACTATACGGGTTAGGATTTGAATGGGTGACCTCTGACATGACACCTGGACATTGTTTTTCTTTTTGCAGAGGTTTAGACTGTGGTTTTACGAGTGCGATTATACAAGAGGAAGGTAGGGATACATTTTACATCAACAAAATCAAAGAACATATTTTTTATTTTATTTTGACAGAATGGAGGGGAAATGCCGGAGACCATCACAAGTCGAGATGCGGCACGCTTCCCCATCATTGCCAGCTGCACCCTCTTTGGACTCTACCTTTTCTTTAAGGTACTGCATGGCTAACATTAGCATTAGCATATGCCCCAGACTTCCTAAATGGTCCGGGATGAACAAGAAATACGTTTTACTCGGGCCCGTTTCTGTGTTCTTCTCATTGTTTATTATTTGAGGTTTTATAGATTTAGCTTCATCGACAACTGATGACTCTTTTTGTTCATTTATTAGACCAAAAACATCAGAAGAAGAAAGTGCTTATTATTTTTGCTTATCTTTGACGCGAATGTCATTTTGTAGATTTATGATTTGGCTTTAGACTTCCTGCAAGTAACAAAAATACTTAATTTAATCCCAGCTCTCTCTGAAGGACATTTTGATCACAGTCGGCAACAATGGATTTTATTTTTATTTTGATTTTTTGGATCTACTTTTGTGATAGTCTCTCCATGGCCTCATACCGTGGTACATCCGTGACATGATGGTGCCACCGATTCTGAGGAGACCAGGGGCTGGCCTCCTGCTGGTGCCAAGAGTCTGGAACTGTCTTCCTGAGAAAGTGAGACAGGCAGTTTTCAAATCCAGGCTGAAAACAGTTCTGTTTGGCTGTGCACACAACGGAATGATTTTATCTTTGATTTTATCTTTAGTCTTTTTGATGCACTCTGGCTATTTATTAATCCCATGTCTGTTTTTCATGTTTTAAGGTTTTTAATATATCCTGTTCTCTCAATGTGTTTTTTTAATGTTTCTGTAGATTCTAATGTTTGATTTCTGCCTGATGTGATGTGGGTTGTGAGGTGTAGGAAAGGCGCTCTACAAATAAACGATTGATTGGGTTCCAAACTTTTCTTGCCAGGAATCCTAAAACTGGCATCAAACTCACCCGTGACCCCCGATAATGTCCACAATAACAATGATGATAATCTGAGAACGGCTAAATTCACCTTTTAATGTTTATTCTAATAAAGTCTGTCTTATATTATTGTATTTTAAGTAAGGCTGGGCAAGTTAGCGCTTTATTGTCACGTTAACTCATCAATCAACGCCGACAATTATTGTATCAGGTATTAACTCAGTTAAGAAAATAATCTGTCCGTGCGTCTCTACTGAACAGTCCGTGCGTCTCTACAGAGCAGTCCGTGCGTCTCTACAGAGCAGTCCGTGCGTCTCTACAGAGCAGTCCGTGCGTCTCTACTGAGCAGTCCGTGCGTCTCTTCTGAGCAGTCCGTGCGTCTCTTCTGAGCAGTCCGTGCGTCTCTACAGAGCAGTCCGTGCGTCTCTACAGAGCAGTCCGTGCGTCTCTACAGAGCAGTCCGTGCGTCTCTACAGAACAGTCCGTGCGTCTCTACAGAACAGTCCGTGCGTCTCTACAGAGCAGTCCGTGCGTCTCTACAGAACAGTCCGTGCGTCTCTACAGAGCAGTCCGTGCGTCTCTACAGAGCAGTCCGTGCGTCTCTACAGAGCAGTCCGTGCGTCTCTACAGAGCAGTCCGTGCGTCTCTACAGAGCAGTCTGTGCGTCTCTACAGAGCAGTCCGTGCGTCTCTACAGAGCAGTCTGTGCGTCTCTACAGAGCAGTCCGTGCGTCTCTACAGAGCAGTCCGTGCGTCTCTACAGAGCAGTCCGTGCGTCTCTACAGAACAGTCCGTGCGTCTCTACAGAACAGTCCGTGCGTGCATTCTGAGACGCACATTTCGCCGCTCAAACACGCGTCGCAGTTGACGCGTGTTGGTGTGTGAACAAAGTTAGATATTGTTCACGTGTGATAACCTTGCCTGAAGCTGAATTCTCGCGGTATTTGTGAGTTCACAAACACTCGAATACATCTTGTCCCGCTCCCGCCAACCCTTTTCGAGTAGAACATCTAGGTGTTCAAGCCAATCACGCGCCAGTCTGGGGGTTTAGGGCGGGATATCCGGGTTTGACGAAGGCAAGAAGTGCCGGGCCGAAGCAAAACAAACATGGCTACGCAGGAGGACGGACGCGTAGCTGAGGCTATCAAGTCAGTTTTAGCAGAATCTCCAATTTCTTTTTTGAAAGATGAACAGCGAGAGGTGCTTTGTGCATTTCTGGACAGCAAAGATGTTACCGGGATTGGTAATAATAATAATAATAATAATAGATTTTATTTATAACGCACCTTTCATATGCAAAGCACATCTCAAGGTGCTACATCAGAATAAAAACACATATATACAAATGTTAAAATACATTAAAACATGGGCTGCAGATCCGCAGTAGGCCTTCCTGAATAGCTCCGTTTTCAGGTGCTTTTTGAAGCACTCCACAGACTGTGGCGCCCGCAGGTCTTGGGGCAGGGCGTTCCACAGGCGTGGTGATGCGGCTGAAAAAGTCCTGTCTCCCATGGAGTGAAGGCGTGTGATTGGCTGACTGAGACGGTGGGTGTTTGTGGACCGGAGGGATCGTGATGTGGACTGTAGGGTGAGGAGGTCTTGTAAGTACTCTGGGGCGTTGCTGTGGATGCATTGGTGAGTGAGAAGACAGATCTTATATTCAATACGGAGGTGTATGGGGAGCCAGTGGAGTTTACGGAGGACGGGGGTGATGTGCTCGAACTTGCGTGTCCTCGTCAGGACCCTGGCAGCACTGTTCTGAATATGCTGAAGCTTTTGAAGGCTTCTGCCAGGGATCCCGACGAGGAGGGCATTGCAATAGTCCAACCTGGAGGAGACAAAGGCGTGGACCAGCTTCTCAGCATCACAGAGGGAAAGAGAGGGGCGGAGTTTGGCAATGTTTCTTAAGTGAAAGTAAGCAGTTTTGGAGATATGTTGGATGTGTGGATGAAAAGTGAGGTGGGAGTCAAACCTGACACCGAGGTTTGTAACACAGAAGGAGGGGGTGATGGTATGACCAGAGAAATTAATGCAGTTTACAGACAGGGAACGAAGTTGGTGGGGGGTGCCAATTTGTAGAGCCTCTGTTTTAGTGCTGTTTAGCTGGAGAAAGTTTTGAGACATCCACGCCTCTATCTCCTCCAGGCAGGAGGTGAGTGCAGCGGGGGTGGATGAGGGAGAGGCTGGGTCCAGTCTCACATAGAGCTGAGTGTCATCGGCATAGCTGTGGAAGGACATGCCATGCCTGCCGATGACGTGGCCCAGGGAAAGCATATAGATGTTGAAGAGGGTCGGCCCAAGAACCGACCCCTGTGGGACTCCACAGGAGACAGTGTGAGTCTGGGATTTAGACTCCCCCAAGGCCACATACTCAGCTCTATCAGTGAGATAGGACCCAAACCATCTCAGAGTGGTGCCAGAGAGACCAATTATAGTATGAAGGCGATGAAGGAGAATTGAATGTTCTATGGTGTCGAATGCTGCTGTGAGGTCCAGGAGAAGGAGTAGTGATGGAAAGCCCTGGTCAGAGGCCAGCATGAGGTCATTGGTGACTCTGACCAGTGCTGTTTCTGTGCTATGGTGCGATCGGAAGCCTGACTGGAATTTTTCGTAGAGGTTATTGTGTTTCAAGTGGTCCTGAAGTTGGGCGGAAACAACCTTTTCCATGACCTTTGACAAGAAAGGGAGGTTCAAGATGGGGCGGTAGTGAGCCAAGATGTCGGGGTCCAGAGATGGTTTTTTAAGATGAGGCCAAATGATAGCTGTTTTTAGTGTGGGTGGGATGTGGCCGCTCTGAAGGGACTGATTTATTATGGCAGTGATAAGTGGGCTTAATGCAGAGGCATTGGATTTGATCAGAGGGGTGGGGAATGGATCAAGGGGACAAGAGGAGGGCCGCATTTTACGCACAGTTCCCTCAACTTCTCTCTCAGTAGCATTGGTGAACTGAGAGAAGCCACCTCCTGAGTCTGCTACTGCGCAGCCTCGGATGAGGTTGCCACTAGCAGAGAGTGAGGTACGGATCTTGTCTGTCTTAGAGGTGAAATGTTCCATGAATTTATTGCACTCGTGTTCTGACTGGTTATTGCAGACTTTGGTCTTTGGTTTGATGAGTTTGTTTACTATGGAGAAAAGTTGTTTTGAATTTCCAGGGTTGTTGTTTATAGCGTTTGAATAGTATTGTGATCTGGCAGTGGTTAGTGCTCTTGAATAGCGTTTTTGATGGTCCCTATATGCCAGATTGTGAACTGTTAAATTGTTTTTCACAGCACGACGCTCAAGAGCACGGCCTGCTGTTTTTAACTGCCGAAGCTCGTTGGTAAACCACGGTGCTGATTTTGTAAAAGTGACTGTTCTTGATTTGACAGGGGCGTGGATATTAAGAAGGTTCTGAAGCGCTGTATTGTAATGATTTACAGAGTCATCAATGGAGGTGTTTGGTGCATTACTAACTAGGTTAGTTATGTCCAGGTTAAGGTCTGTTTGATTGATGTTTTTCAGGTTCCTGAATGTTAAAGAGTGCTTTGGTTTACAGAGGTTGTGTGGGGGGAGATCAATGGATATAACTTTGTGATCAGAGACACCAATGTCATAAACGTGCGGTTTTGAAATGGGAACTGAGTCTGTGATGACAAGATCCAAAATATGTCCTTTGCTGTGGGATGGGACGTCCACGTGCTGCTGTAGACTCAGGCAGTCCAAAAGGTCCAGAAATTCAGCTGCAAAGTGGTCTGAGGGAGTGTCAACATGTATGTTTAGATCACCAAGTATCAAAACATTTGATGAGGAAGTGCAGATAGTTGCAAGGAAATCATGGATTTCCTTGATAAAGTCTGGGTGCTTTTTTGGTGGACGATAGATCAAGAGTATTGTTATGGGAAGTGGGTATTTACCTTTGAGTCCCAGACATTCAAATGTGGTCAGATTTGGAAGGGGGATTGGGGTCAACTTCAGGGCGGAGTGGTGTAAAATGGCCAGTCCCCCACCTCTGCCAGTGGTGCGTGCTCTCTCAGCATAGGCATAGCCAGGAGGACATGACTCATTTAAAGCAGAGAAAACATCCGGTTTTTGCCATGTTTCTGTGAGGCACATGATGTCAATGTCCTTCTCTACTATATGGTCGTAGATTAGGCATGCCTTGTTGGAGAGTGACTGTACATTAAAAAGTTCTACTTTAGTGTTCTGTAAACGAGCCATCCTTGGCAGAGGTCTGAGAACTGTAAAATCCACTCCAGGATTTTGCTTCCGCCGCGTCCACTGTAGAGCAGGAGCTGCGCTTGTAGTCTCCATGGTGACAGCGTTCTGATGACGCGTTCGAGCTGCGACGAAGCGTGTCTCCGACCAGACCGCCGGGACAGTGTTGCCGCTGGACTTTTGCCGCTTTAGCCAACGACCCGACCCCCGATGGACATAGCGAGGTCTCCGGAGGATACCCAGGTGTTTCAGGATTCCGGTGTCAAGTTGATAGCGGTGATTGTTCAATTCCAGCAGGCGCGATGGTGTATACTGGAGCATGTCTCTGGATGGGCTCCGATAGCCGAGTGCGAACTCCACGACAGGCTGATGTATCTGACCACTCAGAAGTACTTTTACTCTACACACTGAAGTGGTCCACCACAGGACATTTGGTAGCAGCACCAGGATCAGCGCGTAGGACATCGATATGCCAGTGTTGGAAGGTGGGTACATGCTAACAGTGGCTAATGCTGGTTCCAAGTTGTACTCAGAAAAAACAAAAAACAAAAAACTGTGTGGGATGCATTCATTACTGACTGTCAATCAGTGAAAGCCTACTGTTCATCAGCATGCCAGATTACTCTATGACCGCTTCTGGTCATTGAAAATAGCATAAAATGTCATAAAATGCGGAGAAGCGGCAAACAGTCAACGCCAGCGTCCTCTCCCGGTCTCTCACAAGCCAATCAGAGGAAGGGCAGTCACGGCCAGACACCGGAGCACGCCGTCCATGTGGATGGAACTCTTTTTGGTGTAAGTCAAACCTTGGTAGGCGGGCACACAGCGTCACTTCGCCCAATCAGCTTGAAGTATTCTGCTGCTTATCCCTCCTTTCCCCGAAAGGATTCTCCTGCAGAAGTCCCAGATTGATATTGTGGAGAACGCATTAGAGTTCTACACAATCATCAATCTGGCTCTTGCCAGGTTACACGTGTGGGTCTGTTGTGTTACTTTGTCTTTCAGTGCGTGTGGTTTGTGATGTTGATACTTTGCTGTATGACGTCGGACTTCTGCGCAATTATTTTTAAAGATTGTTGTTCGTGTTGTTCTGGCGCGTTGACACGGAGAGCACTCCTCTCATGGACACTTATAAGTTAAATTCTGAGCCTATGAATTCAAAAAACATGGTGGAGGTAAATATTCTTAAAAAGGTCACATTTGTTTTTACTTAACTTGTTTTTTCATATGGAGCAGCTGTAAATATTACACAGAGTGGCTTTAAAAAAAATTGTGCTATACACTACTTTTGAATTATTTTTTTGGTTTTTGCATAAAAATGCGATTAATCACAATCAGGGAAATCATGCGATTAATTGCGATTAAACATTTTAATCGTTGCCCAGCCCTAATTTTAACTTATTCTGTGTGTAAAAATGTTGGAAAACTTCTTTAGCTACCAACCTCTCCCTTTGAGTCCACTTCTCATTTCAGCACGGACTGAAATTGGTTTAAACGTCTTTGTTAATACTGCACACCACATAAACAGTAAAATATGTAAAAAACCTGAAAATGAACAACTGTGATGGGTTTTTTTTGTTCTCCAGGTGTTCTCTCAGGAGTACATCAACCTGCTCCTGTCTCTGTACTTCTTCGTCCTGGGAGTCCTGGCTCTGTCCCACACCATCAGGTATGAACAGGGAGGACATGTGTGAGAAAGTCCAAACGCTTCCAAGCATTTTTCACTGTTTCTTCACTTTGCATTTTCCCTCTGGCCGCGGCGTTTATGAATTAAATTACATTGCAACTGGATCCAGCCTCTCCCTTTTTTTTTCTATACTCATCTAGAGCTTCATGTACTTATCTCAGACCCATCGGTTTTAGGCTCCTCTTTCAAAGTGCACTGCGTCTACACCACGACGGAAAACAATGTAGTTGTAGCTTGCGGCCAGTAGGGGGCAGCGGAAGTTTACAACACGACACACACGACCCCCAGCTGTAAAACCACTGGAAAGAACCAACACAGAGAGAGAGATATTTGGTTTTGACAAAGGAGAAGAATCCTCCTCCGTTTGCATTAGCACATGTAGCATTAGTCAACCTGCCGCCATTGTTGTTTTCAAAATCTCCATGGAAACGAAAACACACACTATAAACTCATAACCTTTTACCATCGCAGCGTCTCGCACCGTAGTTAGTAAGTAAAGGGATTCGGTCTGTCACAAGGAAAGTGTCAAAAGTGTCCAATTTTGTGAAGAAAATGAAAAAAGATCGTAAAATGATAATAAAAAAAACAATGGTTCTATTTCTTGCGCCCGCAGAAGAATAAGCGTATTATCCCATTAATCTAGACCTGAACGAAAGTACTTGTTTTTATTACTTTTGTTTTTCACTGTCTTTTGACAATTGCACAACCTTCTGTTTGCAGTCCGTTGGTTGCTTCAGTTCTTCCAGCGTCATTCCCAAACAACCCCTATCAGCTGCTCTTCACCCAGGGCACAGGAGAGGACAAGGAGGGTGAGTGCACGGCCTCAATCACTGCTCATTCATTTATTCATTCAAGGTTTGGTCGATGGGAAAGATTAAAGCAGCAGTCTGTAAAAATGTGGCCAAAAGTGGTACTGCAGCCTCTCCCACTCTCCCTGACTCAGGTTGCCAGATATGCAGACGAATCCAGCTGGGACCATAACAGCTGAATAGACAAGAGTTTTGTCAACAACAAATCTATAACCAACACCTTTTTCACAAAGATAGAAATCCTGGTTTTATTCCTTGTTTTGTCGTTAATGATTTGAGAATCATAACGAGACCTTTTTTAGTTCTGCGCCACATGGTACTTTACCAGTGAGATTAGCTCCACGCTGTGAGTTCTGGCGCCCGGACTTTCTGATTGGTGAAACGGTGGAAGGCAGGACATCAAAATGAAAACAATAACAAGATTTAGAGGCTGGAAAAGTAATTTAGAAATTCAAATGTCTCTGAACTACTGTTATCAGTTAAAGAAGTATTGGAAAAGAACATGTTTTATTAATGTCTTTAGACATATTAGGGCCCTTTAATGATGACAGATTTGGGCCCTTTAATTATGACATCACCACTAGCCCCCACTTTAGTGAGAAAAGCAACAGGTCTGTGGTTAGCACCGACAGCTGAGTTAGCACAACAAGCAGCAAAGGCTAACCTGAAACTTCCCGCGTCTTCGTTACTGCTTACTCAGCGAAACATCCATCCAAAAGAAAGTCTCGTCCTCTCCGCGCTTCCCGGTTCTGACATTCTATGGTCACGCCATCCATGTGCAAAAGTGCCATATTGATCCATATTGTTAGAGGCTAACTTCGAAGCTAACAGCACAGCGCACAGGCTGCGGGGGAGGGGGGAGTGGGGGGGGCGAAAACTCCGTGGGTGCGGGGAGAGAGGGAGCTCATTGCTCGCGATTAAACATTTCTCAAAATCAGTTAGTGCAGCTTTAATGATAACATATCAGGGCCCCTTAATGACGACAGATTAGGGCCCTTTAATGATGACAGATTAGGGCCCTTTAATGATGACAGATTATGGCCCTTTAATGATGACAGATTATGGCCCTTTAATGATGACTTGACATGAAAATCTTACATATTGCTACTTTAATAACACCATAAAACCTGTTGTTTTTGCAGAGATTCTGAATTATGAGTTCGACACGAAGAGTCTGGTGTGTCTCGTGCTCAGTTCAGTGGTTGGAGTGTGGTATCTCTTCAAAAAGGTACATGATTCTTACTGTGTCTTTTTATTATGAACATGCATGCACTAAAACCTAGCCTCGATGCTACAAATCAGGCTTGTTATGAGTTGGCGCTGTAACATAAGCCTGGACTCTGTGTATATTCAATGTATTGTGGTATCGCCCTAAATAACAACAGCAGTTATCTCAGAGTCACAGATCTGAGAATCAAACGGTTCAGACACAAAAAATATAGAACACATGGGTTTTGGTCCATAGGGAGTTGACCAACGTCCACAAATTGTGATAAATGTCCATACATGTTGTAGAATGAAGTGTCTATGGCTGGTCACAAGCTGTCTGTAAAGGGCTCTAATATTCAAGAGAACCTGTGTATGATTCAGAAAGTATTCAATCCCCTTTATTTTGTCCTCTTTTTGCAATAGCTTAGACCAGGGCTGTCAAACCGGTTCCAGAAAGGTCCGGAGTGGCTGCAGTGGAGTGGCTGCACGTTTTAGTTCCAACCCGAGCAGGGGAACAGCAGACTCCACCCATTTTCTCAAATCCTCAGGTTAAAACCGGTGGGGGCGGGTCCCGGCTCTAATGGGTCCATGAGCATGTGCCCTGAAATGCTGCAATCTCACTCCTTGCCGGTGGGGGTGTACCCGGAAATAGAATGACCCAACTGTAGAGCAGGGTCATCAATCATTAGAAAATTGTATAAGACCCAGCCTCTCAGAACTCAGAAATGACACTCAGGACGTGACAGACTTTAGACCAGAGGGTTCTGTGGGTTAGTGTGTGTTATTTTTCAACAAAAGGCAGATTTCTAAACTCTGAAAGTGGCTGTAGCATTGCTAAAAGGAGAAAAGGTGATTATAATACGTTCTGATTGCACCCAAACTTCACCTATATAATGATTTAGAAATAGATCTGTTGACAGCCCTCTGTGTTGTGCCCCTTCAGCACTGGATTGCCAATAACCTTTTTGGTTTGGCCTTTGCCCTGAACGGAGTCGAGCTGCTGCACCTCAACAATGTCAGTACCGGCTGCATCCTGCTGGGGGGGCTGTTTGTCTACGATGTCTTCTGGGTATGTGCTCGTTTGCCGTCACAACCATAGACTGTATAATGGAGATGGTCAGAGCCAGGGTTGCCAGGTTGGGTGGGCTCCTGCATACTTTTGTTCCAAGCGACTTGCAGGTAATTAATAGACAGAATCATGATAGCCCAAGTTGACTACATTACGTTTTTAACCAAAAAATCATTCTGGGTGGATATTTTTTTTTTTTTTTTGTGGCATTCTTGCAGGTTTTGGGCTGGAAAATCTTAATGGCATTTGGCAACCTTTGTCAGAGCTTTCATTGACAATGAAACGCCACTTTCTTTGGTTTTAGCCCTCCATGTGATCTTAATGTTTTTAGGGTTTTGGTTTTTGTATGTCAGGATCTGCCCAATTCTAGCAAATCAATACAGTGCCTTTTTATATAACCCCTGAATCAGTCCTCAGTCAGCTAGGCAATGGCTAAACCTGCTACTTCTGGTAAAAACTAAAAACCAAAAGCTACAGGGGACTCACTCACAGTCTATGCTCAAAAAAATACACTTGAAACAATGTGTTCTTTACCCAGGATTTGTTTTTCAGGTTTTTGGGACGAATGTGATGGTGACTGTGGCCAAGTCATTCGAAGCTCCAATAAAATGTGAGTGTCTCTAGATCAAGCCCCACTGATCCAAGATGGCGGCCTGTTCAGATCAGTGGCTCGAGCTCAGTAGTGCATGGGACAGACACAGGGACTAAAAGATTAGAGGAACCAGTCCATATTTGGGTCGTCTGGTCTGGTCTATAGTAACACCCTATCCAGCTGTTATATCACATCCATGCTCTTAATACTTCATTTGGCACTTGTTAAATATACGTTCCAATGCATTTTGAAAAAGCCCACAGACGACTAAAGTGATGTCACATTAGTTTCACGTGTAAGACTATAACGGCATGTGTTTGTACGTTTCAGTGGTGTTCCCTCAGGACCTGCTGGAGAAGGGCCTCGGGGCCAGTAACTTTGCCATGTTGGGTTTGGGCGACATCGTGATCCCGGGAATTTTCATTGCTCTCTTACTGCGCTTTGATGTCAGGTAATGATAATACTGTGACGATGCTGTGACGATACTGTGACGATACGGTGACGATACTGTAGCAATACTGTGACGATGCTGTGGCGATACGGTGACGATACTGTAGCGATACTGTGGCGATGCTGTGGCGATACTGTGACGATGCTGTGGCGATGCTGTGGCGATACTGTGACGATGCTGTGACGATGCTGTGGCGATGCTGTGACGATGCTGTGGCGATACTGTGACGATGCTGTGGCGATACTGTGACGATGCTGTGACGATGCTGTGGCGATGCTGTGACGATGCTGTGGCGATACGGTGACGATGCTGTGGCGATGCTGTGGCGATACTGTGACGATGCTGTGACGATGCTGTGACGATGCTGTGGCGATACTGTAGCGATACTGTGACGATGCTGTGACGATGCTGTGACGATGCTGTGGCGATACGGTGACGATACTGTAGCGATACTGTGACGATGCTGTGACGATGCTGTGACGATGCTGTGGCGATACGGTGACGATGCTGTGGCGATACTGTGACGATGCTGTGACGATGCTGTGACGATGCTGTGACGATGCTGTGGCGATACGGTGACGATACTGTAGCGATACTGTGGCGATGCTGTGACGATACTGTGACGATGCTGTGACGATGCTGTGGCGATGCTGTGGCGATACGGTGACGATGCTCTGGCGATGCTGTGACGATACGGTGACGATACTGTAGCGATACTGTGGCGATGCTGTGGCGATGCTGTGGCGATGCTGTGACGATGCTGTGGCGATACTGTGACGATACGGTATACTGTGGCGAAAATGTGACGATGCGGTATACTGTGACGATACTGTGACGATGCTGTGACGATACTGTGACGATGCTGTGGCGATACTGTGACGATACTGTAGCGAAAATGTGACGATACGGTATACTGTGGCGATACGGTGACGAAACTGTCGATACTGTGATAATAATAATAATAATTCTGTAATAATAATGATAATACTGTGATAAGCCGTCGGCAGGTTTAGAACAACCTGTAGATTGACGTGTTTTTGTTCGTTTGTGCGTCTAGTCTGAAGAAGAACACACGGACGTACTTTTACACCAGCTTCGTGGCTTACATCTTTGGTCTGGTTCTGACCATCTTCATCATGCACACCTTCAAACACGCTCAGGTCAGTCTGCACGCCATGCTCAGGTCAGTCTGCACACCTTCAAACACGCTCAGGTCAGTCTGCACACCTTCAAACACGCTCAGGTCAGTCTGCACGCCATGCTCAGGTCAGTCTGCACACCTTCAAACACGCTCAGGTCAGTCTGCACGCCTTCAAACACGCTCAGGTCAGTCTGCACGCCACGCTCAGGTCAGTCTGCACGCCTTCAAACACGCTCAGGTCAGTCTCTGGGTCTTTGTCGTTGGAGAAAATGTCACGGCACGCCACCGGCTAAAAAGTAACTGCAGCCTTTTTAAGTAGAAAGAAAAGTCATTCCCATCAAAGTTTATCAATAGAACATCCAACAAACTCAATGTTTTCTAATCTTCTCACATTATTTAAGTTTCACATTATTTGGACCAATCACTTGATAATGAATCATTTCTAAAAGCACAAAGGCAAAATCTCTAGGCACACAAACAGGCCACTGGTTGGAAAACACTCTTTTTGGACGTTATTAATAAATAACGGGTAAAATGTGTTAACTGCGTAACACAAGGTACATTTAGCAGATATGAAATGAAAAAAGTGTCATTTGATTGTGAAAAGGGGTTGGGTAAAGCAGAGGTTTATACATTTCCAACCCTCTCTCAAACAGACAGGAAAATACAAACTAGAATTAAAATCAGTGCCTTTGGGTTTGAACTAGAATGAGTCTGAAAGTGTGTGTCATCTAAGAGTGTAACTAACTGCTTTCTATGTGTTGTGTGATAAACGTGACTGTCTGTCTGTGTGTGTCTGTATGTCTCTGTGTGCGTGTCTGTCTGTGTGTGTGTGTCTGTCTGTGTGTGTGTGTGTGCGTCCTCCAGCCTGCCCTCCTCTACCTGGTCCCTGCTTGTGTTGGGTTCCCGGTGGTTGTGGCTCTGCTCAAAGGAGAACTCACAGAAATGTTCAGGTGAGTTTTCAGCCAAACAGTTTTTTTAAGCCTTTTTTAAATTAAAAATAAAAATGTATCTAAATAAACAGTAGTAGTGCAGTGAGTTTATTTAATCAAAAAAGGACTGAAATCTCAAAATTCAAATCGGTCTTTTGCAAATGCCGCGTACAAAACTAAACCCTTTATATACATACAAACATATATATACATACACATAACCATATATATATATATATATATATATATATATATATATATATATATATATATATATAAATAATACACACACACAAATATTTTGAAATTTACCTTTTTGTAAATAAACAGAATACTTTACAAAATACATTTGGGGTAATTTATTCAGCCATTTTATAGTATTTTCCCAAAACTGATCTTAGACCTGTTATAAAAGGTCAATGTTGATTCCATTTTCTCACCTCACTTTCTTTTCTTATCCTTTTTCCCTCTGTGTCCCTCCCTCCCTCCCCTCCTTCCCTCCCTCCCTCCTTCCCCTCCTTCCCTCCCTCTTTCCTTCCCTCCCTCTTTCCTTCCCTAATCTCTGTGTCACTAGTTTTGAGTCCACGGTTGAGTTCCTCCCTTCGTCTCCTCGCCTCAGTTCTTTTCCTTCCGTCAGTGGTTCTCCGTCGAGTCTCGTTAGTTCTATGGAAATGTATCAGCGCCGTAGACCGAGTCCAAACCCTGTGGCTCTCTAGACCGAGTCCAAACCCTGTGGCTCTCTAGACCGAGTCCAAACCCTGTGGCTCTCTAGACCGAGTCCAAACCCTGTGGCTCTCTAGACCGGGACAAAACCCAAAGCCAAGCCATGGCGTATGTATCTGGGGCTAGCTACATAAGATAGCTACGTCACACTAGAGCAGGGGTCTCCAACATGTTCTGATTGGAGAGCTACTTTTATAGAAACAGAAATGGCAGAGAGCTACTTTTATAGAAACAGAAATGGCAGAGAGCTACTTTTATAGAAACAGAAATGGCAGAGAGCTACTTTTATAGAAACTGAAATGGCCGGGAGCTATTTTTATAGAAACAAAAATGGCAGAGAGCTACTTTTATATAAACTGAAATGGCCGGGAGATACTTTTATAGTAGTCGTAATATAACTGTAATCTATTTAATAAATAACTCCGGTAAAACGGACAAAACTAATCATACTTACAACGGTAAATCAAATTGGATCTTCAATGCCTCGAAATATAATCGTATAGGATCGTGTGTCAAACTCCTGAATCCTTTGGGGAGCTACTGTTAGCTCCCAAGCTCCAGGTTGGAGACCCCTGCACTGGAGGAAACGTGATGAACAAAGCATTGAGTCCAGTTTGTGTTAGACTGAAATAACCAAAGTTAGTCAGAGTTAACCCTACAGACCATTGGATGTGAAACGGGCCAAAGCTGGAGGTCTGAAACTCGCAAAGACAGAGGACTACTATGAAAATAAGAAGGTGTAAATAAATGTTTGGATTCTTTGACTACTAAAGGTTAACTGTACTTTTATGATTAAAAATAAAGAAAAGATGCCACACACTTGAAACAATGCTTCTGGTTTGTCTAACTTTTTAACCACGACTCACCTTTTTCTTTGAGAACCCTCTCATGGCACATCACCTTCTGCTTTTATTAAAGAACTAATATGTAAGATTATCATGTCATCATTAAAGGGCCCTAATCCGTCATCATTAAAGGGCCCTACTCTTTCATAATAATAAACCGCTCTTTTCCAACACTTCTTTAACTGATAACTGTAGTTCAGAGATATTTGAATTTCTAAATTACTTTTCCAGCCTCTAAATCTTGTTATTGTTTTCATTTCAATGTCTCGCCCTCCACTGTTTCACCAATCAAAGTCTGTAATGCCAGAACTCACCGCGTGGAGCTAATCTCACTGGTAAAGTACCATGTGGCGCGGAACTAAAAAAGGTCTCGTTATGATTCTCAAATCATTAACGACAAAACAAGGAATAAAACCAGGATTTCTAAAAAAAAGGTGTTGGTTATAGATTTGTTGTTGACAAAACTCTTGTCTATTCAGCTGTTATGGTCCCAGCTGGATTCGTCTGCATATCTGGCAACCTGAGTCAGTACTTTTAAGTCTCATCAAAATGTATTATATCAAAAATTCAACGACCTCAAAAAGGTTTTTCTAATCCTCACACATAATTTCTCGCGGCCCACTGGTTGGAAAACACTGGTCTAGATAAACGCCATGTCCTCGTAAACATTAGTGTTTTTAAGTTCTCTTCCATCACAGACCGTTTCAAACTAAACTACAGCAGAACCACGTCGGTAACTCTTCCTGTTTTGTGTTTTTGAGCAGATACGAGGAAGAGACGAGCGAAGAGGCCGGACCGGACTCCGAGGCAGAGAAAAAAGACCAGTAGCATTTTTGTTTGATGTTTTTTCTCATGTTTTTTTTCTCAACGACATTTCACTGAAGCGCCCTCCTCCTCCTCCTGCTGGTTGCCATGGGAACGGGGCTCATGTGCCTAAACCAGGAGCCGATCCACAGCCGGAGCGACTTCAGCTCTGCTTCACGGACTCGTTACAGTATCTGGACTTGACTACAGAGGCCATTTATTCTCTTTGAGCTGGAAAGACAGAAAAGCTCAGTGTAGTTTACAATAATTGAAGTTTTTACAAATTGTAGAGTAAGGAATGTAACTTATTTTTATGTCTGATTCCAAGACCACGGGAATCATTCGTTTCTTTCTAAAGGATTTTTTTAATCCTGTTTTTCTTTTACTTATGATTTTTGATCCTATTCTGTATTATTTTAGCATCATTTATAAAATGTATTCAACAACACTGAGGATTGGGATCTTTTTCATAGACACGCTCCTCACTTCGATGTCTTGAACCCAATCCACTCGTGTTTGTGGGAAATCTTTGAGGTGTTGCAAAAACCAAAAATACCTTTTCCAGATCTTTTCAGCCGGAACGTCTCAAACTGGTTTTGTTTAGTTGTTGCAGCAGAAAAAGGGAAACTGCCCTGTTTGATGTTCATAATAAAAGTATGTGAATGATCTTGAAACGGTTTGCTCTTTGTAGTGTCAGTTTTAACCAGACATGCTGCAATCTCACTCCAGGCTGGTGGGGGTGTACCCGGAAAGAGAATTACGTCTTCTTTAATCTGGAAAACGTCTTTACAGGATGGTCCAAAAGTCGTTCCAGATGCTTTTTTTTTTTGGGACCAGTCTGGTTTAGTCGCTGTGGATTTAATGCACTCGTTAAATGAATTGGGCTGGTGTTCCTAACATGTTCTTGCCCCAGCGGCCATTTTGAAAATGCCACTGAAGGCAAATGTAGTTTCATCAGCGGAGATAGGAGTGATATGTCCTTTTAGATTCTTATGGATTTCACTTTTGAACATAAGTCAGATTCTGTGTTTAGAAAGATTAGGTCAAAGCTTTATTCACAAGTTTTACACATTTACATATAGTCAACTTTTTTTATTTTACAATTTATACATGTTCAGAGAGAACGAGCTGCTCTGTTCCATTTGATTGTGCATCATGTTAGTGTGAGTTCACAAGGATCCTCGTCGGTTATTTGTACCTAATATTTGATAATTCACTCATGAACAAGTGGTTAGACTGCATTTTTACAAAACAAACCAGGTTAAAGTTTGACCAAGCAAAGAATAAAACTTCTAAACTGACACCTATTGTAATTATAAAAACTATCTTTTACTAAATAGAAATGGTATGAAACTCTTAAAAGCAAAACTATTATTCATAAAACACTTGAATGGTATCGGTCCATGATTGGTCAGGAGTAAACAGACAGCTGCCGCACGGTGCTCAGGTCCCACCAGAGCTGCCTAAATCTCTGCTTCAGATCCGGGACATGGGAGCCAGGGTCTGCCTCCAGCTGGTCCATCCAGGACTCCAGGCCTAAGACACAGTCACCTTTAGTCTCCAGCGCTTTATATTCAGACTTAAACATCAGTTTACCGTCCAGCTCCGTCTCCATCCGCTCCAGGCGGCTGCAGATTTCCTGTTGGAGACTCTCTATGTGGTCCAAAAGATTGAGCTCTGGACTCCTGCAGGTCTCTGAGGGCCGAGGGGGTCTGTGGTCCTGATCCGATTCTGATTTGAACTCCTCTGGACCTGCCTGAAACCCAACCCAAAGTTAGACAGTGTAGATGAACAAGAACAGGTCAATATAAAAATATAAATGTTCGTACTTGAGCTAGGGATGGTTTCTGATAGCAGTGCTCGCTGCTTACGTAACACACAACTTTGGGCTCCTCCCCTTCCTCACGTCGCCACGGTAACCTCCAGAACCTTAGTTCTGCCTCTGATCCAGACCTGAAATACATTCCTCCCTTTTAGTTCATACATCTCGTAACAGTTTTATTTATACCCTGGCTCCTTCCTTTGTACTTTTATTAAAATACAGTCTGGTTAAACACTTGAATAAAACATTGACGACAAGTACTCACTGCAGAAGGCGGAGCTTGAGCCCAATGGCCGCCGTTACCATGGAGATTGTATGACTGTGTGCTAGCAGACGGCGCGTGTGAGCGACCTGCGCAGAATTCTGCTCAGAGAAGTTTTGCTCCACACAGGACAACCCAAACATGTGACCAGACGTCAGCCAATCAGAGCTGAGCTTCCTACGGTCCCTGGACGCTGCAGGAGTCTGCTCTGAGCCTCGGCAGGAGAAGCACGTGTAGCTCTGAGGATGATGGTGCTCCAGGAGGCCGAGGCAGGCGCCGTGCTGCCAGGAGCGGCACTGAGAGCACTGGACACACATACACACATGCACACATTAATACACATGAATACACACACATGTACACATTAATACGCACATACACACATTATGCACATACACATGAATACACACACATGCACACATTAATACACACATACACACATTAATACGCACATACACATGAATATACACACACACATGTACACGTTGTGTGAGTCTAGTTTCTCCTGGAGACATTTTGGAACCTTTAGATTGTGGACATTGTTCATAAAAACAGCTGTTTTAAGGTCAACTAGATCTGGTCATTCTAATGTTTTTCATGATAGGTTACACAACGTACAGAAAAAGTCTTGGCCGGTCTAACAACTGCACAAAAGCCAATGGATCATGGACCATCACTGGTAAAGTGTGTTCTTACCTGGATCATGAAGTCGCTCTCCTCGTTGACCTCACACACACACTTGACCACATCACTCTCCGTCTCTTCGGGCACGGGCCACACGGGCGTGTCCTCGCCACTCTCCGCCGTCAGAGTCGACCAATCACTTCCCTCCTCTGGCCCTGGACACGTTCAGGACTCACCATTATTACACTTACATTACGTTTCTCAAACCTGTTACAACAGCCATTCCCAAACTCAGTAACACCGAGGCCCCCTTAAAAATCTGACGGGTCTGCGTGGCCCCCCAAAATAATAACCAAGAAGACAACATTAAGAATAGGCTCTTCTGGTTATTTTATTTTGGGGAAATAGCCTCTGCTACAAACATTGTAATACAAAAATGATTACAGTGGATTATTCAAGTCAAATAATGAACACAAATATTTTAATATTACAAACAAAACATTATAAATTTAACATTAAATAATTATATTATTTTTTTATTTTTTTTATGACCTCCCGCGGCCCCCCTGCAGTACCCTCGCGGCCCACCAGGGGGCCGCGGACCCCACTTTGGGAGACACTGTGTTACAAGATACTAGAATTTATTTGCCATTTGCAGTAAAACCACATTGGAAAAACTGTGCAAGACTCCCCAAGTGTGAACCAGACAGAGCAGACGGCACACACCCGTCACATTGACTACTGCACTGCTTTTATCACCCGTCACATTGACTGCTGCTGCTTTTATCACCCGTCACATTGACTGCTGCTTTTATCACCCGTCACATTGACTGCTGCACTGCTTTTATCACCCGTCACATTGACTGCTGCTTTTATCACCCGTCACATTGACTGCTGCACTGCTTTTATCACCCGTCACATTGACTGCTGCTTTTATCACCCGTCACATTGACTGCTGCTTTTATCACCCGTCACATTGACTGCTGCACTGCTTTTATCACCCGTCACATTGACTGCTGCACTGCTTTTATCACCCGTCACATTGACTGCTGCACTGCTTTTATCACCCGTCACATTGACTGCTGCACTGCTTTTATCACTCGTCACATTGACTGCTGCACTGCTTTTATCACCCGTCACATTGACTGCTGCTTTTATCACCCGTCACATTGACTGCTGCTTTTATCACCCGTCACATTGACTGCTGCACTGCTTTTATCACCCGTCACATTGACTGCTGCACTGCTTTTATCACCCGTCACATTGACTGCTGCACTGCTTTTATCACCCGTCACATTGACTGCTGCACTGCTTTTATCACCCGTCACATTGACTGCTGCACTGCTTTTATCACCCGTCACATTGACTGCTGCACTGCTTTTATCACCCGTCACATTGACTGCTGCACTGCTTTTATCACCCGTCACATTGACTGCTGCTTTTATCACCCGTCACATTGACTACTGCACTCCTTTGCTCTCATTTCAGGTCTTCTTTTACTCCAAAACTCGGCAGCTCGTGTCCGGACTAAGACCACGGGGCGTGTCGGACCACAGGGCGTGTCCGGACTAAGACCCAAGGGGCGTGTCCGGACTAAGACCACGGGGCGTGTCCGGACTAAGACCACGGGGCGTGTCGGACCACGGGGCGTGTCGGACCACGGGGCGTGTCCGGACTAAGACCACGGGGCGTGTCCGGACTAAGACCACGGGGCGTGTCGGACCACGGGGCGTGTCGGACCACGGGGCGTGTCGGACCACGGGGCGTGTCGGACCACGGGGCGTGTCGGACCACGGGGCGTGTCGGACCACGGGGCGTGTCCGGACTAAGACCACGGGGCGTGTCGGACCACGGGGCGTGTCGGACCACGGGGCGTGTCGGACCACGGGGCGTGTCCGGACTAAGACCACGGGGCGTGTCGGACCACGGGGCGTGTCCGGACTAAGACCACGGGGCGTGTCGGACCACGAGGCGTGTCGGACCACGGGGCGTGTCCGGACTAAGACCACGGGGCGTGTCGGACCACGGGGCGTGTCGGACCACGGGGCGTGTCGGACCACGGGGCGTGTCGGACCACGGGGCGTGTCGGACCACGGGGCGTGTCCGGACTAAGACCACGGGGCGTGTCCGGACTAAGACCACGGGGCGTGTCCGGACTAAGACCACGGGGCGTGTCCGGACTAAGACCAGGGGGCGTGTCCGGACTAAGACCAGGGGGCGGGACCACATTACACCGGGTTTAAAATCACTGCATTGTCTCTCGGTGTGTCTCGGTTCTTTTTATGGTTTTTAAATGTTTTAATGGTCTTGGGCCTTGCTTTTTTTTTCAGAACTGCTTTTACAATATAAACCTGCTTTTACCCACCAGGGCTTCAGGAAAAGTGGGGTTAAGCGTCTTGCCCAAGGACACAACAGCAGCAGAGATCAGAGGGAGCAGGTGACATGGGTCGTGGGGGAATTGAACCCACAACCATTAGGTTCAAGGTTTTCCCAGGAACATAGATGAAATGGAAAATAACCTTCTAAATCTATCACAATTACCAGGTTTCAGTTTGTACATTTGTGTCGCATGATTGTTGACATCACTGGGATCTGAACACAGAACATTCCCAACCATTTTGAGAGCAGGGCCTGGAACTTTACACCAACACATCCTTTGTTTTCTTTATGTCAGAGATTTCAACCAGGACTCTGCCATCATGTGAAGGGAAACATCTGGACTCAGGAAAGCGGTCTGTAAGATTATGTGTGGACTGGCCTGGTCTAGGTGGGTCCAGGTTGTTGGGGACTGACGGATGATCCAGGAACTCATCCTCGCTGCTGCAGAATACTGAAACAAAAACAGGAAGAACAAATTGCAGGACTGAAGTAAACAGAGAGAAAAGGGCGGACACAGGACCTTAAAGATGCAGTCAGTGATTTGTCCAGACGCATTATTTAAATATTGTGTTATGTGTTTTCTAATTTCTAATAGTAGCCGAGAACAAACGTAAACAACAATGGCGGCTCTAGTTTCAGTTCCCATTTCCGCAGCTGCTGTTAAAAAGCAGAATGATGTTGGTGCACCTTTCACGTCTTGCAGAGGAAGTGAGTATACTGCTGAGGGGGCTGGGGCTCACGTGTGTAGTGTTGTAAAGCTCTTCTGCCCCCTACTGGCCGGACGCTAGAACTACATTGTTTTTGATCCTCGTATGAAGGCTGTTAAATTTGCATTAGGAGCCTGGTCGTTTCTGTTCATAGCCTGGAAACGTCTGCGCAGCGTCTCCGTCTAAACTGGGCCTTAGTCTCAAAAGCGGAGATGGAAGATGTTCTAGACCCACCTGCATGACTTCTTCTCCTCTTCTTCTTTTTCTTCTTTTTCTTCTTCTTGAGCTTGACCCGAAGGAAGTGTTTTCTGTTTCTACTCCGCTCTCGTCTCATGGTTCTGTCTGCGTCCGTCTTCGGAACTGAGTAGAACAGACATTTTAGAACAGACTAATTTTGCGATGATAAAAAATATGAACGTGATAATAACACTGTTAAAATGAACCTGTTTCCACTGGAACCGTTTCCTGACCGTTTCCATGACGACAGGTGTCAAGATCCAGTTTAGACTCAGACGTATCAGAGATTCCTTCAGACGACAACCGCTTTCTTCTGCTTTTTTTAAAAACACATTCAAAAACATCACATTAATCGATAAACCTGAAGAGGGGAGAGTTTGGAAATGAAAAATGTGTTTATCTATGTTTAAAGTAGTCGCAGTGGTAATATTAAGACAACACTAGACCACAGCTTGTCCACAATTATTGGCAAAGATTTGTAAAGTGCTATTTTGTTAAAAAGTACGTAAAATATAAAAACATGATCTGATGAAGGCATAAAGCCGAAACATTATAAATAAATACGATTTTGGACGTCTGAGCTGAGTGTGCAATGCTTTCCTGTTTTCTGAAATGTGGATTCTCGCCTCTGAACCTCGTTAATTAATGCTCTTTCTACATTGAAACGATCTTTGACACTAGAACAAAGACTTCAACTGCATTAGGCACAATTAAACAACATAATATTCAAGTTGTATTTATGCACCACTTTGATATCATAGACTCTGTATTTGTAAGGACTGCAGTGAGGATCCAGGACACTGCATTCTACAACATGTATGGACCATCAACATTCTACAACATGTATGGACCATCAACATTCTACAACATGTATGGACCATCAACATTCTACAACTTGTATGGACCATCAACATTCTACAACATGTATGGACCATCAACATTCTACAACATGTATGGACCATCAACATTATACAACATGTATGGACCATCAACATTATACAACATGTATGGACCATCAACATTCTACAACATGTATGGACCATCAACATTCTACAGCATGTATGGACCATCAACATTCTACAGCATGTATGGACCATCAACATTCTACAACATGTATGGACCATCAACATTCTACAACATGTATGGACCATCAACATTCTACAACATGTATGGACCATCAACATTATACAACATGTATGGACCATCAACATTATACAACATGTATGGACCATCAACATTCTACAACATGTATGGACCATCAACATTCTACAACATGTATGGACCATCAACATTATACAACATGTATGGACCATCAACATTCTACAACATGTATGGACCATCAACATTCTACAGCATGTATGGACCATCAACATTCTACAGCATGTATGGACCATCAACATTCTACAACATGTATGGACCATCAACATTCTACAACATGTATGGACCATCAACATTCTACAACATGTATGGACCATCAACATTCTACAACATGTATGGACCATCAACATTATACAACATGTATGGACCATCAACATTCTACAACATGTATGGACCATCAACATTCTACAACATGTATGGACCATCAACATTATACAACATGTATGGACCATTAACATTCTACAACATGTATGGACCATCAACATTCTACAACATGTATGGACCATCAACATTCTACAACATGTATGGACCATCAACATTCTACAACATGTATGGACCATCAACATTATACAACCTGTATGGACCATCAACATTATACAACATGTATGGACCATCAACGTTATACAACATGTATGGACCATCAACGTTCTACAACATGTATGGACCATCAACGTTCTACAACATGTATGGACCATCAACATTCTACAACATGTATGGACCATCAACATTCTACAACATGTATGGACCATCAACATTCTACAACATGTATGGACCATCAACATTCTACAACATGTATGGACCATCAACATTCTACAACATGTATGGACCATCAACATTCTACAACATGTATGGACCATCAACATTCTACAGCATGTATGGACCATCAACATTCTACAGCATGTATGGACCATCAACATTCTACAACATGTATGGACCATCAACATTCTACAACATGTATGGACCATCAACATTCTACAACATGTATGGACCATCAACATTCTACAACATGTATGGACCATCAACATTCTACAACATGTATGGACCATCAACATTCTACAACATGTATGGACCATCAACATTCTACAACATGTATGGACCATCAACATTCTACAACATGTATGGACCATCAACATTCTACAACATGTATGGACCATCAACATTATACAACATGTATGGACCATCAACATTATACAACATGTATGGACCATCAACGTTATACAACATGTATGGACCATCAACATTCTACAACATGTATGGACCATCAACATTCTACAACATGTATGGACCATCAACATTCTACAACATGTATGGACCATCAACATTCTACAACATGTATGGACCATCAACATTCTACAACATGTATGGACCATCAACATTCTACAACATGTATGGACCATCAACATTCTACAACATGTATGGACCATCAACATTCTACAGCATGTATGGACCATCAACATTCTACAGCATGTATGGACCATCAACATTCTACAACATGTATGGACCATCAACATTCTACAACATGTATGGACCATCAACATTCTACAACATGTATGGACCATCAACATTCTACAACATGTATGGACCATCAACATTATACAACATGTATGGACCATCAACATTCTACAACATGTATGGACCATCAACATTCTACAACATGTATGGACCATCAACATTCTACAACATGTATGGACCATCAACATTCTACAACATGTATGGACCATCAACATTCTACAACATGTATGGACCATCAACATTCTACAACATGTATGGACCATCAACATTCTACAACATGTATGGACCATCAACATTCTACAACATGTATGGACCATCAACATTCTACAACATGTATGGACCATCAACATTCTACAACATGTATGGACCATCAACATTCTACAACATGTATGGACCATCAACATTCTACAACATGTATGGACCATCAACATTATACAACATGTATGGACCATCAACATTATACAACATGTATGGACCATCAACATTCTACAACATGTATGGACCATCAACATTCTACAACATGTATGGACCATCAACATTCTACAACATGTATGGACCATCAACATTCTACAGCATGTATGGACCATCAACATTATACAACATGTATGGACCATCAACATTATACAACATGTATGGACCATCAACGTTATACAACATGTATGGACCATCAACGTTATACAACATGTATGGACCATCAACATTCTACAACATGTATGGACCATCAACATTCTACAACATGTATGGACCATCAACATTCTACAACATGTATGGACCATCAACATTCTACAACATGTATGGACCATCAACATTCTACAACATGTATGGACCATCAACATTCTACAACATGTATGGACCATCAACATTCTACAGCATGTATGGACCATCAACATTCTACAGCATGTATGGACCATCAACATTCTACAGCATGTATGGACCATCAACATTCTACAACATGTATGGACCATCAACATTCTACAACATGTATGGACCATCAACATTCTACAACATGTATGGACCATCAACATTCTACAACATGTATGGACCATCAACATTCTACAACATGTATGGACCATCAACATTCTACAACATGTATGGACCATCAACATTCTACAACATGTATGGACCATCAACATTCTACAACATGTATGGACCATCAACATTCTACAACATGTATGGACCATCAACATTCTACAACATGTATGGACCATCAACATTCTACAACATGTATGGACCATCAACATTCTACAACATGTATGGACCATCAACATTCTACAACATGTATGGACCATCAACATTCTACAACATGTATGGACCATCAACATTCTACAACATGTATGGACCATCAACATTCTACAACATGTATGGACCATCAACATTCTACAACATGTATGGACCATCAACATTCTACAGCATGTATGGACCATCAACATTCTACAGCATGTATGGACCATCAACATTCTACAACATGTATGGACCATCAACATTCTACAACATGTATGGACCATCAACATTCTACAACATGTATGGACCATCAACATTCTACAACATGTATGGACCATCAACATTATACAACATGTATGGACCATCAACATTCTACAACATGTATGGACCATCAACATTCTACAACATGTATGGACCATCAACATTCTACAACATGTATGGACCATCAACATTATACAACATGTATGGACCATCAACGTTATACAACATGTATGGACCATCAACGTTATACAACATGTATGGACCATCAACATTCTACAGCATGTATGGACCATCAACATTCTACAGCATGTATGGACCATCAACATTCTACAACATGTATGGACCATCAACATTCTACAACATGTATGGACCATCAACATTATACAACATGTATGGACCATCAACATTCTACAACATGTATGGACCATCAACATTCTACAACATGTATGGACCATCAACATTCTACAACATGTATGGACCATCAACATTCTACAGCATGTATGGACCATCAACATTCTACAGCATGTATGGACCATCAACATTCTACAACATGTATGGACCATCAACATTCTACAACATGTATGGACCATCAACATTCTACAACATGTATGGACCATCAACATTCTACAACATGTATGGACCATCAACATTATACAACATGTATGGACCATCAACATTCTACAACATGTATGGACCATCAACATTCTACAACATGTATGGACCATCAACATTCTACAACATGTATGGACCATCAACATTATACAACATGTATGGACCATCAACGTTATACAACATGTATGGACCATCAACGTTATACAACATGTATGGACCATCAACATTCTACAGCATGTATGGACCATCAACATTCTACAGCATGTATGGACCATCAACATTCTACAACATGTATGGACCATCAACGTTATACAACATGTATGGACCATCAACATTCTACAACATGTATGGACCATCAACATTATACAACATGTATGGACCATCAACATTCTACAACATGTATGGACCATCAACATTCTACAACATGTATGGACCATCAACATTCTACAACATGTATGGACCATCAACATTCTACAGCATGTATGGACCATCAACATTCTACAGCATGTATGGACCATCAACATTCTACAACATGTATGGACCATCAACATTCTACAACATGTATGGACCATCAACATTCTACAACATGTATGGACCATCAACATTCTACAACATGTATGGACCATCAACATTATACAACATGTATGGACCATCAACATTCTACAACATGTATGGACCATCAACATTCTACAACATGTATGGACCATCAACATTCTACAACATGTATGGACCATCAACATTATACAACATGTATGGACCATCAACGTTATACAACATGTATGGACCATCAACGTTATACAACATGTATGGACCATCAACATTCTACAGCATGTATGGACCATCAACATTCTACAGCATGTATGGACCATCAACATTCTACAACATGTATGGACCATCAACATTCTACAACATGTATGGACCATCAACATTCTACAACATGTATGGACCATCAACATTCTACAACATGTATGGACCATCAACATTCTACAACATGTATGGACCATCAACATTATACAACATGTATGGACCATCAACATTCTACAACATGTATGGACGATCAACATTCATGGACATTAGTCTCTCCCTATGGACCATACCATGTGGTCTCTCCCTATGGACCAATACCATGTGGTCTCTCCCTATGGACCAATACCAAGTGGTATCTCCCTATGGACCATACCATGTGGTCTCTCCCTATGGACCATACCATGTGGTCTCTCCCTATGGACCAATACCATGTGGTCTCTCCCTATGGACCAATACCAAGTGGTATCTCCCTATGGACCATACCATGTGGTCTCTCCCTATGGACCATACCATGTGGTCTCTCCCTATGGACCAATACCAAGTGGTCTCTCCCTATGGACCAATACCAAGTGGTCTCTCCCTATGGTCCAATACCATGTGGTCTCTCCCTATGGACCAATACCATGTGGTCTCTCCCTATGCACCAATACCATGTGGTCTCTCCCTATGGTCCAATACCATGTGGTCTCTCCCTATGGACCAATACCATGTGGTCTCTGTATGGACCAATACCATATGGTCTCTCCCTATGGTCCAATACCATGTGGTCTCTCCCTATGGACCAATACCATGTGGTCTCTCCCTATGGACCAATACCATGTGGTCTCTGTATGGACCAATACCATATGGTCTCTCCCTATGGTCCAATACCATGTGATCTCTCCCTATGCACCAATACCATATGGTCTCTCCCTATGGTCCAATACCATGTGGTCTCTCCCTATGGTCCAATACCATGTGGTCTCTCCCTATGGTCCAGTACCATGTGGTCTCTCCCTATGGACCAATACCATGTGGTCTCTCCCTATAGACTAATACCAAGTGGTCTCTCCCTATGGACCAATACCATGTGGTCTCTCCCTATGGACCAACACCATGTGGTCTCTCCCTATGGTCCAACACCATGTGGTCTCTCCCTATGACCAATACCATGTGGTCTCTCCCTATGGTCCAATACCATGTGGTCTCTCCCTATGGTCCAACACCATGTGGTCTCTCCCTATGACCAATACCATGTGGTCTCTCCCTATGGTCCAACACCATGTGGTCTCTCCCTATGACCAATACCATGTGGTCTCTCCCTATGGTCCAATACCATGTGGTCTCTCTCTCTGTGTTTTTTATGTTGATTCTCTGATCTGTGTTGGTGATTTCAATGGTTTTTTTAAGTCTCTGAGATGAAGCTGTTGTGATTCAGGGACATACAAGAATAACATGTTTGATATGGCATGGTATGGTATGGTATGGTATTGTACTGTATGGTACTGTATGGTACTGTACTGGGACATGTCTGATAAAACCCTGAAACAGCATGTATAATGGGAGAGGTGTAGGTACTAGAACCCACCTCTCTCGTCCTGTGGCCACAGCCGTACTCTGCAGAGCACTGCTGTGGTAATACTTCAGATGGCAGTGCAGCAGCGAGTTCTTCCTGAAGGACTTGGAGCAGTTTGGAGCAGGACATTTGAACTCATTATGATCCAGTTCGATGGAGAGAATCGGAGGAGGCTGCCGCTTTATCACTCTGTAGACTGAACCAAAACACATCAATACAAAGCCAGGTCCGGACCGAGACCAGAGAAAGAACCAGGGACTCACGTGGCTCTCTGCTGAACTTGTGTGTGGTGGGAAGGTGGGCCTGTCTCTCCAGCAGCACCTCTAGAAAACAACAATAGTTAAGCCTCCATATGCGGGTTCTAGGCACAGAGCGACGGGCTGTACGGGGCTGACCTCTGTTGGCCGAGCTTGGTGCCGTCAGATCCGGGTCGACGGGGAGGGGCAGGTCATGGGGAGAGCTGTGTTCACGGATGCGTTTTCTTTTGGCTCTGGCTTTGGTCAGAAGTTCTGCTCTCCTCTTCCGTTGCCTTTCTCCGACGCCCTTAGTCCTGACCCTCTCCTTGGTCTCTACTGCCTCACGTTTTACCTCTGTACCCGCCTGGTCATTAACACTTGGCACCTTCTCCTCATTCCCAAAGCTTTCACTACTTTTCTCAATTCTTTCTGTTAACATTTCTTGGTTTTGCTCTTCTTTCAGCTTGTTTTTATCCGTGTCCACTTTGGCATCTCGGTCCTCCATATCTCCCATGTCTCCTGGTACTTCCTTCTCTCCGCCATGTTGCTGTGGTTGGTTCTCCCCACTGTGCTCCTGCGGCTGCTCCTCTTGGCTCTGCTCCTCTGTTTTTATCTCTACAACTTTATTCTCCGCTTCCTTCTCTCCCTCGGACTCACTGTCCCATTCTTCGCTTGAATTTTCCAGTTTCCATTTCTGAAAAACAAAACAACATTAAGAACAGTGTGTGTGATTAAAATTGATTCTCAGAGTTTTAAACAGAAAACATACTAAAAACATTTATCTGGGTTTGTTCTCACTAAAGGAACAAAAATCTGACAAAATGGTTCACACTGGGGAAGTCTTGCAGAGTTTTTCCAATGTGGTTTTGCTGCAAATGACAAATAAATGAATCTGAAAAGGCCAAAGATTAGATTTAATAATCCTCAGATATATGTTGTTGTTGTTGTGTTCAGATCCCTCTGTGTCCAGTAGAAGAGTCTAGAACTAAAGTGTCTCTGATCCTTTGAATGAACTTTGTTACATATTTTCAGATCCACTTTTGATTCATTCTTTTTTACACAGAGTAAAAACAAACTCATATTTTCATTTTTAACCAATTCAATGTGAAACAAGACCTTTTTTTTTTTTTAAGTTTAATTTTCAGAACAAAAATTGACAGAAACCATCACGTTCGTTACACATTTTTCAGGGTCATGTGTGATTTTTTTGTTGTGATTCCTTTTTTTAAATAAAGTTACTTCCTGATGTTGTTAATCTTAATCTTGTGGGATTTAATCTGCTGCTTTTTCAGACAGAGGACATTTTATTTCCTATGTCTCTGAGTCTCAGAATGATCCAATCAGAGGCTGTCAATCTTTCCTTTTGTTTTTATCCACACTGTCTCTCTGATCTGTCCGTGTTTGAAATGCTTTTTCCAATCTATGAAAGTCATTTTCGTTTTTGAGTTAGAACCTTTTAAAGTCCAGATACATTCATTGACGGAGAAAGGACAGGGGCTCTCAGCACTGACCTCATCGTACGGTTTGAGCTTGGTGGGTCTGACGGTGCGGACGACTCCATCAAAGAATCTCACAGTGTATGAATCTGAAACAGCAGCTCACTCTCAGATTTAGATTTGCTTCAGGAAATGTCCTGAATATTTGCACAACTCACCGTCTTTGTTCAGTTTGAGGATCTTGGCTGGGTAGAACTTACAGTCGGTCCAGCAGGCCATCACTTTAGAGCCAGCACTGTACAACTGCAAAACATTTAAAGTGGCAGAGACACATTTCAGTTCGCTCTGGAAATCTATGACAAGACAGACAAAAAAAGACCGAAACAAAATAAGACACGATTAAATAAATACATCTATGGAACTAAAACATGTGTTTTACTTTTGAATGATCTGGAAACAGCAGAGAGGATTCATGGTTTTACACTGGTCCAGACCAGAGCAGAGAGGATTCATGGTTTTACACTGGTCCAGACCAGAGCAGAGAGGATTCATGGTTTTACACTGGTCCAGACCAGAGCAGAGAGGATTCATGGTTTTACACTGGTCCAGACCAGAGCAGTGAGGATTCATGGTTTTACACTGGTCCAGACCAGAGCAGAGAGGATTCATGGTTTTACACTGGTCCAGACCAGAGCAGAGAGGATTCATGGTTTTACACTGGTCCAGACCAGAGCAGAGAGGATTCATGGTTTTACACTGGTCCAGACCAGAGCAGAGAGGATTCATGGTTTTACACTGGTCCAGACCAGAGCAGAGAGGATTCATGGTTTTACACTGGTCCAGACCAGAGCAGTGAGGATTCATGGTTCGAACCAAGTGGATCAGGTGAAAATCCACTGGAGGAATGCTAACTTTATGAAAAATGCTTTTGAAGCATTTAGTTTTTTACTTTGGACCAGAGCAGAGAGAATGGTCTGAACCAGGATCCACCTCTGCTGCTGAGACCTGAAGGACTGATGGATTTTAATATTGTGAGATACTTTTACTTTTGTTTGTTTGGATGGATGTGTTTCTGCTGCTACTGGACACCTGCATTTCTCCTTCAGGGATGAATAAAGTATCTAACTAACAAAGAGATAGAGTTCCTTAATCTTGTATCCATGTGCAGATAAAACAATTCAACTAAAGTAACACAAATCTAATGCAAAACCTTTTACATTTCTACACTTTTTATTATTATTATTTTCAAGATACAGATTTTATACTTGTTATTGATGCTAGAGTTAGAGATGTTGTTATATTTTAATTAGTATAGAGTTATTGTTCATTTATCTTGTGCCGTGTGCTCCTCTTTCCTACTGTTCTGTAACTTGTGATGCAACACTGAACTTTCCCCACTGTGGGACCTAAACATTGATTCCCAAAGTGAGGTAGGCAGGTAGACTTGGCTCTCCTGGGAGCATAGTAAGAATGCTGGCCACGATTTTGCCACTGAATAAAAAAGATTCTTCTGTCTCTGGGTCGTTCTGTCTCTTTAGTTTTAATTCCTACCGGTTTCTGTCCAGATCTGTCCAGCCCCTGTTTGCGCAGGCTGACCCGGTCTAGTCCTCTGATGTGGGGGGAGTCCCATTGGAACCACTCCTGGTATCGCTTAGAACCCCGTCGATACTGGACAAAGACCTGCTGGTTGTCGGTGTCAAGCTTCTGTATCCTCCCCGAGTACCTGTACAAATGTGTCCAGGTTTCATAATAATAATGTTATAATACACACTGTGCGATATTTATTACCATTTGTTGTGCTTGTCACGGGCTTCTAGCTGGGCTCCAACAGTAAATGTGATGCCTGCTCTGTCTGGGGGAGTCTTCATCTGAAATATAAATAATAATCCTGTTTAGAATGTCTTCCATACCCACCACACACAGACCTGACATCAGAACCCCAGCAGAGTTAGGGTTAGGGTTAACACACCAGTTTCATCCGACATTCAAATGCATTGTAATCTACATTGAACAAAAGCAAGCTTAGTTTTGCAACATTTCTGAGCTACATACAACAACAAAATGTACATATAGAATACTCACAAGATATCGTTAAAAGACAGATGTAACGCAAGAATCCACAGCTCATACCTTCACCAAAGTTTGCTTCATATTATAGCCTCTGCAAAAGGAGGCTTGACTACAGTTATTCTAATGCATTTCCACCATCGGTATTTGGGGCAAACAACAAACAGATGTTTCTGGATGAGACTGGGGTTTTAAACATGATAGTTGAGGGGTCAGACTTCTAATTATGTTCACAGGCTGCAGTTTAAGGCTGCAGTTTAACTTACCAGTTAAGGTCAACGCCAATACCATCGACAACTCTTTTACCCTACATGTCCAAATTCATACATTCATTCATACCGTGATTACATGCTCAGAGTAGACACTTCATATTATCACATGAGGTCATTCATTGTTTACCTGCATTAATAACAAAAGACCCACAACAGCACTTTAACATGGGACAACATTGTTTTTAGCTTCATCCTGGACGACACTCAAACTAAATATTGTAAACAATGTGTAGCTTTCAAAAAAAATTATTAATTCGTTCAAATGGCAAAAGGTGAAGCCTGTTTTTACTGTATTCAAAACACAAACTGAAGGAAATTACTTAAAATATCTCAAATGCATGAGGTAAAAATGCATTTGAAAACCATAGAATATTTGATGACGATCTTTAACTCTGTGTGTGTAACTGTGTGTGTGTGTGTGTGTGTGTTTGATGCCAAATTGTATGTATATTGTACAATTGTTTAAATGAAATAATAATAATAATATCGTTAACATTTGTTAAAAAGACTAAGTATTAAAAACCTGAAGGGAAAAAAAGCTACCAAAGACCCGCCTACTCCACTTCCGGTGTGGCTTATCCGGACTCTGTGATTGGCTGAGATCCTCCTGAACGTAACTCTCATAGGCTGAGTCAGCTGTTTGTCAGATCACTATTTGACAGGAGCTAATGCTAACAGTGTTTTACATGTTTTAACGCATTTCTTTCCCAAATCAAATGTTCCGAACCAAATGCATTGAAATATTTGCTCTGTCATGCGTGTGCGAAAGGAAGTATGAGAAAGCACGTTGGAAAAAGTGTTAAACATTGACATTAGCTTGACGTTTCCAGTCAGAATGGAGGAGATACGGAGCTAATGGCTATAGCGTCATGTTGAATAAGGAACGAACTGACGCTGGTCTTAAAGCCTGTAAATGTGGTTCAAGTCGTTGATGTAGACCCCGGGAAAACGAGCGAACCGTAGAGACTAAATAAACACCAGAAGGACCCGAGGAGAAGGAGAAAAGCTTTACCTTTGCTGCAGCTGCACTTCGATGACGCAATGCGCATGCGCAAAATAATCGTCATAATAAGAATAAAGTTTTGGTATTTTTGTTAATTATTACTGCCATGATGTACACGACGCGGTTATCGTATGCACACAATAAAACTACTTCACTTTTTATGCATTTAACTCTAAGCAGCAGCACTGTAATTACTATAAGTCGCCAGCAGAGGGCGACAAAAAGAGAAGCACATGACACTGATAGACCCGCTTCGTTGGAATCATTTAGTTTTTCTCAGTCGCTTTTGTGCATTTCTCACATCATTCTTCACATTTTCACAACAGTTAGTACATTTCTCAAAACAATTAGTGCAAACTGCCAACCCTCTTGGATAACCTGCAAAAGTGCTCAGAATAATATGTTCAAACAACATTGAGTATGAATAACAGTCAAATGTCATGTTTTCATTGTGAAACTTTACTCTCTCGAAAGATCAAGGCTATGCTCACACTCAGAGAGCAGCCGTCCTCCTGTGGACTCACCACCTGCAGAGGGTCAGTGAGGGGCTGGTGCTATGAGACTTGGGTGGCATCTCTGACTGCCACCCCCCTGACCCAGAAATGGATTAAAGGGTAGAAGATGGATGGATGGATGGAACTTTACTTTCTCTGTGTTTTCAATGTAAAGAAGTCAGATCTCGGAGACACTTGGTGAGCACTATACACTGTAAACATGTCTGTATTTAGTGAGGGAACTGAGTACAAGACATTTACAGTATGTGTGTGTGTGTGTGTGTGTGTGTATTTGTGTATCTATGTATGTATGTACTTTATGTATGTATGTCTGTGTACTGTATGTATTTCACATTTTTACTGCTCTTTGCAATTCTACTGCATTGTGCAACAAAAATACAGTCACATACAGTATTTACGTTGAACATACAAGATACCATTATGGTAGAACTGTGACAAACAATATAACCCACACCTCCTCATGAGTCAAGCTGACACTAATAGTCGTGAGAACTTTAAGTCTGATGTGAGAAATGCAACAAAGCGACTGAGAAAAACTGTAATAAAAGCAGTGGCGGAGCTAGACTTTTAACATAGGGGTGACAAAGGGGTGCAAGGGTCACTTTAGGGGGTCTTTTCATTATGCTGTCCCTATTCAAAGGAAAGCTGGTTATGTCTCGTGTAGAAAGAAACATTTGGTACAATTGTATACATTGATCAAACAACTAAGTATAACCAAATTAAGCTCTATTTGACACCAAGAAACATTGCTAACCGCTGATAAAGTGTTTACTAATTGTACACTAAAAACTGCCAGTACTTGACATTTTTACTCTGCAGTCAAAATGTGATTGTTGCTACATGAATACAGTTTATTTGCTAAAACAGATAAGTGCCATTATCTGGGGCAACAGTGGCTCAGTTGGTAGAGCATTGGTCTTTGAGCCTGAAGGTTGTGGGTTCAAGACCTACTTCACGACTCCCACTGATGACTGCTGTCGTTGGGCAAGACACTTAACCCCACTTTGCCTGAAGCTTCCACTGAAAGAGTCCACAGCTCGTGTGGACTCAGCACCTGCAGGAGGATCAGTGAGGGGCTGGTGCTCTGTGACTGGGTGCAGCTCTGACTGCCACCCCCGACCCAGAAATGGATTAAGGGAAAGAAGATGAATGGATAAGTGCCATTGGATGCAATATGCTTGTGATTTTCCCTTTGTGTAGCCTTTTTTAAAGGATCAGACCTATAATAGTGGGTTCGACATATTAGTTACTTTTTCTTGTCACCTGTAGAGTAAGAAAACAATTTGGCAAATAATTCAAAATGGAGATATCTACTTTTGCAAATGAAATGGTTCTTGTGTCTCTCTCTAGAGGTGTACAAAAAACACCTAAAGAATGTGTTTTCATCCGTTACAGTTTTTCTCAGTGTCTTTGGTGCATTTCTCAGACTTAAAATTCTCAAAAGTATGAGTCCAACCCCCACAACACTGAGTCATGTGTGACATCATCGCAGCAGTTTCTCCTTTGAACACTTTACAAATGCTTTTGTTCATGTATCAGTTACTTTCATACAATTCTCTGCTGTTTTATAACATTATCATTTGCTTCTGTCCTGTCAGAATGAAACACACGTATCACTTCAGAATAGTCTTTCCCTGTAAAACTAACTGTCCTCATTTCATCTCTTTGGTCTCAGACAAAACTGTTGTAACTGGTTCAAAACCAAAATCTCTCAAACTAATTTCATACATTCCTTTATCTTTTTATTTCCTGAAAATCTTTCCTAAATTGAACAGTGTCTCTGAGGTGAGTTTCAGCTTCAGTCATGACGAGGTGTGTTTTATTGTTTACATTTGTCACAGTTCTACCATAATTATAGTCTATATGTTTGTTCTACGTAAATACTGTAAGTGACTGTATTTTTGTTGCACAATGCAGTAGAACTGCAAAGAGCAGTAAATATGTGAAATACATACAGTACATACAGACATACAGTACATACAGTACATACAGACATACAGTACATACAGACATACATACAATACATACAGTACAAACATACAGTACATACATACAGTACATACAGACATACAGTACATACAGTACATACAGTACATACAGTACATACATATGTGTCTTGTACTCAGTTACGTCTCTAAATACAGTGTATAGTAAACACCAAGTGTGACCGAGATCTGACTTTTTTACAGTGAAAATCACAATGAAAACATGACGAAGTCATGTGACTGTTGTTCATACTCAATGGTGTCAGGACTTATTATTTTGAGACAGTTTCATCGACCTGAAGACTTGCTTTTGAGGAATTCACTTTTCATTTTGAGAAAGTGACTTTTGCAGGTTTTCCACGAGGTTTTGAAGTTTGCTCTAATTGTTCTGAGAACAAACTGTTGATGTGAAGAATGAGAAATGCACCAAAGACAGAGAAAAACTGTATTTCTCCAGTATTTGTCCAGGGGCCAACAATGGGGATTAAAACTATTTTTTGACTGGAATGGATCTATTTTGAGATATACAGTTTTTCTCAGTCGCTTTGGTGCATTTCTCACATCATTCTTCACATTTGCACAACTGTTGGTGCATTTCTCAGAACAATTAGTGTAAACTGCAGAACCTCGTGGATAACCTGCAAAAGTGTGTCACTTTCTCAAAATGAAAAGTTTTTTCCTCAAAAGCAAGTCCAAACGTCAATGAAACTGTCTATGTCGTCAAAATAATATGTCCTAACAACATTGAGTATGAACATCACAGTCAAATGACTTAGTCATGTTTTCATTGTGACACTTCACTCTCTCTGTGTTTTCAGTGTAAAAAAGTCAGATCTCGGTGACACTTGAGCACGACACACTATACACGACCTGTGCAGCCATTTACAGTAAAAACTACAGTAAAGTTACATAAAGACTGTATTTAGAGACGTAACTGACATATATGTATGTATGTGTGTGTGTGTGAACTGTATGTATGTGTGTGTGTGTGTATCTATGTATGTATGTACTGTATATATGTATTGTATGTATGTACTGTATGTATGTATGTGTGTGTGTGTATCTATGTATGTATGTACTGTATGTATGTATGTGTGTATCTAGGTATGTGCTGTATGTATGTGTGTATGTATGTATGTACTGTATGTATATGTATGTATGTATGTGTGTATGTATGTATGTACTGTATGTATATGTATGTATGTATGTATGTATGTGTGTATCTATGTATGTATGTACTCTATGTATGTATGTATATGTATGTATGTATGTGTGTATCTATGTATGTATGTACTGTATGTATATGTATGTATGTACTGTATGTATATGTATGTATGTATGTGTGTATCTATGTATGTATGTACTGTATGTATGTGTACTGCATATGCTCTTTGTATATTTGTTGCACAATGCTGTAGAAGTGCAGACACATACATGTATATACATAGAACAAACATACAGAAATATCATTATGGTAGAACTGTGACAAAAATAAACAATAAAGCACACCTCAAAGTGAAGCTGAAATTCACCTGGGATAAATTGTTCAATTTAGGAAATATTTACAGGAAAAAAAAGATAAAGGAATGTATGAAATTAGCTTGACAGTTATGATTTTGAGAACTAGTTCAACAATTTTGTATGTGACGACCAAAGCGATGAAATGAGAACAGTTAGTTTTGTAGTGAAAGACTATTCAGAAGTCATAAGTATGTTTCATTCTGACTGACAGGACAGAAGCAAATGATAATGTTAAAAAAACGCCGAGAATTGTTTGAAAGTTATTGATACATGAACGAAAGCATTTGAAATGTGTTCAGAGGAATGAGAAACTGCCGTGATGATGTGCACCAATGACACGATGTTGTGGAGGTTGAACTAATAGTTTTGAGAAGTTTAAGTCTGATGTGAGAAATGCACCAAAGAAACTGAGAAAAACTGTAAAAGGAGGTATGACATAGATAGATAGATAGATAGATGATAGATAGATAGATAGATAGATAGATAGATAGATAGATAGATAGATAGATAGATAGATAGATAGATAGATAGATAGATAGATAGATAGATAGATAGATAGATAGATAGATAGATAGATAGATAGATAGATAGATAGATAGATAGATAGATGATAGATAGATAGATAGATAGATAGATAGATAGATAGATAGATAGATAGATAGATAGATAAAACCAATGCATTATAATCATTTGTAATCCTAATGGTAATTTGGGTTATGGCTTAGGGCCACACAACAGGAGGCAGCGGGCCGCCACTGGCCCTCGAGCCTGCGCTTGGACGGGCCTGTGCTTTGTGATTAGGAAATGTAAATAGTAAAAAAGTTGCGTGTCTCAGTGTGTTGTTTGTTGTTGCCTCAGATGTTTGATTTAGTGGTGTTTGGTCGGTGCATGTGTATGTCTGAGCGAGTGGTAGAATGCATGAGTCATGTTGGAGCAGAACTACTCCCCTCAGTCGACCAAGATCATGTTACACACATTCCACAGTACATTAGAAAAGAAGAATGTGGTCGGATGCACGCACAATGTACACCTCCATTAAAAAGGCCAAACAAACACAAACAGATAACTCCACGAGACTATGGCGTCCCACATCCACACTCTGTTCCCACGATTTAGACTTGGACTTACACTTGGACCAACGCTAATGATCCACGAGAGAAATTAGTGAGACACAGTGGCTCAAACAAGTACAAAGTCAGAAAAACTATGTGTCAAAAGTTATCGATGCACCCACTCCCCTTAAAGTAATAATATGTGAGATTATTATGTCAAGTCATCATTGAAGGGCCCTAATCTGTCATCATTAAAGGGCTCTAATCTGTCATCATTAAAGGGCCCTAATCTGTCACCATTAAAGGGCCCTAATCTGTCATCATTAAAGGGCTCTAATCTGTCATCATTAAAGGGCTCTAATCTGTCATCATTAAAGGGCCCTAATCTGACCCATACTTCTTTAACTGATAACAGTAGTTCAGAAGTCTCCGTTCAACCACCTCCTCTCACTGCCTGCACCAACCCAGGACCAAACTCTCCACCATGGGAGACAGGGCCTTTCAGGCAGTAGCCCCCCGGCTCTGGAATGACCTCCCAGAGACCCTCAGGGCCCCATAAAGTGTGCAATTTTTCAAGAAAGGCCATAAGACATTTTTATTCAAACAGGCCTTCTAGAAGTGTACAGTCTGTTTTTATGTGTTCATGATGGTGTGAATTGATGCATTGTGAATTTGTAAGTTTTAATTTTCAATGTCGTGTATCTTGGGGATGTTCCCTGTTCTGTCGCACTCTGAGATTTCATTAAAATGTAAAGTACATTATACATGAAAATGTATTATTATTATTATTATTAGAGATGGTTGAAATTCTGAATTAGTTTTACAGCCCCTAAATCTTGTTATCTTTATGATGTCCCGCCCTCCACCGTTTCACCAATCAGAAAGTCCATGTTCCGGGCGCCAGAACTCACCGCGTAGAGTTTATCAATCAATCAATCAATCAACGTTTATTTGTAGAGCGCCTTTCCTACACAAGGCAACGCAAAGTATCTCACTGGTAAAGTACCATGTGGCACAGAACTAAAAAAGGTCTCGTTATGATTCTCAAATCATTAACGACAAAACAAGGAATAAAACCAGGATTTCTATCTTTGTGAAAAAGGTGTTGGTTATAGATTTGTTGTTGACAAAACTCTTGTCTATTCAGCTGTTATGGTCCCAGCTGGATTCGTCTGCATATCTGGCAACCTGAGTCAGGGAGAGTGGGAGAGGCTGCAGTACCACTTTTGGACACATGTTTGCAGACTTCTCCTTTATGGAAAGCCCCTTGAGACAAATCATCTCATCTCGGGGTCCTAAACATAAATACAACCATGTAAACACACACACACACACACGCACACACACACACACACACACACACAAAACACTTTACAAAGCATTAAGAATAAAAAGAGAAATACATAGATTCCAGGTTAAAATGTAAATGTTTTTTGTACTGCTTTTGGTCTGGTAGCACCTGTAGAATGATAACACACTGCTCTGGTGTTTTTCTCGCTGACCCATTTTGTAAAAGTCGAGCAGAGAAGAGTCAGATCTGATGTTTTGAGCGGGACGAGGACAAAGAAAAGTGTTCTTTCACAAGCCTTGAAAACACACAACCAGAAAAACAAAAGAGCATTTGGGGAGAGAACTGAGAAAAAGTTGGATGGTACCAGGCGCCGACAGGGGGTGTGTGTGTGTGTATGTGTGTGTATGTGTGTGTATGTGTGTGTGTGTGTGTGTGTGTGTGTGTGTGTGTGTGTGTGTGTGTGTGTGTGTGTGTGTGTGTGTGTGTGTGTGTGTGTGTGTGTGTGTGTGTGTGTGTGTGTGTGTGTGTGTGTGTGTGTGTGTGTGTGTGTGTGGGGATGTGTGTGTGTGTGTGTGTGTGTGTGTGTGTGTGTGTGTGTGTGTGTGTGTGTGTGTGTGTGTGTGTGTGTGTGTGTGTGTGTGTGTGTGTGTGTGTGTGTGTGTGTGTGTGTGTGTGTGTGTGTGTGTGTGTGTGTGTGGTGTGTGTGTGTGTGTGTGTGTGTGGGGATGTGTGTGTGTGTGTGTGTGTGTGTGTGTGTGTGTGTGTGTGTGTGTGTGTGTGTGTGTGTGTGTGTGTGTGTGTGTATGTGTGTGTGTGTGTGTGGTGTGGGGGGGTGTGTGTGTGTGTGTGTGTGTATATAAGTGTGTGTGTGTGTATATGAGTGTGTGGGGGTGTGTGTGTATATGAGTGTGTGTGTGTGTGTGTGTGTGAGTGTGTGTGTGTGTATGGGTGTGTGTGTGTGTGTGTATGATGAGTGTGTGTGTGTGTGTGTGTGGGGGGGGGGGTGTATGTGTGTGTATATGAGTGTGCGTGGGTGTGTGTGTGTGTGTGTGTGTATATGAGTGTGTGTGTGTGTGTGGGGGGGGGGGTGTGTATGTGTGTGTATATGAGTGTGCGTGGGTGTGTGTGTGTGTATATGAGTGTGTGTGTGCGTGGGGGTGTGTGTGTGTATATGGATGTGTGTGTGTGTATGTGTGGAGTGTGTGTATGTGTGGAGTGTGTGTATGTGTGGTGTATAAATAAATGTGTGTGTGTGTGTGTATGTGTGTGTATATATGAATGTGTGTGTGTGTTATGTATATACGAATGTGTTTGCGTGTTTGTATATGAGTGTGTGTGTGTGTACTGTAGATATGAATGTGTATGTGTGCACGTGTGTATGAATGAATGTGTGCGTGTGTGTGTGTATATATTAGTGTGTGTGCGTGTTTGCTTGTGTGTTCGCGTGCATATATATGAATGTGTGTGTGTGTGCAAAAGAGAGAGAGGTGTGTAGTGGTCGTAGGAGTGGAGCAGTGAAGAACAAAAGTGTGTTGCTTTGGGGTGTTTTGAGAAGAGCATATTTCCTCACAGCAGAAATGAGTTATGTTGTTACAGAAACTAGAAACATGTTCTGCAGAAAAACTGAGGCCGAAGGAGACGGAGACGAGAGGAAACAATCTCATGGAGAGGAAATAAAGTCAGACGGGTCAGAACTTCATAAGGAACACATTACACGGTTGACCAAACAGCACATCCACCATGAACACGTCTTTTCGGGGTGAATTTTACACATTTTTCTGACAAAATCTTCTGGAGAAATGTGACTGTGGGGGTAGAGCAGCTCAATACTTGCAGTTCTCAGCTCAGAGAGAAGAGGGTGTGAACCAAACTGATCAGGAAAGAGAGAGAGACAGGGAGGATCCAGCAATCCTGGACCAGAACCAAGACCGGCGTCCCACAAATCTAAGCCCAAACCAGACCCGAAGCAAAGCCAGGTCCAGAACACAGAGAGGAAGCAAGAAATCACAAAAAGGGTTTCCTGCAGGTCTAGGGTTAGTGACAAGGGACCAAAGAGGATCTACAAGGACCCAGACCGAGACCAGCTTCAGGACCAGAGCTTTGTCAGTATCTGGACTCACTTCTGGAGGTTGTGGATTTCATTTTGGAGGATGCTCTTTTCAGATCTCAAAGTCCAGAGGAGAAAAGTCTGGACTAGGACTAAAACAGAACCAGATCCGAATGCACAACTGGACCAAGATGAAATTCTCTCTTCCAGGTATAAAGTCCGAGTTCCGGCTGCGGCGACAATCCCAGGATGGTCTAAGGTCCAGGCCAGACCCATAGTGCTGGTTCTGGTTCTTCTGGGGTCTCTGGTGTCCGTGCAGGGGATTCTGGATGAGGATCAAGAAGAACTTCTCGTGGAGCTTCATAACCGCTACAGGGGAGTGGTCCAGCCCAGCGCCTCAGCCATGCTACCTTTAGTGAGTTACCAAAAAGCAACACACACAACACACACACACAACACACCCACACAACACAACACACACAACAACAAAAAATTATATAAAATTTTACTGAGATTTACATTTACGGTCAAATCTGTCTTAATCGTACACCATCAAAACCGTTCATGGCCAGTCCAGTAGGGATATTATCATTTATTATCATTTATTATCATTTATTATCATTTATTCATGATGTATTTAGTGGTAAATCACGCGGCTAAATAGATAAATTCCTCGACAATCTGCTGAATAGATTTCGAAGGCAGGGCTGGTACCGACCTCAGACCACACAATAGACAATCCAGCAGCGCACCATGGTGTCGCAGTTTATTTATTGTATTGGACCTTCATGGTAACCCACAGCAGCCTGTATGTAATGACCAGGACCAGGTGAGGGACCAGGGTTAGCAAGAAGAGAGAGGTCTAGATTTATCTCAGAATGACCTATTTTGGTAATATTTAAAAAACACTGTGAACTGTATGAAATGTATGTTCTATCCTAACCCTAATCTTTAATCGATAATTTGGGATTTTGTTTGGGATGAAAAATGTCAGATTATTTCCGCATTCTCATTTTAAACAAGACAAAACGATGGTATTTTTTATTAATGGTGTTTTTACCATTTAACCCTAAAGATCACTTTTTGGGTTAATAAATCTACTTCAAGCTTGGAACTAAAATGGACCTCTTTGGGGCATCTCGGTTTTAGGCACTTTTACCACAAATTTGCATCTCATCCATTTTGTAAAGGACTAATAATAATAATCATAATGAAAAAAATAATAAAAATAATAAAAATAACAATAATAATAATAATAATAATAATAATAATAATACTGATAATGATCATAATAATAATAATAATAATAATAACAATAATAATAACAATAATAATAATAATAATAATAATAATAATAATGAAGGGTTATAGTGCTTACTTAAAATCCCAAAAAGAAAAAATGGCATAGCTCTCTACAAGGACTGAATGTTAAAGGGTTAAATTACCACAAAAAATCAATTTTTTTAGCTTCCATTTCAGTAACTAATTAGTCTGTTTCACCATTTAACCCTGGTTTAGATCACCTTTTGAGGGACTCGCTCAAATCTACTCGTTTGGTTTTAGGCCAGGTGGGTGACGTACTGCACATAAAGAAGTAATAATCTGGTTAAACTGATGGTGTGGAACAGCACAGGCTCAAATCAGCCGCTTCGGCCTTTTCTGGTTGTAATTCTTCACATTATATCTTCGACCTGTAACTTTGTTGATGTGACGACCAAAATATAATCAATCAATCAATAAAATAATGCTCATTCTAAAAATCTGTAAATCTGCAAATCCATCAGTTAGAGCTCTCCCTTTGGGCTCTGACCCAATATAAAAATTATATAACATTACTAATAACTGACCCCCATTCTAATATATGTATGTGTATATTATTTACGTATTTAAAGAGTAAGATATTTCTGTAACTTTAGTCCCAACCCGGAGAATGTGCGCTTAAGGAACGACTTTTAGATGAGTAAGAGTCATCCGAAATCTTAATTGGATTTATCCGGGACATATTTGGAGGAGTCAGAGGCCGTGCTGCTGAGTCAGAGCCACAAAGACACACTTTATTATCCACGGCCAAAACCGGTCCAGTTCTTATTTCTTTTAAATATTGTGGAAGACGTCTCTAAACCCTAAAAGTATCAAGTTATCATGTGTTTTCAAATAGTAATGGAATTGACCAGATTTTTATAGTTGCCAAAAATTGATAAAAAATATTTTGGAGCAGGCCGATAAAAATAAACCAATGGGATTCCGTTCTTCCCCAACGAACCAATGGGATGTGTTTACCGGCCTTTTTTCAAGTGGTGACTGGCTAAATTATAGGTGTCTGAGTAAGATGGTTAAGGTTAGGGTTAAGGTGGGTCTGAGTAAGATGGTTAAGGTTAGGGTTAAGGTGGTCTGAGTAAGATGGTTAAGGTTAGGGTTAAGGTGGTCTGAGTAAGATGGTTAAGGTTAGGGTTAAGGTGGTCTGAGTAAGATGGTTAAGGTTAGGGTTAAGGTGGGTCTGAGTAAGATGGTTAAGGTTAGGGTTAAGGTGGGTCTGAGTAAGATGGTTAAGGTTAGGGTTAAGGTGGTCTGAGTAAGATGGTTAAGGTTAGGGTTAAGGTGGGTCTGAGTAAGATGGTTAAGGTTAGGGTTAAGGTGGTCTGAGTAAGATGGTTAAGGTTAGGGTTAAGGTGGTCTGAGTAAGATGGTTAAGGTTAGGGTTAAGGTGGGTCTGAGTAAGATGGTTAAGGTTAGGGTTAAGGTGGGTCTGAGTAAGATGGTTAAGGTTAGGGTTAAGGTGGTCTGAGTAAGATGGTTAAGGTTAGGGTTAAGGTGGTCTGAGTAAGATGGTTAAGGTTAGGGTTAAGGTGGGTCTGAGTAAGATGGTTAAGGTTAGGGTTAAGGTGGGTCTGAGTAAGATGGTTAAGGTTAGGGTTAAGGTGGTCTGAGTAAGATGGTTAAGGCGGCACGGTGGCTGAGTGGATAGCACTCTCGCCTCTCAGCAAGAAGGTCCTGGGTTCGAATCCCGGTCGGACCAGGGCCTTTCTGAGTGGAGTTTGCATGTTCTCCCCGTGTCTGCGTAGGTTTCCTCCGGGTACTCCGGTTTCCCCTACCACTAAAAATATGTCCAATAGTTCTGGCATGTGCCTCCTGTACTGGCCCTGCTCCTATCTCTGTGTGGAGTGAGAGACAAATGCCCAAAATTAACAATTGTAAACCGCTTTGAGACTCAGATCTGCAGTGAAAAGGCGGTATATAAATAAAAACTTACTTACTTACTACTTACTTAAGGTTAGGGTTAAGGTGGTCTGAGTAAGATGGTTAAGGTTAGGGTTAAGGTGGGTCTGAGTAAGATGGTTAAGGTTAGGGTTAAGGTGGTCTGAGTAAGATGGTTAAGGTTAGGGTTAAGGTGGTCTGAGTAAGATGGTTAAGCACGGTGGCTGAGTGGATAGCACTCTCGCCTCTCAGCAAGAAGGTCCTGGGTTTGAATCCCGGTTGGACCAGGGCCTTTCTGAGTGGAGTTTGCATGTTCTCCCCGTGTCTGCGTAGGTTTCCTCCGGGTGCTCCGGTTTCCCCTACCACTAAAAATATGTACAATAGGTCTAGCATGTGCCTCCTGTACTGGCGACCCCCAATCCCAAAAAAAAACACAATTGTAAACTGCTTTGAGACTCCGATATGCAGTGAAAAGGCGGTATATAAATAAAGATTACTTACTTACAATTAGGGTTAAGATGGTCTGAGTAAGATGGTTAAGGTTAGGGTTAAGGGTGGGTTGTGGTTATTCTATGGGAATGGCTGGTTACATTTACCCATGGATTTATTAGTTTAGGTAGTTGGTTATATTTACTTCCGCTTCCATCCCGATTCCGTATATGATCTAGTGCTGACCCTCTCTGTATTCATGCTTCATCTTGAAACACAGTGGTTGCTAAGGGACAAAAAGGAGTTTGAGCGGGAAGCTAACGTCCTGCGAAGCTAACGTAGTACCGTGAATTACAACATATGATCTCGACGCTAGATCAGGGTAAAAACTACACTGTACCTTTAAGGACCTGTCTTTGGTATATTTGTGGTAGAGACATTTGTTGTTGGCTAATTATACGATTAGCTTCTGACACCATTTTTCCCATACGACTTCTCACTTTTCCAGGATAAAAATCTGTATTTGTTTGACATAATCCAGCGACATAGGTGCAGACCACTCTCTCTCGACCCTCAACAATCCCTGGAGGTGGCATTGGGTCGGCGATGGTTTAGTCCTGGTCAAGACCGAGTTTAATAGCACATTGTTGATGGAGGGCGTCGCCTGTTGCTAGGTGGATTATGCTGTACTGACATCACTCTGAGCACGTGTAGGGTCCCTCCAGACTGTAATGGGAACCACATGGAGCTCTTTGTAAAATGACATTCTCTTCAGCGGACTCCACCTAAAGCTGTCCAGGATCAAAACTATGTGTCTTTTGCACAATCTGAGTGATTCTATCTGCGCCAAATGTGACGTGTACATTTCTCCAGTGTGAGATCAAAAAAGTATGTCTTATTTTATCTTATCTTCTGTCAAGTTCAGAACTATAATCCAAATCAGGACTAAAAAACGGCGATAAATATGTTCACAACTTCAGCTTGGAGATTGATCCAGGTCTATTTTTTTAAGTTAATGAGGTAAGTAAAAAAGCTGGAACCGAAAACCGCCCCAGAACCGTTACTATTTACCTGCTGCTGTTTGTCTGCACAAAACATGTTGTCCTGAATCTAGTTTTGGTCTGTCCACTCCTGATGTTTGCGGTTTGAGTGCATTGTAGTCTCGCAGTGAGATCAGAGGGTCTCCGAGGGTTTGGGAGTGGCTCCAGATGTTTTTTAGGACTTTAATTCAAACTGAATATGTTTGCAATGCATCATCTCTGCACAGATGAGAGCAGACAAAAGACCGACTGAAGGATAGACATGACATTAGCATCGTTGTGGGTTTGTATTCTGTAAACTATCTTTCTCTCAGTTCTCCTCTACTCTACTAAGTTTATTTATATAGCGTATTTTACAGACCAAAGTCACTCAAAGCACTTTACAAAGTTCAGAGTTCAGACATTTTTCATTCTCTCCACACGGTGATGACAGAAGCGAGACACCGAACACACTGGTCCATCAAAACCTCCGACCCAACACCCTCCATTTACTCACTCAGTACATGCAACCAGAGCACCCAGAGGAAACCTATGCAGACACAGGGAGAACATGCAAACTCCAGGACCTTGTTGCTGAGAAAGGAGAGGCACCGTAGCGATATAACATTGACAGTCGTTTCCTATAAAAAACTGAGCATATCGTTTGTGTATGTGAAAAGATTTAGTATAAAAAACCCAAAACCATAGTCCATGTTTAACTGCACACGGATTAAGGCCTAAAAAAGAGTGTTAATCCAATTTATCTAACTTATTCAAAGTCATAGGTATCTTTTTAAAAGTGGGTGGGGATGTGCTGAAAGATCCTACACAGAACTACTGCTGTGGGATTGTGCAGTGTTGGCCGTGTCCACAAGAGGGCGCCCTTATCCTGCCTGTGTTGATGAACCAGGTTGAGAAGAAAAGTGGGATTTTCTGTGTTATTTGACTGATTTTTTCATATTTCCATTTTGTTCTCATTTAGCCTTTAAATAATCAGGCAAACACCCATTGAGTTTATTATATGTTTTTGAAAGAGGACAGATACATAGAGACACATCTTGTTCTGTGGGTAAAAGAAATGTTTAAAGCAGGTTTCATCTTGTCTTTCACAGAAGTGGGACAGGAACTTGAAGCTCGTAGCTGAAGGATATGCCGCTAAGTGTGTGTGGAATCACAATCCTGAGCTGGAGGACACTGGTGAAAATCTCTTCACCGGCACGGGACCTCTGGACCTCGAGAGGGCTCTGGAGAAGTGGTTCCTAGGTCAGAAAAATACACGTTAAAGGATAAGTATGTAAAAATGTGTCCAAAAGTGGTGCATTTAAAAGTCTTCAGTGGCCTCTCCCACTCTCCCTGACTCAGGTTGCCAGATATGCAGACGAATCCAGCTGGGACCATAACAGCTGAATAGACAAGAGTTTTGTCAACAACAAATCTATAACCAACACCTTTTTCACAAAGTCCTGGTTTTATTCCTTGTTTTGTCGTTAATGATTTGAGAATCATAACGAGACCTTTTTTGTTCTGCACCACATGGTACTTTACCAGTGAGATTAGCTCCACGCGGTGAGTTCTGGCGCCCGGATCACAGATTTTCTGATTGGTTAAAACGGTGGAGGGCGGGACATCGAAATGAAAACAATAACAAGATTTAGGCGCTGGAAAAGTAATTTAGAAATTGAAAAATCTCTGAACTACTGTTATCAGTTAAAGAAGTATTAAAAAGTATAAAAGAGCAGTTTATTGTTATGACAGATTAAGGCCCTTTAATGATGACAGATTAGGGCCCTTTAATGATGACAGACTAGGGCCCTTTAATGATGACAGATTAGGACCCTTTAGTGATGACAGATTAGGGCCCTTTAATGACAGATTAGGGCCCTTTAATGACAGATCAGGGCCCTTTAATGACAGATTAGGGCCCTTTAATGACGACTTGACATGAAAATCTTACATATTCCTGCCTTAATAATCCATTTACAGCCATCTGAATATGTTTTTGGCTTCTCCTGAATGTATTTAGACATAGACAGACAAGCTACAGAAAATTTACAAACTCATTTTCTTTCGCAGAACGAGTGGATTATAATTATTTCAACAACAGCTGCGAAGATGACAAGATGTGCGGACACTACACCCAGGTTTGAACCACGACTTTTAACCACGGCTTATTTACTGTAACCTAGCTGCACTTGATCTGGGATTGAATGTGAGAACCCCCACTCATTCGGGCGGGTTGTGATTTCTTAATTTCTGAAGCTGGAAGTTGAAATGAGCAAAAGTTTGTATCATTTGTGTGTCTGTAGATGGTGTGGGCCGACACACACAGAGTGGGCTGTGCCGTACATATCTGTGCTCAGATGGAGGGACTGGACTGGACTGGACCTATCAACTACCTTGTTTGCAACTACTATCCGGCGTAAGATATGGTCTAAATACATCTACTGTGTTTCTAGTCGTTAGTATTTGCTCTCCTCAATAACTGGACATTCTGTTCTGTTCATGTTTCTGTTTTGTTTCTCATTTCAGTGGGAATTATGAAGGAGAGCGCCCCTATATTGAGGGAGATTGGTGCTCTCAGTGTCCAGAGAATCTCCAGAACTGTGTGAACAACCTCTGTGGTAGGAATCTTAAAACAATGTTCATAGTTTAAGGTGGTGTGAGAGATTGGAGCCAAATGAGCGCTTGCTTCACACAACCTCTCTTCCATTTGTGTGTCTATCTATCTTGTTGGTTTTTGTTGTTGTGGTCAGTTCATTTAAAGCGGCAGTATGTAAAATGTGGCCAAAAGTGGTACAATACAATACAATACAATACAATTTATTCTTGTATAGCCCTAGGTCACAACAGAAGTCATCTCAGAGGACTTAACAAAACCATTGAAATCACCAACACAGGTCAGAGAATCAACAGTTAAAACACATGAAGAATATAAAGCACACACAGAAGAAAATGTCCATACATGTTGTAGAATGCTAAAGTGTCCTGATCATCACCAATCCTTTCTGTTGGACACTAACTGTCCAACAAGACCCTCCTGCATCGACAAGGAACAACTCTTAAAAAACCCAGTGGAAAAAAGTGAGAAACCTTGGAGGAGAACTAGGGAAACCCACAGGGAGGGAGACCCATATGAGAAAGGGATCCGCTCCTCCGGACGGACAGGCTAATGATCTAGGACCTAAGCTAGCTACAGAACGTGGACCAGTGGCCGCTGAACGTGGACAGGTCCGGTGCAGGACTGAAGCACTCCCAGGCGGGTCGGGCAGGGCAGTCCGCAGGTGCAGATGGAGGAGGCCAGGCTCAGAGATCCCGTCATCGTACCATGAAACAGACAATGGGACAACGGGTGAATAGCAATGAACAAACTACAGTCAGAATCCTAAAAGTGCTAAACAGATAAAGTAGGAAGGAGGAGAGGATAGTGCTCAAGTTACCATACTTCTCCCAGCAAACTGACTCCCTATGCAGCTTGACTGACAGTCTGAGGGGTTTAGCCTTCCCTGAGTCTTACCTTCCTAGCCATATGCTAAACTAAAGAGGACTGTTTTAAACCTAGCCTTGAATAAAGAGATTCATGGATTGCACACCAGGTGTGCAAACCGATCCAGGCAAACCTAATTATATATTATATATCATATACATCATATATACCATACATACCATATATATCATAAATAATACACAACATAACATACAGCATAATATATAACATAATATACAACATAACACAATACATTATTGTATAATATATAACATAATATATAACATAATACAGCATACATAATATATACACCATATATTATATATTACCTAATTATATGCTAAATTAAAGTAAAGTGCTTTAAGCCTGGCCTTGAATGTGGAGACCGTATCTGCTTCCTTAACATAAATGAAGCTGATTCCACAGTAAAGGAGCTTGGAGCTAAATGCTCTGCCACCAACAGTGACCTTTGAGACCTTAGGGACCACCAGACGTCTGGCGTTTTGTGAGCGCAACGCTCGACTTGGTTGATACGACACTAACGTGTCTTGGAGATAAGAAGGAGCCAAGCCATTTATGGCTTTATATGTTAAGAGAAGGATTTTAAACTTTATTCTGTACTCCACAGGGAGCCAGTGGAGTGAGTGGAGTTGAATAGTATTGAGTTCGAGCCCTGCGAAGGGCATTCTTGTAGTTTCGGAGACCTGCTTTCCACTCCCTGTGGACAGGCTCCGAGTGGGAGTGGCGATATAGCCTCTCCAATTTTCTGACGTCCTGTTTTAAAGTGTGGAGTTGAACACTGTACCAGGGCGACGATGATCTAATCCTAATAGTTTTCTGTTTTAAAGGAGCTGCTGCATTTAATGCAGATTTTAAAGACTCCATAGTGTTGCCCACCGTTTGGTCAATGACTGAGGGACTGCAGCTGCTGTGAACAGGTTCACCTGCAGCAGTATTCAACATAGGCTGTATTAGTTCTTTGAACCTTGTGATAGATTTATCATTTAAGGTTCTTTTCATTATGGTTTTATCTTGCGGGACAGGAAAGTCCTCCAAAGCGAGATCAAACGTGATCAAGAAATGGTCAGACAGCAACGAGCTTTGACGCTGGATGTCAACATTGGAGACATCACAGCCGTAGGTCAGGACAAGGTCCAAGGTGTGGTTATGAATGTGAGTAGGTTCCTCGACATTCTGAGTAAAACCAACACCATCTAGTACGGCGCTGAAAGCTTTGTTTAAGCTGTCAGTGCTGTCGTCCACATGTATATTGAAGTCTCCAGCTATAACTATGTTTTCCCATTCCAAAAATAGGTTTGAAATGAAGTCCGAGAATTCTGTTAGGAACTCGCTGTAAGGACCAGGAGGTCGGTATAAAACTATAAATAGTACTGCTTTTTGTTTTCTCCACCCAGGACAGGTGATTGAAAGTGTTAAGTTTTCAAACGAGTGAAAAGCGTTGTTGGTTTTGGGACTAAGAACCAAGTTGGTGTGTGATATAATCGCAACACCACCGCCGCGACCTGTAGTTCTGGCTTTCTGGTAGTTAACATGCGTCGGAGGAGTGCACTCATTCAATCTAACGTAGTCGTCCTGTTGGAGCCAAGTCTCCGAGAGCGCAAACAGATCCAAGCCCTTGTCTATAATAAGTTCGTTTATGAGAAGCGATTTAGACGAGATTGATCTGACGTTCATTAAACCACATTTAACAACCCTACTGTTAGAACTATTTCTGTCTGTCTGAACTTTTATTAAGTTACTGTGTCTGACACCTAGGTCAGATTTCCTCGCATATAGTGCTTTAGACTTCAAGCGAGGAACACACACAGTTTCAATCTGACTAGGTTCTGAGGCTAGTAACTGAGCACACACAGGCACACACACACATGCACACACAGTTTCAATCTGACTAGCTTCTGAGGCTAGTAACTGAACAGATGGGGGCTCAGAGGTTGTGGCAGTTCAGCTCTGCACCCGGGCCTCAGTTCTGCACCGTCATTTGAGCCGAGCAGAACAGTTTAGAGCCAGGGCCAAATTCTTAGCCAAAAGGGATGTACCCGCCAACGTTGGGTGGATATCATCCGAGCGGATGAGACCGGGCTTTCCCCAAAAGGTACTGCAGCCTCTCCCACTCTCCCTGACTCAGGTTGCCAGATATGCAGACAAATCCAGCTGGGACCATAACAGCTGAATAGACAAGAGTTTTGTCAATAACAAATCTATAACCAACACCTTTTTCACAAAGATAGAAATCCTGGTTTTATTACTTGTTTTGTCGTTAATGATTTGAGAATCATAACGAGACCTTTTTTAGTTCTGCGCCACATGGTACTTTACCAGTGAGATCAGCTCCACGCGGTGAGTTCTGGCGCCCGGATCAGACTTTCTGATTGGTGAAACGGTGGAGGGCGGGACATCGAAATGAAAACAAGAACACGATTTAGGGTAAAAGTAATTTAGAAATTCAAATATCTCTGAACTACTTTTATCAGTTAAAGAAGTATTGGAAAAGACTGTGGTTTATTAATGGACAAATTACGGGCCTTTAATGATGACTTGAAAATCTTACATATTCCTACTTTAACAAAAAAATTGAAGTTTGTAGACATCCCTCCAGTGTTTCCTGGGTTCCTCAGATCCAACTCTCAAGCCTCCATGTATCCTGGAGGCATCTGAAACAGTTGCCCGAGCCACCTCACCAACCTCCTTTTTATAATAAATGATGCATTCCAAACACGTGTGCATGTGTTCGCTGCACCAACCCCATTCATTAAACGAGCGCATTCAAAAGTCTTCAGTGGCTAAACTAGACTGGTCCAAAAAAAAATTCCTCAGCATCAAAAGAATTTGGAATGTAGCTTTGGACCAAGAGACACTTTTGGGCCAAGAACCACTTTTGGACCATCCTGTGAAGAGGTTTTCAAGAGAAAGAAAGACACCATACAAAAGCATTGGATCATTCTCTTTCCGGGTACACCCCCAACGGAGAGGAATTACAAGCATTTCAGCGCACATGCTCATGGATGTTTTTGAGCCGGGACCCGCCCCCACTGGTCATGCCTCTAGAAAGAGAGGAGATTCTGAAGTCCCCAAAACGGACCCCCTCCCACCGCTGTTGAAATTTTGTCCACAGAGATCAGAGTGACAAAGGGCAGCCCAGGAGGAGTCCAGCATGCTCTGGCAAAAGGTCTCTGTAAACAGGGCACCCCAGGGAACACGGTCAAACAGGGTCTTTCCGAGTGGAGTTTGCATGTTCTCCCCGTGTCTGCATAGGTTTCCTCCGGGTGCTCCGGTTTCCCCTACCATTAAAAATATGCTCACTCGGTAAAAATCCTCCAGCTTCGGTAGTCGTGACCAAGCCGAGCATTAACATCTGGAGATGGGTTCCCGGGCGCTGTTTCTACGGCAACCACTGCTCCTGCCTTAGTGGTATCAGGATGGGTCAAATGCAGAAGACAAATTTACCTATAGGGACAATAAAGACACACCTTTACATTATTACTGTATGCACTGTACAGTAGATTTTTGTATAATGTGATCTGTGGATTTACACAGTATGGACTTGTTTCTGTCTTGTCTTTTTGTTTATCCTGTGTGTCTGGGTTTGGATTAATATTAGTGATTTCCTCCTCCAACCCCTTTTCAATCCCTGTACGTCCTTTTGTTTTCTTGTCTCCTGTGAAAATGATGTGTGAAGGTTTTTGAAATAAATATCTAATTCATTCATACATTCATTCAATTGTCCAAAAGAATTGAAACGATATCTAAATGGTCAATCTCTTTGTTTCTCCCAGCACCTGATGTAGAGCCAACTGAAGCAGAACCGACTGATGAGGAACCGACCGATGAAGCACAGACCGATGCAGAACCGACCGATGAAGCACAGACTGATGCGGAACCGACTGATGCAGAACCGACTGATGCAGAATCCATCGAACCTGAGCCGATCGAGGCCAGAGGAGCTGTGGTCGAAGAGGAGTCAGAGACAGTCATCACCAGGCTCTTCCTGAGCCGTGACTCTCCTGCTGATATTGTGGATCCAGACCAGGACTCAGGCCCAGAGGTTAGCATAGAGCAGGAGGCAGTGGTTCCTCCGCCAGCGACTCAGTACATTCCCCCAGAACCATTGGGGACAGAAGCTTCTCAAACTGAAAAGATTGGTCTGAACATCGGACTTGACTCTACGCCAGAGAATGGGCCTGTCACAGAACCAGAACCAGAAGCAGAGCAGCAGCAAGAGATTACCAAAGATGTGGGAGATGCAGGAGATCCAACGAGAGTAACTCAAATGGAACAAAAGCAAATGGTAAATGGCTAAAACTGATTAGAACAAACTGCTACGAAACACAGAAACTATTGTCTGTACTGTTTTTGTTTTCATCATTCCCTCTCCATTCAGAAGTGCTCCTGGGTTTGTCTTACTTGTTTAAATATTCATGGTATGTCAGTAAGCTACAATATCACATTTGAGTACGGATCCTACTGAATGATACCGTAGAACAGATAACTACAGCATAACGACTGCACTACACATCAGAGGTCTCCAACCTGGGGCTCGGGAGCTAACAGTAGCTCGCCAGCTGCCTCCAGGAAGCTTCCCAAAGGATTTAGAACTTAACACATAACATTTTGAGTTATTACATACAGTATTATAGTATATTATACATGTGCTCTCCATGTGTCTTCTCTCTTGTTGCATTTATTATAAAGATTTTTACTAGGATTTTTTTTATCAGCAGTAGTAGAAAGTTGAAGACTATGGCTGTACATGCAAGGTATCTTTTGGAGCTTGGTGAAGTTTAGATTCTAGATCATTGAGTCTGGGTTCTTGAACTGAATGTCTTCTACAGGAGTAACTCTACAGCATCTCAAAAGTTATCCAAGAACGTTACCAGTTTGCATGAGGCAAGCCTAACTTAAAGCCCCGTTTCCACCAGCCCTACTTGGCCCCACTCTGTTCTACTCTACCCCGATTGGGAGTGTTTACATCGGCCATGCGTCGCTGGCACCATGTACTTTTTAGTACCTGCTTGGCCCTGTTTGAACCAGGCAGAGCTGGTACTATAGTGCTCAAACTGACGATACCAGAGGACTGCTGGTATTCATGGCTGTTGTGGGTGGGTTGCTAGGATACCAGGGACTAAAACGCAATGGAAATACAACCAGGTAGAGTAGAGCTGAGTAGAGTAGGGTCAAGAAGGGCTGGTGGAAATGGGGCTTAAATGTTTGGGTATGACTGGGTGGAGTCCCCCAAGGGTCGATAAGAGGACCCAAACTATTTATCATTTTGTTTAATGATTTATGTCAAGTGTCTGCCATTCTAAAATTCTGACATTGTTTTCTATGAATCAACTAACTATTGAATACACTGCCCCTTGTATGAATATTTTTGAAAGTAGTATAATTGTTTTTTATAAGCAAACACCAAACTATCTAAAATAACTCTAAATCGGTAAAAATTAAGGAAAACGTGTTGTGCTTCTGTTTGTGGAAAAGGTTGATAAGTGGAATTAATAGAAAGTGCAGATAAAAATAAATAAAAATAGGTGAAAATAGTCTTCATGAGATATGAGAAAAATAAATCGATAGGTAATGGGTTCGATGGATTGGCCTTTACCTTTAAAAATATCAATAAAACATAATAAAATGAAAAAGGAGCGGCAGGGTGGCTGAGTGGTTAGCCCTCGCACTTCTCAGCAAGAATGTCCTGGGTTTGAATTTCGATTGGAACAGAGTCGAGTTTGCATGTTCTCCCCGTGTCTGTGTAAGCTTCCTTCAGGTTCTCCGGTTTGGTCTGGTCCTGACAGAAGACTTAGTGGTATCGGGGTCAAATGCAAAGGATGAATTAAAAATATTTTCTTAAATGTGTTTAATAAAGTCCAATTTTCCCTCACAGATGAGCGACAACGTGCCTCCTCCCTTTCAACCTATGCCCCATGAGCCTGAGACGCCTGCTCCTGAGAACCGGGGTCAGAAGCAGATGGAGTCAGTGGAGAAACGTAAACGAGATGATCCTCACACTTCGTCACACTCTGTGGTCCTCACCGGGTCCTGGAGCCTGGTGCTGTTATGGTTATGTGCGCCCGCCCTTTGAGAAAGCCCAAGCTCCTGCCTCTCTGGTTACCCTGGGATCTAAAGGCCGAACTGAGTACCGTGGTAGCATAGTCCCGCTCAGGGTCAGCTCCAGGGCTGGGTAAAGCACTGTATCCATGTTCGGCCTGTTCCTCTGAAAACATGTGCACTAGGATCTCATCTGGGACCAGGACTATCAAAGTTAAACAAGGATAAGTTTGTGTTTTTTAATATCTAATATTTGACTATGGAGCATCCGCTACATTTCAGAGTAAATATTTACCATATAACATGATTCTGACAATTAGAAACAGTTTAAAGGAAAGGAAAAAACGAATAGGAGTTCTGTTATAAGCCATTCTTTTCCCCCTTAGTCGTTATGAATAGATTTTTCTTTTATAACAACTCTAACTGGAATCTGTGTAATTGCATCACACTGTACAGACTGTAAATAAACATTAGTGAACTGTTAAATTGATTGCTGTATTAAAAAATAAACTAAATACACACACAATAAGTCTGATTCTTTGATAATGAAGACACATATTTACATTTTAGATCACCATAATTATGTTCTATGTTTATAACAGAACACACACAAAAGACTTCAGTCCACTCTTATGAACGCCGAAAGGTTTATTTAACGACAGAAAATAAAATAGTTCCCAAAGGCTTTTCTGTGGCTATGCTAGTAACAATTAGGCTAGTAACAGTTAGGCTAGTAACAGTTAAGCTAGTAACAGTTAGGCTAGAAATAGTTAGGCTAGTAACAGTTAGGCTAGTAACAGTTAGGCTAGTAACAGTTAGGCTAGTAACAGTTAGGCTAGTAACAGTTAGGCTAGTAACAGTTAGGCTAGTAACAGTTAGGCTAGTAACAGTTAGGCTAGAATAGTTAGGCTAGTAACAGTTAGGCTAGTACAGTTAGGCTAGTAACAGTTAGGCTAGTAACAGTTAGGCTAGTAACAGTTAGGCTAGTAACAGTTAGGCTAGTAACAGTTAGGCTAGTAACAGTTAGGCTAGTAACAGTTAGGCTAGTAACAGTTAGGCTAGTAACAGTTAAGCTAGTAGCAGTTAGGCTAGTAACAGTTAGGCTAGTAGCAGTTAGGCTAGTAACAGTTAGGCTAGTAGCAGTTAGGCTCGTAACAGTTAGGCTAGTAACAGTTAGGCTAGTAACAGTTAGGCTAGTAGCAGTTAGGCTAGTAACAGTTAGGCTAGTAACAGCTAGGCTAGTGACAGTTAGGCTAGTAGCAGTTAGGCTAGTAACAGTTAGGCTAGTAACAGTTAGGCTAGCAACAGTTAGGCTAGTAACAGTTAGGCTAGTAACAGTTAGGCTAGTAACAGTTAGGCTAGTAACAGTTAGGCTAGTAACAGTTAGGCTAGTAACAGTTAGGCTAGTAACAGTTAGGCTAGTAGCAGTTAGGCTAGTAACAGTTAGGCTAGTAGCAGTTAGGCTAGTAACAGTTAGGCTAGTAGCAGTTAGGCTCGTAACAGTTAGGCTAGTAACAGTTAGGCTAGTAACAGTTAGGCTAGTAGCAGTTAGGCTAGTAACAGCTAGGCTAGTGACAGTTAGGCTAGTAGCAGTTAGGCTAGTAACAGTTAGGCTAGTAACAGTTAGGCTAGTAGCAGTTAGGCTAGTAACAGTTAGGCTAGTAACAGTTAGGCTAGTAGCAGTTAGGCTAGTAACAGTTAGGCTAGTAGCAGTTAGGCTAGTAACAGTTAGGCTAGTAACAGTTAGGCTAGTAACAGTTAGGCTAGTAGCAGTTAGGCTAGTAACAGTTAGGCTAGTAACAGTTAGGCTAGTAGCAGTTAGGCTAGTAACAGTTAGGCTAGTAACAGTTAGGCTAGTAACAGTTAGGCTAGTAACAGTTAGGCTAGTAACAGTTAGGCTAGTAACAGTTAGGCTAGTAGCAGTTAGGCTAGTAACAGTTAGGCTAGTAACAGTTAGGCTAGTAACAGTTAGGCTAGTAACAGTTAGGCTAGTAACAGTTAGGCTAGTAACAGTTGGGCTAGTAGCAGTTAGGCTAGTAACAGTTAGGCTAGTAGCAGTTAGGCTAGTAACAGTTAGGCTAGTAACAGTTAGGCTAGTAACAGCTAGGTGAGTAGCAGTTAGGCTAGTAACAGTTAGGCTAGCAACAGTTAGGCTAGTAACAGTTAGGCTAGTAACAGTTAGGCTAGTAACAGTTAGGCTAGTAACAGTTAGGCTAGTAACAGTTAGGCTAGTAACAGTTAGGCTAGTAACAGTTAGGCTAGTAACAGTTAAGCTAGTAACAGTTAGGCTAGTAACAGTTAGGCTAGTAACAGTTAGGCTAGTAACAGTTAGGCTAGTAACAGTTAGGCTAGAAACAGTTAGGCTAGTAACAGTTAGGCTAGCAACAGTTAGGCTAGTAACAGTTAGGCTAGTAACAGTTAGGCTAGTAACAGCTAGGTGAGTAGCAGTTAGGCTAGTAACAGTTAGGCTAGCAACAGTTAGGCTAGTAACAGTTAGGCTAGTAACAGTTAGGCTAGTAACAGTTAGGCTAGTAACAGTTAGGCTAGTAACAGTTAGGCTAGAAACAGTTAGGCTAGTAACAGTTAGGCTAGTAACAGTTAGGCTAGTAACAGTTAGGCTAGAAATAGTTAGGCTAGTAACAGTTAGGCTAGCAACAGTTAGGCTAGTAACAGTTAGGCTAGTAACAGTTAGGCTAGTAACGGTTAGGCTAGTAACAGTTAGGCTAGTAACAGTTAGGCTAGCAACAGTTAGGCTAGTAACAGTTAGGCTAGTTACAGTTAGGCTAGTAACAGTTAGGCTAGTAACAGTTAGGCTAGTAACAGTTAGGCTAGTAACAGTTAGGCTAGAAACAGTTAGGCTAGTAACAGTTAGGCTAGTAACAGTTAGGCTAGTAACAGTTAGGCTAGAAACAGTTAGGCTAGTAACAGTTAGGCTAGCAACAGTTAGGCTAGTAACAGTTAGGCTAGTAACAGTTAGGCTAGTAACAGTTAGGCTAGTAACAGTTAGGCTAGTAACAGTTAGGCTAGTAACAGTTAGGCTAGTAACAGTTAGGCTAGCAACAGTTAGGCTAGTAACAGTTAGGCTAGTAACAGTTAGGCTAGTAACGGTTAGGCTAGTAGCAGTTAGGCTAGTAACAGTTAGGCTAGTAACAGTTAGGCTAGTAACAGTTAGGCTAGTAACAGTTAGCCTAGTAACAGTTAGGCTAGTAACAGTTAGGCTAGTAACAGTTAGGCTAGTAACAGTTAGGCTAGCAACAGTTAGGCTAGTAACAGTTAGGCTAGTTACAGTTAGGCTAATAACAGTTAGGCTAGTAACAGTTAGGCTAGTAACAGTTAGGCTAGTAACTTCCAAACTAGAACTCTCTGGAACTGCATGAAAACCGAACACAGAATCCTGAACATCAGCGGTGAGTGACCCAAACATAAACTTAACCTAAATTCATAATTCCATCCTCGGCAAATGTTCCTAAAATGTCCCGGAATCTACTTCTGGGTTTTTCGCGATAGCTGTTTCTCGCATTAAAACAGTGTTTTTGTCATGAAAACCCTAACAAAATTCTATATCTATATATATGTGTTCTAATAGCGAACTATCTAAATGACGTCACTAAGACACGCCCTCGCCGCCTGTCAACTCCCGCCCACATGTTTCGGACAAACACTGCCCAAATGAATCAAATACCACTTGTCACTTTAGACGAAAATGATAAACCAGGAGCAAAATTCCTCCATCAAACCATCGGGGATCATAGTGTAGACCAATTAAAACGTTGGTTTGAATGTCGTGGTCTTCCAGTGACTGGTAGAAAGTTTGAATTGATAAAAAGATAATGGTGAGGATTATGCTAACATTATCTAGCCATTTAAATTGCAATGTTAGCGCCTTCTTTGTTTGTTTTGCTGTGATTAACTTCCATTCATCAAGTTGTTTTTGCACTGTCCACTTTGTAATTAGTTTGATCATTAGTTAGCTACAGTCAGCTGATATTATAATAAATCCATGATCACAACGGGTTACGCCACTGTCTCTGAGAGAAACTATCAGAGCTAGCCACACTCAGTAAACGCAAATGACAATCAATCAACACATTTAAATGTTAATGGGAGAATACATTATACACATTCATAACACAAGTGCACGGAGGTTTTCAGAATTAACTGTTCAGGTTTTCATGACAAAAATACTTTTTTAATGCGACTAAAGCGATCGCTTTTAGGTTAACTATCCTCACTGTTACTCGCCTGCCACGGGAAAACCTTTGGGAACTATTTTCTTTGCACTCATTAAATAAACCTTTCGGCATGAGTAGTGAATGACGTTTATTTTGTGTGTTCAATTGGTACAAAGCCGTATAATAAGCAGACACAAAGTTGAAAAAAATCCCTCTCATCTTTCTTCAGGTGTGAGAATTGTATACTTTCTGGATTAGGACAAACAATACTAATATGGATTGATGGGGCTAACTACATTCAGAAGAGCTCAGACGGACCTGATACAGCGGTCCAGATCCAGTCCCAGCTAAACGTAGCTAGGACTGGATCTGGAGGCTCCACAGTTGGTCCAGCGAAGTGTTTTGAAAAAACATGTGCCCTTTTTAACCTTTTCATGAGAGAAATTCTGCCGACCACAAGCACCCACCTGGTCTGATCTGGTCCTGGTCTGGTCCTGGTCTGGTCCGATGTTTTGGTTTAACGAACGGGTTGAATGTTACTTTCATATAGTCCTTTTCAGAGTATCTGAAATCGCTCCGACAAGCACCATAACTGCAGTGTTTTGTTGTCACCATGATTCAATGATTTAGCCCAAGTAAATACACACGCGTATGAGGAGAACACAGTAGAACTCAACGCGTCGTACACAATGTTTGTCCGAAACATGCGCGCATGCGCAGTCATCTGAGCTATTTTTAGCACATTTCGGAAACCGGACAGTGCCCTATAGTATATATTATTCTATGGACAGTAGTGGCTCAGTTGGTAGAGCATTGGCCTTTGAGCCTGAAGGTTGTGAGTTTGAGTGAAACCTTCTCTACCGACTCCCAACGATGTAAGTAAGTGGGTAAGTAATCTTTATTTATATACCGCCTTTTCACTGCAGATCTGAGTCTCAAAGCGGTTTACAATTGTTATTTTTGGGCATTAGTCTCTCACTCCACACAGAGATGGGTGCGGGGTCGCCAGTACAGGAGGCGCATGTCAGACATGTCTATTAGACATATTTTTAGTGGTAGGGGAAACCGGAGTACCCGGAGGAAACCGGGTACATGCAAACTCCACTCAGAAAGGCCCTGGTCCGACCGGGATTCGAACCCAGGACCTTCTTGCTGAGAGAAGAGAGTGCTATCCACTCAGCCACCGTGCCGCCCACCTGATGTCTGCTGTCATTGTGTCCTTGGGCAAGACACTTTACCCACTTTGTCTATAAGGAGCGCGGAGGTATTATTCACTGCAGGCCTTGATGTGTAGATGTATTTGTGCATTCATCTAAACTGACATTTCCCCACTGTGGGACTAATAAAGGACCTTCTTCCTCTTCTTCTTCTTTCGTGTTCTCTCTCTTTGGACTCCACCTCCCATGATGCTGTTCTTTGTGTGAGTCTGATGCATGCTGGGAGCTGCAGTCCAAAGCAGCATTGTGGGGGAATCTCAGTTTGAAAATGAGACGCACTCAGGGCAGGACGCACGCAGCTGGCTCCAGTCCGCATCTCCCTGGATCTCGACTTGGACACAGCCCTGGATCCGTCTGGCTCCTCTCCCCTCTCCTCGTCTCCTCTCTCCTCGTCTCCTCTCTCCTCGTCTCCTAGGCTGAATGTGCAGAGATGGGCTGCAGATTGAGTGTGAGCAGAGGCAGGAATAGGGTGAGTCAATCTTTTCATGAACACAATCACACAGCAAATACTGCACTCAGAAGGAATGCACTAAAGGGTGTATATTTCCCCGAAGCCAAATGTTTTTTGAAAATAAAATGGTGGTTGAAATGCAGTTGTTAAATGTGAACCCACTGATGCGATGATGGACAGCTATGGAAATGACAGATACATGATGATGCACAGAGGTGAGGATGTGGATGTTTAACACAGACTGTTAAGTGGGCTGAGGATGGAGCTGTCCTGGATATTGGTGAGACCATAGTCCTTATTTGGACCTCCTCTTTGGGTCTATTTTTGTTCAATTTTTAGTTTGTTGAAAGCTGTTTCCTGGTTCAATACAAGTCAATGTATTCTTGTATCGCCTGAAGTCACAACAGTAGATATCTCAGACGACTTAAAAAAAGCCTTGATATCGCCAACACAGATCAAAGACAGAGAATACATAACACATGGTTTTGGACCATGGGGAGTTGACCAATGCCCTTCAGTGTTGTAGAATGTAGAGTGTCCTGGATCATCACCAGGTGGTAAGGTTGCATTCACACTCAGATGTATCTGATGTTTACTAGGGGTGTAACGATTAATCGATACACATCGATTAATCGATATAATGCTCTACGATTTGTTGGCATCGATGCTAAACGTAAACATCGATATATATCGGTTGTTTTTGACCTAGGAGATTAGACGCGACTTTATTTTGATATCCAGTTCATTGTTGCATGCTTCCTCTTTCCGGGAGCAGTGCGCGGCGCGGCGTGTTGTGAGGCTCACACGCCGTCTATACATAGCAGGCACGTGAAAGGGGAGCCGACGGCTACGCAGCTCCTGGGCGGGTGCTATGGCTAATGTCCAAGAAGACGAGGAAATTTGCTCCCCTTTGGGCTTCAAGTCATTCGTTTGGAAGCACTTTGGATTCCAAAGAAAAAATGGCTCAACGGACAAGACACGTGTGGTTTGTAAATTCTGCCATGCTGTGGTCAAATACTCAGGGAACACCACAAATCTCGCCGCACATTTAAAGAAAAAACACGACATCTCTCCCTCAAGCAGTGGCAGCGAAAACAACACGGACACGACGCCCTCCGTGAGCACATTTTTTCCCCAAATGCTAAGTAAAAACTCTAAACGAGCTACATCCATCACTGCTGCAATTTCATATTATATTTGTAAAGACTTGAGGCCATTTAGTAGCGTGGAGGGTGAGGGATTTTCCCAGTTGATGAATACGCTAGAGCCCAGATATAAAGTACCATCGAGACAGTACTTTAGTGAAACATTTGTACCACGTCTATACACCCGTGCTAAAGCGGAGGTATTACGCGAACTAAAGGAAGCAGAACGGGTTGCTATCACTACAGATGGGTGGACTTCTTGCTCAACTGAAGCCTACATTACGGTCACTTGCCACTACGTTGATACATCATGGACGCTAAAAAAACTACGTGCTTCAGACTCGTGTTTTAAATGACTCTCACACAGGAGCGAACCTAGCCTCTGTCCTAAACGAAGCATGTGAAGAATGGCACATTGCAGATAAAAACCCAGCTCTTGTAACTGACAATGCCAGCAACATGACCGTAGCAGGAAGAGAGGCGCATTTTCTTGAAGAAGAACCTAACAAAGAAAGCAATATCACATCTTTCAATGGACTAAACAAACATGTGACAAACTACTTTTGATTTTGCACTACATGTTGTATTATTGGCCATATTGAACAGTTCAGAGTAGACAAGGTGTAATGTTGAAATTCTCTATAAAGAGTTATATATTAAGTTATTTTTGTTATGTAGAAGAGTTAAATAACACCATACATTTATTTATAGTTCTCCGTTATTGCTCTGGTTTATTTATTTTTGCATTTGGATATGGTCAAAGTGTAATGTTTACTACATTTTTGTTTTGTAATGAAATAGTTCAGTAATGCACTTTAAAGTTGAATGGTATTACAAAAAAAAAAAAAAAGAGTTCATTGTACTTTACTTACATGGGAAATAAAAGTTCAGTATTACAATAAGCACTTTGTATACTACAATACTCTAATTGCCTAAATAAAGAGTTTGTTATAAATCAGGATATTATATATCGATCGTGGAGCACTATATCGTGATGTATCGTGAATGAATCACAGCAGACTTTAAGATATCGGCAAATATCGTATCGTGGTTCTTTGTATCGATATGATATCGTATCGTGACAAAACTCGCGATTTACACCCCTAATGTTTACTAGCTTTGGTCCAATTCCAGTCTAATCCCATCCAGTCCAGTTTTAGCAGGCATGCTGTGTGTGTAAGTGTGTGTGTGTGTAAGTGTGTGTGTGTGTGTGTGTGTGTGTGTGTGTGTGTGTGTGTGTGTGTGTGTGTGTGTGTGTGTGTGTGTGTGTGTGTGTGTGTGTGTGTGTGTGTGTGTGTGTGTGTGTGTGTGTGTGTGTGTGTGTGTGTGTGTGTGTGTGTGTGTGTGTGTGTGTGTGTGTGTGTGTGTGTGTGTGTGTGTGTGTGTGTGTGTGTGTGTGTGTGTGAAGTGGGATGTCTTGTTTTGTTCTAACGAATGGGATGTTCTGATCCAAATGCTTTTTGACAGAAAAAGCACATGCATTACAAAGACCAGATCCAGTCCCGGTTCAGTCCTGGTTAAATCATCAGGTCTTGGGTTGAAGGAGGATGTGTTATAGGATAGAGTAGCAGAGAAAACAACAATTAGAAAACATAGGCACTTATCTAAAGCAACAAGCTGTGGTATATACACTGCAAAGATAAACTTGAACACCCACAAGTTATTTGCGACAGTAGCTCAGTTGGTAGAGCATCCGCCTTTGGGCCTGAAGGTTGTGGGTTCGAGCCCACCGTAAGACCTACTTCACGACTCCCACTGATGTCTGCTGTTGTTGTGTCCTTGGGCAAGACACTTAACCCCACTTTGCCTGAAGCCCCCACTGAAAGATCTCAGCTCCTGTGGACTCACCACCTGCAGGAGGATCAGTGAGGGGCTGGTGCTCTGTGCTCTGACTGCCACCCCCAGACCCAGAAATGGATTAAGGGGAAGAAAATGGATGGATGGATGGAACAAGTTATTTATTTAAATGATGTTACTATTTTAAAATGTAACAGTAATATTTGTCTTAGAAGTCTTGGTGGCAAGATCCCAAGTTGACTCAAGGCAGTTTCACAGCTAGAGGAGAGACAAGAAACTCGGCCACTCTCTGCATCCAAGTGTGTGTGTGTGCGTGCGTGTGTGTGCGTGTGTGTGTGTGTGTGTCTGTGTGTGTCTATGTCAAAACAGTGGGCTGTTCAAGCGTCAGGTCACATCACTGTCACACATTCAGACCCACTCAGCTGTATACTGCTCTGTGCTCTCTAACACGGTGGACAACACTGGACTACATTACCCACAATCCACCACCACTGCCCCAGAGCATAGCTGTACAGCCTAGTGCTCTTTAACTCACTGGAACACATTATCCTCAACCGCCTACACATGCAGTCGTCATCGTACAATAGATTTTTTTTTGTAATTCTGGAAACCTGCTGGTATGTGTCAAGATATTGTCCAGTAGAAACTAAGAGTTCACACACACCTCGTACAAAGACAGTTTTAGAATGGAATATGCTTGAAGGAGTGTTTGTATGAAAGGGTGGTTGGGCCATTTGTGCGGTTGGTGCAGAGTAAGTGGAAGTGGATGAGTGAAAGTGAAAGTACTATAGGTCCAAGCCCCGCTGATCCAAGATGGCGTCCTCTTCAAATGAATGGCTTGTCCTCGGTAGTGCATGGGACATACACAGGGACTCGTTCATATTTGGGCATCGTCTGGTCCTTCTGGTTCTGTGCAGTGGACGAGCTCCCATGATGCTTTGCGCCAAATACATGTGTGTGGCTCTCATCCACGCGCACGGAGGGGCTCGGCCAATCAGAGCTCTACCAACTGAGCCATATATACATATATATGTATGTACTGTGTATAGCACACATGCTAACACATACTCGGCGTTTGTGATCGCAAAATATGACTTAGGGAACCGCAGCTTTCAGTTTGTTTACTGAAAGCTGCGTCACACCCTGTAAAAACCTCATGAATGATTTCCTATGATCAGAGCCCTGGTGGCCGGAGAGTGATTCTGCATGAACACAGTCATTAGAGACCTGGAATAATCAGAGCTGATGTGGCTGTGACAATGAGATTTACAAAATGAGTAAGAGAAATGTAATGAAAACAATAATATACTCAACTTGTTTGTGAAGAATAGTCTTTTTGCACATCATAATGGACACAGTACAAACTCGAACAGAGCATGCTCCGGTCGGTCAACCTTTCAGTAACTCACAGAACTTGCTTATAAACTTTCTTCAAACGTTATCTTTTACTAATTCCCTTTTCGGGATAACACAGCTCAACATGCGTTAACTTCAGCCAAATGTCACACATGTCAGCAAGAATGTCCTGGGTTCGAATCCTGGTCAGAACAGGGCCTTTCTGAGTGGAGTTTGCATGTTCTCCTCTGCGTAGGTTTCCTCCGGGTGCTCTGGTTTCCCCTACCACTAAAAACATGCACAATAGGTCTGAATGTAAATGAGAGAGTGAATGGATGGTGTTGGGTCGGAGGTTTTGATGGTCCAGTGTGTTCTGGACTCGCTTCTGTCATCACCGTGTGTGGAATGATTGGAACAATATCTGACACTGAACATTGGAAAGCGCTTTGGGTGACCTTGGTCTGTAAAATAAACAAAAATAAACATTACTTACTTACGTGTTGACTGACGTGTGTCTGTCTTGCTCCACTCGTCTGGTTCAGCGTCAGCAGAACGACCTGATATTTTTGTGAAAACCTCTGTGTCAGTATTTAGCTCTTTGACTCTGACAAAAACATCCTGACACCCTGTCATTATGTTTAACTGACAGCTCTGATATAGATATACATGTACTCCACTCCACTTTATTTATGTAGTAATATAGACTGCTAATGACATCTCACAAACTCCATATTTCAACGGTTTTTGTGTCTTTCAGCCTAAGCCCCGCCCCTTGCGACATCCTGAAGAGCTGCACTTCCTCAATGAATTTGGTCAACCAATCACAGTACAGCTTGAGGAGAGAGGGCGTGGCCAGTACAGACCGATGGAAGCTCATTGGGAGATGGGTCAGACTCAGAGGAGCTGCTACGGTGAGCCCTACATGCCCGCGGACCTCTACTCCTACATGGCACACGACCAGTTTCCCTCCGCAAGCTGTGTCCCCAGTGTGTCCTACAGCCTGAACCAGATGGACAAGATGGACCAGATGGACCAGATGAACCAGATGAACCAGATGAACCAGATGAACCAGATGAACCAGATGAACCAGATGGATCAGATGGACCCAGACTGGCTCCAGACTCAGGTACAAGCCTAGCACGTGGTGTACTGAAAGACTGATGTTTAATGAAACTCAAAAAGCCACGGCCAGTCATTTGCATAGTGGTTTCTGTGCAGAGGACTATTTTAACTAAGTGTGGGGTCTGTCTGTGAATTTCAAACCAAAATGTCCTTACAGGGAAATAAAGATTATACTTGAATTCTGTATTTATTTTAGAAGGATATTTCATTTGATTTATTTTATATTGATGTCTCCGAAGCAGACTCAGTCCATAAGAGTCTGTAACATTATGTCATTTCTGATTTTTCACAGTACTCCTGCCCCTGGCCTCCTCCGGACCACAGAACGGATCCCACATTAGATCTCGACCAGGTTCAGTCTGGTCCAGGTTTGGGCCCGGACTTCCCCTGCAGTTCCTCTCAGTTCCTCAAGGGGATGCTGCTCTCAGAGGCAGAGACTGATATTGTGTCATCACTTCCAGGCCACACCCCTTCATCTCGGGGCTCCTCCCCATCAGACTCTTTGACATCATCATTGACCTCAGAGCCCAGCGATTCAGGCTTCCACAGTGTCAGCACTGCAGGCCCCGCCCCCAGAGTTGTAGGCCCTTCCCCTGGACACACACATCATCGCCCGCATCTTCAGAGAGGACGCTGGGAACTGCAATCAATCCCTGAGAATTGGAGGTGGGTTAGAGTTCGGGTTTGAGTCCCTGAGGTAACGCCCAGCACTGCAGACCCTGGACTTGGCGGTCCTGGACTTGGCGGTAGTCTGTAACTGCCTTTGAAGCTCATTTGAAATATAAAAACAAAGGGTAATTCTTGAGCCCTGTGTCGCACCTGGACCTGACCTCGTTGGGACTTTTTCAGCGTGAAAAAGAGCAGTACAAAATCGCAGTTAGCCTGTTTTTCGGATTAAAAGGTGCAGTTTTTGTCATGGTTCGGCTCGGGGTTTACTCTGGAGAAAAGTATGAGTGAAATTAATACATAAAATATTTTGTTCACGGTAAAATATCAAATGATAGCCCGGGCTATTGGTTTTAGCGATTAAGCTAATATAGCGATTAAGCTAATAAAAAAGCAACTCATCCTCTAGTGCAGGCATATACAAACTCCAGGTTTTCAGCCCCAGGTCTAGTCTGATGTACTAAAGTGGCCCTTTTTCTAAAAACTTTGGACACCCCTGCTCTAGAGCGACTTTTAAAGGTTTTTTTTCCTTCTTTATTATGCATTTTTGTCTGGTGCGGTTTACACTCCGGAGCGATTTATAATCTGAATAATAATCGTGTCAGAACCGACAGAAGTTCTATTGCGATATTACAGCATTGACTCCAATCAGTATTTTGCACAAGGTCAGTAGCTTCGGCCTTCAGATAAACCAAAACAAGTGGAAAAGTACCAGCTGCAGTTTCATATTATAATGACAATAATTAATATATACAATTATAAATTCAGCTTTAACCACAGTTGTTTCAAAGTGTCATAATCCAAACTACCATGTTGGATGAGAAAAGTCTGCATACAAGAGCAATGATAGTAGTCAAACTTGTATTCAAAAGCCAGATTCCGATGAACCTCTGAAGCTAAGCAGGAAAGGGCTTGGTAGGATTGTGATGGGAGACCTCTGAGAACACCAGGTGCCACAGTGGGTGTCTGTGGCTGTATAGTGTCGAACTGTGCCTGTGACCTTAGGCAAGACACTTCCCCCACATTAGAATGAGTTTGGTGTGAATGGTTGGTGGTGGTGGGAGGGGCCGATGGCACAGACTGGTTGCCTCGCATCTGTCAGTGTGTCTCAGGGCAGCTGTGGCTTCAGTCGTAGTTTTTCACCATTGTGTTTGGAAGGAATAATGACATGTGAACAGTGCAGAGTAAAACCAATGCTTCATTATCATAATATGTTTTAATGATCTTTGGTCCTTTAGCCCCGCTCCTCACTATGTGCATCACCAGTCGGACGAGGGGGGATTCTGGGAGATGCAGTCCATCCCAGAGACCGGGCCGAAGGCGAGCTGCAGTGTGGGCAACAGTACCACAACTACGGTCCACTTTCACCGACCAGAACGAAGCCCCACGTCACCGCGACAGCACAGTCCCCGGCTACGACAGCGCTCGCCTGCAGCCACGCCTCCGGGTCAGTCCGTCTCTAAAGGAGGGGGCCAATAAACTTAGAAGCAGTTTGGGGCCAAAAGTTTTAACAATAATAATAATATATTTTATTTTTAGTGCACCTTTCTAATTTCTTGGAAAACTCAACGTAAACTACAAATAACAAAACAAAAGAATCAGAAGTACATGAAATGAAATGAAATGAAATGAAAAAAAAAAGATACATGAAGCTATTTATATCCATTATAGGCTGAACATTATTTTTTAGTTATTTTTCTAGTCGTTGGTCGTTAGTCGTACAATCACAATTGGGCCAAATATTAAACAAATTAATTGAACTGATTCACAGTTAAATAAATATGAACTCTGTATTAAATATAACAATCACAGTTAGCTGTTGATTCTCTGATCTGTGTCGGTGATTTCAATGGTTTTGTGAAGTCTCTGAGATTAAGCTGTTGTGATTTAGGGCAATACAAGAATAAATTGTACTGTATTGTATTGTGATAAAAATCTATATCTTTGACCTAACTCTTTGCAGGGTGCCGCACTGAGCCATGCCAACGACGAGCTCACTGGCTGCAAGATGGATCCAGAACCTTAACAGAACCAAATAGAAGCCAAACCTTCACGAATCTGACTCAGAATCAGAACCAGCATCGAAGGAGAGCCAGTCACCCCTGTACCCTCCAGGCTTCAGATCCCAGAACCTCCCAGAGCGAACCCTCCGTAAGCCGGCCCACCCAGACCAGCACTGCACCCAGAAGGAGCATGAGCAGAACCAGCCAATGGGATCGGAGCTTGACCCACGACAGAGATACCAGCTTTAACCAAGACCAACACCAAGAAAACCAAAAACAGGCCAACCCATCCACATACACCTCCCAGTCCACCGCAGCCAGATCTAGAGAATCCTTGGATCAAGTCTATCCCAAACCAAACCGAAGCAGAGACCACAGCCTGGACCAAAACCTTCACGCTCCTCTGACTCGGACCTCCCAGACCCTCAGAACTCAATCCAACCGAGAGCCTATTCCTCAGTTCTACAGCACAGTCCAATCCAGCCCCAGGTCGTCCAATCAGAGGCCCCTGCGAAGGCATCGAGCTCCGCGATTGGTCCATCAAAGGAGTGATGTCACCACCGATGAAGAGCTGTTCCCACCTCCCCAAGATCGGCGCAGACCAGGCCACAAAACCCGGATTAGATCATCTCAGAGTCGTACTGGGCCAGACCAGGACCCTCTCATGGTACTAAGAGACCAGAACCTGGACCGAATCAGGACCAGGCAGATTCTTGATGAATGGACCACCATCGAGGAGCTGCTGAGCCATGGGACTAGAACAGAAAACCGGACCAAAGGTTGGCCCAGTCCACTTCTGTCTGTCACCACAGTCTGAACGGACCAGAGCAAGGCTTTGCAGCAGGACTTCACCAGCCCAGAACTAATCTCTAACAGAGCGAGAAAACGACTAAACAGCAATGTGGACTTACTTACATAACACACATATCAGATATAGGTCAGAACAAAGTCCGAGCTTCATGTGGACAAGAACCAGATCTAGTTCTGATGAAGGAAAAACGGGTCCAGGACAAAACTGTGAATACACCTGTGAATATAGTCGTTTTTATAAAAAGTTCACAGTATACAGAAAAAAACACATCCTACAACAGTTGAAATATATATATACATTTATATATAATATATATATACATTTGAGTAGATTGAACTGTATATTTAGATACATTTAGTTTTTAATCACGCACAAAGTATAGAAATGACTAAAATGTGACTAATGAGTGAATAAATCCAAACCAATCAGCACAGGCACATTCTGCTGTCAGACATGTGCATAGTATTCAGGTATTATTAGTATCAACTGCATCTGACTTTACCCAAAGAACTTTGTAACCATGAAATATATGTAAGCGAAGAGAATATGCTTTAACAATAGAGCAGTATATTTTCATTGTAATAACGTACACAAGAACGGAAAAGACCTGTGACTCAAAAAAAAAAACATACAGTACGTCGAAATCCCAGTTTTAGCAATCAGCACAGTTTAATCTGGTGCGACTAAACACCTGTGCCCAGCCTGACTCCGCCCACATGAACATTTTCTCTAAACAGGGCGTTGCCGGAGGACCATGGGACAAGAAGGGGGCTTGAGTTGGGCGTGGTCTGGGCTGTGATTGACAGCTTGCTTGTCACGAAAAAAAACCAGACAGTTGTCATTGCTGCTTGAAGCAATAGTTTACAGACCAGAAAGTCTCATTCTCTTGTTTACACACTAAGATAATTGTAGAGCTACACACCTGAACCTAAGCCACAGAATTATCTCAGCAGTAGTGGCTGTCGACTCACGTAATTTAAATTTAATCCACTAATCCACACACCAACTGACGTCACGCACACCAACTGACGTCACACACACCAACTGACGTCACACACACCAACTGACGTCACACAGACCAACTGACGTCACACACACCAACTGACGTCACGCACACCAACTGACGTCACACACACCAACTGACGTCACAGACACCAACACACACACCAACTGACGTCACACACACCAACTGATGTCACACACACCAACTGACGTCACACACACCAACACACACACCAACTGACGTCACGGACACCAACACACACACCAACTGACGTCACGGACACCAACACACACACCAACTGACGTCACACACACCAACTGACGTCACACACACCAACTGACGTCACACACACCGACTGACGTCACACACACCAACTGACGTCACGCACACCAACTGACGTCACACACACCAACTGACGTCACAGACACCAACACACACACCAACTGACGTCACACACACCAACACACACACCAACTGACGTCACACACACCAACACACACACCAACTGACGTCACGGACACCAACACACACACCAACTGACGTCACACACACCAACTGACGTCACACACACCAACTGACGTCACACACACCGACTGACGTCACACACACCAACTGACGTCACACACACCAACTGACATCACACACACCAACTGACGTCACGCACACCAACTGACGTCACGGACACCAACACACACACCAACTGACGTCACACACACCAACTGACGTCACGCACACCAACTGACGTCACACACACCAACTGACGTCACACACACCAACTGACGTCACACACACCAACTGACGTCACACAGACCAACTGACGTCACACACACCGACTGACGTCACACACACCGACTGACGTCACACACCAACTGACGTCACACACACCGACTGACGTCACACACACCAACTGACGTCACACACACCAACTGACGTCACACACACCGACTGACGTCACACACACCGACTGACGTCACACACACCAACTGACGTCACACAGACCAACTGACATCACACACACCGACTGACGTCACACACACCAACTGACGTCACACACACCAACTGACGTCACGCACACCAACTGACGTCACACACACACCGACTGACGTCACGCACACCAACTGACGTCACACACACCAACTGACGTCACACACCAACTGACGTCACACACACCAACTGACGTCACACAGTATTACAGTCAATGGAGAGGCCAGGACCAAATTCAAATCAAGTACCTCAACCACCGAAAAGGTTGAGAGGGCGCCACACAGACGTTTTTAGGCTCAAAAGTGATATTTTATCTAATTTGCACTAAAATGTCAAAAAAAATGACCAGGATATGTAGAGAGCACTAAAAGAAACATATTTATGCAGTTTATGAGTTAAAACAGTTGATTTGGTGTTTAGTTGCGCTTTAATTCCCATTTTCTCAGTCCTCAATTCCTTCCCCTAGTGGACATAGACACAGTGTCATCACTTAAATCATTTTAATGTTGTTTACTCGAGTAAGTTACTGTGTTGATCTAATATCACTCAAAAACAATGTTAGCACTAAAAATATAATGTAGAAATTGTACAAACATATTCTGGACTTCTCCATCATTGAAACCGTTTTGTGACTGTAGCTCAGTTGGTAGAGCATGATGGGCCTGAAGGTTGTGGGTTTCGCTCCCACTTATGTCTGCTGCCGTTGTGTCCTTGGGCAAGACCAAGGACACTTTGCCTGAGGCCCCCACTGTAAGATCCGAAGGCAGCTCAGACTGGAGAAAATGAGGGACTGGTGCTCTGTGGATTGGGTCCAGCTCTGACTGTCACCTCCTCCCCCAACCCAGAAATGGCTGAAGGGGAAGAAGATGGATGCTTAAACTTTTTTATTTTTTTAAATCCCAGCGAAACTCACAACTCACCATAGAAAGCAGCGTTTCTGTTTCTCGTTCACAATTGTTGCAGATGACTGAGGTGAGAGTGCGGTCCAGCTCATTCTTTCACTCCAGCTTCCATCTCAGTGTCTCCATGACGACCGTCTGAGCGTCTCCACGGTGACTGCTGCATCACAGTTTCCACAGCAACAGTTTTTGACGGCTCGATCACTGTCATCGTCATTTAATCTCAGCGTCAATTCGGCGAGTTCACAAAAACATGCAGCAACACACACACACACACACAGTTTCTGCATGTGTGTGTGTTTTTGTATAATAACATATATATATAAAATGATGTAGGCCCAGATTTGGACCACTGCTCTATAGACAGCTGCAGTAGACAGAAAGGCTTTAACCTGTACCAACATGGAGCATATTTCACTCAGGATAGACTCTGCATCAGTCCTTTACCGTCCCTTTACTGACCCCATGTGGCTGAAAATGTTATTTTTGTGTCAGACACTGTATAAATGTGAAAAGGCCTCTGTTGGTGTACAGGCATTGATTTAACAGGTAATAGGGTTCAGGAGGAGATTATTGTTACATTTAAAGGAGCAATATGTACAAATGTGGCCAGAAATGGTACTGCAGCCTCTCCCACTCTCCCTGACTCAGGTTGCCAGATATGCAGACGAATCCAGCTGGGACCATAATAGCTGAATAGACAAGAGTTTTGTCAACAACAAATCTATAACCAACACCTTTTTCACAAAGATAGAAATCCTGGTTTTATTCCTTGTTTTGTCGTTAATGATTTGAGAATCATAACGAGACCTTTTTTAGTTCTGCGCCACATAGTACTTTACCAGTGAGATTAGCTCCACGTGGTGAGTTCTGACGCCCGGATCACAGACTTTCTGATTGGTGAAACGGTGGAGGGCGGGACATCGAAATGAAAACAATAACAAGATTTATGGGCTGTAAAAATAATTTAGAAATTGAAATATCTCTGAACTACTGTTCCCACAGATTAGGGCCTTTTAATGAGGACAGATTAGGGCTCTTTAATGATGACAGATTAGGGCCCTTTAATGACGACAGATTAGGGCCTTTTAATGAGGACAGATTAGGGCCCTTTAATGATGACAGATTAGGGCCCTTTAATGATGACAGATTAGGGCTCTTTAATGATGACAGATTAGGGCCCTTTAATGATGACAGATTAGGGCCCTTTAATGATGACAGATTAGGGCCCTTTAATGATGACAGATTAGGGCCCTTTAATGATGACAGATTAGGGCCCTTTAATGATGACAGATTAGGGCCCTTTAATGATGACAGATTAGGGCTCTTTAATGATGACAGATTAGGGCCCTTTAATGACGACAGATTAGGGCCCTTTAATGATGACAGATTAGAGCCCTTTAATGATGACAGATTAGGGCCCTTTAATGATGACAGATTAGGGCCCTTTAATGATGACTTGACATGAAAATCTTACATATTGCTCCTTTAAGCTTTATTTATTCTACAGGTTTTACGAGAAGAGCCAAATATATCATTTCAGGTGTCAGGATTGCTCTCGGATGAGTCGATAGTAAATGAAATGAAGTGGTTCAGAATCATGTCAGGGTGAAGTCAGTTTGTATGTAGTATATATTTTTTGTAAATAAACTTGTTTTCATTTTCTCATGTTTTATGTCTGTGACTGAAAATGCACAAAGGGAATTAGAACTCACCACAAGATTACTATGAAAGAACTCTGAATAAAATATGAAAAATAAAATAGAATTTATTTTCAAACAAATTCAACACATAACTTAAATAAAACAACCCTTATTCAGTTCAGTCTCAAATGTGTTTAGTTGTTTTCAGTGAAGACTTGTCCTGTCACGGCGAGTCTGGAGCTGAACGGCTGAACTGGACATCCAAGAATGGAGTTCAGAGATTGGCCAGTAGGTGCCGCTGTGGGCTTTGCTTGCAGAATGTCCCTGATCTCTGATTGGTCCAAGTCGTGGCTATGGCAACAGTACAGAGCGGCAGCATCGATGGGGTGGGCCTCAGTGTTGAAGATGTAGGCTCCTGTGAAACATGGATTATTCAAAATGAGTCATATTCATTTTACTGACACTACTTCAGAATGTTGTTTGAAAGAACCCACCTGTCCCGAGTACACAGGTTCCTGAAGCCCCGCCCCCCTCTTCCCATGGCCCACCCCCATGCAGGAAGTGGGAAGGATCAAAGAGCAGGTAAAGGTATTTAATGGTCTCTGCCAAAAAGAAGGACTCCATCCTGTTGTCCAGCTGGTGGTCCCGGACGTCCTTCACCTGAAACGGTCCCAAAGTTAATGATTCTGTGGAGGCTTGAGGAACAGTTCAATGTCATAATTCTTTAAAAATGTATTTGTGCTTGTAATGCCACGTAACATGTACTAAGCACAGTCAAAGAAGTACCAGTTATGGTAAAGCTTTTTATTTCCAATATCAAAGCTTTTTCTTGCAGTTGTAAAGGCACCCTTTAATAACACAGCTCTCACAGATATAATATCATAAGTACCTCTGAACTACGACTATAATCTCACCGAGGCATATCCACATGGTGTCCGGCTTATCTTCTCAATGGATTCCAAAGCGTCCAGCCCCATATGCAGGTATAAGTGATCCCCAGTCGCACGGAACAAGTACATTGCACTTTCTATCAACTCTGAAACCACCACATACATCAAAAACACACGGTACACTTTTGTAGAAATAAAACACAATGTCAAACACATACTTTTACTGCCCTCATGAGGCAGTAGCTCAGTTGGTAGGGCGTTGGCCTTTGAGCCAGAAGGTCGTGGGTTCAAGCCCCGCTCAGGACTTTCACCATCGACTCTCACTGACTACTGTCGTTGTGTCCTTGGCAAGACACTTAACCTCTGGGAACACCAGCCACAGTGGGGCGGCTGTAAAGTGCCAAACTGCCGTTGTGTCCTTAGGCAAGACACTTCACCCCCATTGCCTAGAATGAGTCTGGTGTGTGTGTGAATGGTTGGTGGTGGTGGGAGGGGCCAATGGCACAGACTGGTTGCCTCGCTTCTGTCAGTGTGCCCCAGGGCAGCTGTGGCCACAGTAGTAGTTTATCACCACCGTGTTTGGAGTGAATGAATAATGACACATGTGAAGCGTCTTTGAGTGTCCAGAAAAGCGTTATATAAAACCGATGCATTATTATTATTATGAGGGCGGCCATTATCGTCTGTGTGAGCGGTTTCTGACCTGGTCTCAGAGGGTAGCCCTCTCTCTTGTCCACGGTGTAGCCCTGGGGGATGCTGTAGAACTCTGGCAGTCCTCCAAACTGTCTCCAGACTGAATAATAATTCTGAAAAGTCTTCACTGCACTTTCCAGGTCTCCAACTAATGACTAAAGTCAGAAAGGGACCAGTGAAAACCAGTTTCATTTGCTCTTCATTTTAAAATCCAACTGTGTTTGTGAGGTCTTACTTGTAGCCCAGGCCAGAAGGCCTCCAGGGACTGGAAGACCGGCATGGACACAGTACCTTTGTGCATCTGGACCCAAAGGTACCAATCATCGAACCGAGTGTAGTTCTGGATCGACTGGTCAAATTCTGAAACAAAACAAAACATGATGGTTTTATGAACATGTTTTCACTTTTATCCAGATCAGCACGAGGAGAAAGGACTGTGTGATTCCAACATTTGGATCGGCATATTTCCCAGACTGTATCCTGGGCATTTCCCAAGTGCACTATGTCTGTCAACTCTACAGCCTCAGATGCACATCGAGCCTCAGAAAATCAACGATAAGAAAGAAACTGCTGCTCAAAGATTATTGTTGAGTTCAAGCTTTAGAGCAAAAGAACTTTCTGGAGTGAACGATGTGAACGGTTCTGATCCATTCGGACATTGTGGTCAGAGTTTCCAGTTTGTTGTGCGCTCCAAAATGATTTGCACGAAGCTGGATGGGTATTGCCAAACTCTAATATAACTCTAACCATTTTTAGTTTCTTTTAGGTAGTATCACCTTCATATGAATTTTATTTACTTTGTTTTCAAGCATTTCTATTTTTTACGTTTCCAGATGTTTTTTTTTTCTTTCCTAAGGCCATAATTGTTCAACAATTATAGATTAAAGTATCAAAATAACCGATAACTAGTTCCTTCAGTAATGAGATCGCGGACCATGAAACATGTGCAGGAGTCCCGGGTCCTGGAGGAGGATGGATCCTTTCACCAAATACTCAAAGTAAGAGTCCACTCCGGCTCCGATGCCGGCGTCTTGAGCCACCCACTTCTGAGTCACCACATCGATGTGGTTCCCCACCTGAGGATCAGAGAGTTAGTGTTAGTCCTTATTCAGTCCTGGTCCAAGTGGTGCCAGCTCAGTACCAGTCCGATGCTGGACCTGGTCTCCCACAGCGCCTGCAGAGCCTTGCGGGCCAGGGTCTCATAGGTTTGGTTCCCGGTGAGTCGGCTCAGGGTCGCAAACTCCAGGATGAAAGTTCCCACTCCAGCGGTGCAGGTGACCGGGGTCTCTGTGGGACTGACCCCAAGGAGCAGATTGACCGTCCCATACGGCATCCCAGAGGGGGTCTCGAAGGCTTCGGAGACAACAAACAAACGTCTGTAATGTTGGAACAGTACTGACCAAACTTGAATTCAATCCAAACAATCATGTTTGGAAAAAAAAAGATAAAAGTTCCCGCCCTGGTTACCTGGCAACAGTTTCTGCGCTGCTTCCTCTGCCATTCTCAGTAACGGACCCGAACAGGGCCAACCTGGTTCCAAGTTCAACCCAGCCCGGCCCGAGAGGAGATGTGCGGAGAGCAAACCGCCCACCACTGAAACAAGGGGAAGGTTAAACCGGCGATAAACCAAAACAGAGGTTCATAAAAAGTTTTTAACACAAGCACACGGCTCTGAACCAAGAACCCAGGTCTACAGCGGGACGGCAGCACACGTCAATTCAATTCAAATAATTTTTTTTTTTTTTAAGAACTTAGAATCACCAGTCTGCATCCCCCCCAAACGCCGGGACCCCCGGGGGGAGGCAAGGAGACCACAGGCCATGGCCCAACAATAGATTGGTCTTATTACTTAGTAATTTAACTTGTACACATTGTTATTGTTGCAGCAAACATACGACATCATTCATGTTCAGTAAACAACAATAAAACATCTCAGACTGACTTCAAATCTCACCTCTGATGTTGGTTTCAAAAACTGAAGCGTTCACGTCGATGTCAAAGTGGACTGTTTCCTGCAGCAGCGTGGCCACTCTCTGGAACTCAGTGCTGTTCCCCAAAACCTGCATCATCACCCCCATGGACATAACAGCACGTTAAATCACAAAACAGTTAGGTTTTCTCAATTCTAGGCCAATGTTGTGAAAATATTTTGTTGTATAAAAAGTTGTGGGTTCTTCTATACCAGACATAAAAAGGTTTTATGGTTAATACCTTATATTGTCTGTTATCGAAGAACCCACAACTTTTAATTCTACTAAGAAGACAAGATCAGAGGTGTCCAAACCGGTCCAGAAAGGGCCGCTGTGGCTGCAGGTTTTCATTCAGACCCAGCAGGAGCAGAGCAGACTCCGCCCATTTCCTCAAATCTTCAGGTTAAGACTGAGCTTACTCGAGGAAACGGGCGGACCGGTTTGGACAACTCTGGACAAGATGAATTTTCCTAAACCGTATGTGTCAAAGTCAAGGCCCGGGGCCCAGATCCAAGACCATTTTTAGTGGCCCCTAAAACTATGATTTATTATTAATAACTGGTCAGGTTATACATCATATATATTCTCAGGAAAACAACCAAATGTAATGTATTCTAACATTTTAACCCAAAAACACATCATTAGAAGTTAAATAGTTCAATATAAAATGTGTTTAACTTTATATTTGATCCAGTTTTGGTTCAATCTAAACAATAAACAGAAATTAACAGAAAAATAAACCAGAAAATAACAGTGAAACTCAAGTCACATTAAAGTCATGTTCAAATATCTTCATAATGTGAAGAACTATGATAAGAAAAGAAAATCTCTTCTATTGTTTTGGCCCCGACCAGTTCCTATTTTAACAATCAGCCCCTGACCAAAAAGACTTTAACACCCCTGCTCTAAACTGATAGTTTGTTGTGAATAGTTTGTTGTGGGACTCACCAGGAGAGTGTCCAGGGCATCAATGAGAGTAAGAGAAAAGCTGAATGAAAGATAGAGTTTGTGGTTAAAAAAATCCAGCGGGAAAGACTGAACTTAGCGATCTAACCTGCCCCAAGTGTCCTGTCCGTCACACGTCAGAGGCCGGAGCTCGTCGTAGGGAAAAGCATGGTCCAAGTAACTGTCGTAGGCGTGGTAAAACATGGAGCGGATCCTGGATCTGAAGCAGAAGGAGGTTCATTTTAGTATTTCAATTCTTGTGGTGGCAGAGTGGTTCGAATCCCGGTCGGAACAGGGCCTTTCTGAGTGTAGTTTGCATGTTCTCCCCGTGTCTGCGTAGGTTTCCTCTGGGTGCTCCGGTTTCCCCTACCACTAAAAACATGTACAATAGGTCTGGCCCCGCTCCCAATCAGTTTGTGATGCTGCAAATTTAAGAAAACATTAAAAACAATTAAGAAATAAGTAAATCATTCTTGATATGTATGTTTTTAAACTAGAATCAACTAATTTGGGGCTAGTTTTATTTTATTATTTTAAGAATTATTTATTAATTATTATTTCCCGACCATTATTATTATTTCAAGCAGTATTTTATTTACTTATTATTTTCTTATTCTTCACAGCGTTTGGTCCAGTGTGTGAATGACAGCACATTACCGAATCTGTTCCATTTCCTTCTCCGTGAAATCAGGCGCGTGCGCGACTCCCGGTGCAGCCCCGAGCGCGAGCACGAGCAGCAGCGCAGGTCCCGCGACGCACGTCATCTCTGCGTTCACATCAGCCGCAGAAACACAGATTAAACATGTTCATGTCCAGAATGACCAAAGTGAAGTGTGGCGGCAGACGTAAACAGGAAGAACTGCCGCGGCGCATGCGCAGATCCATGAAGGAGCGTCATCGTTTGTGAGATGCGTTCAAGGAGTCACAGAATGCGGCGTAAAAGATCTTTGCAGGTAGATAACATTTTAAAAACATAACAAATCTAATAATAATGTTTTTTTGTATAGCATTTTTTTTAAACAATCAGCATAAGAAACAATAAAACAGTCAAAATACTAAGTCAAAATAATTAGACGGAATAGAAATTTGTCCTCTGCATTTGACCCAGATCCTGATGCCACTAAGGCTTCCGTTGGAGTAAGTAAGTAAGTAAGTAATCTTTTTATTTATATACCGCCTTTTCACTGCAGTAGGAGCAGTGGTCGCCATAGTAACAGCGCCCGGAAACCATCTCCACATGTTGGTAATATTAATAATTACAGTCTGTGGTTGGTACTCGGGTTGGTCAGGACCAGAGCTGCAGGATTTTACATTTTGCGCATGTTTTTAGTGTTAGGAGGAGGAAAGCTACACAGGCACGGGGAGAACATGCAAACACCACTCAGACAGGCCCTGTTCCGACCGGGATTCGAACCAAGGATCTTTTTGCTGAGGAGCCACCCACTCAGCGACCGTGCCGTCCAATTATTGTTGATGTTATTATTATTTTGTTTATTATTCCTACAGCTTTTCAAATGTTAGTTCCAGTTTTTTTTCTAGAGGGATAAGAACAAAATATAAAAACAGAATACAGGATTTCACTTTGGTTCTAGGATTGAAACTTCATATTCTAACAGAACACATCCATACCAACCATAGACCGTACTTTTGAGGGTAGCACCGCCCCCTGCTGGTGATGAGGAGCCATTGGCCTGATCAATCAACAGTCTATGATCAATATATATTTGTTTATAATGATCCATCCATCCATCCATTTTCTACCCTTTAATCCATTTCTGGGTCAGGGGGGTGGCAGTCAGAGAGACCACCCAAGTCTCATAGCACCAGCCCCTCACTGACCCTCTGCAGGTGGTGAGTCCACAGGAGGACGGCTGCTCTCTGAGTGTGAGCATAGCCTTGATCTTTCAGTGGGAGCTTTTTGGGCAAAGTGGGGTTAAGTGTCTTGCCCAAGGACACAACGACAGCAGTCATCAGTGGGAGTTGGTGGAGAAGGTGCAGAGGTGGGAATTGAACCCACGACCTTCTGGGCTTAAGGCCAATGCTCTACCAACTGAGCTACTGTCGCCCAGTTTATAATGATAGTTATTTGTATTTTGAGGCACCTGTTTTGTTTGTATTATGTTATAGGTGTCTATGAAAAAAAAAATATATATATAAAAATAAAAGCCTTGTCAAAGAAAATAAATGAGTCGTTTTAATTCGGGCGTTCTGCTCTCCCAAAATTCCATCCACTGAGCGGCGCTGTGATCAAAAAATGACACCGTTTGTTGCCCAGTTCACTTCCGGTTGATTTCATACAATGGCGAATATGGCTCACGAAAACAACAAGCGATTGACAGTGCCTGAATTGCGTGAAAGGTTGAAGCGAAAGGGTATTTGCAGTGTGGGAAAACGAAAGGAGGAATTGTTGTTGCTAGTTCAACGAGCGGATGGTGTTTATGAAGATTTAGAAGAAGATGACAGCGAGCAGAGTGAACGAAAACGGCTGTGTGTGCGAGTGACAGATGGTAACAATGAGAATGAAGTTCAGCTAAGAGGGAAGAATGTGAATTGGACGGATGATTTGCGCGATATGCCACTAGTTAGAGACGGGAATGTATTTGCATACAGAAAATGACGAAAACACTCAACCATTTAGAGAAAATGCGCCGGGCAGAGAGAACCGGAAGTTGCGAAGGCAAGTGTTACCCATAATGCAACGCAAAATTCAGTCGCTCCCCCGCCCATCGGATGGAATTTTGGGAGAGCAGAACGCCCGAATTCAATTTGACTGCCATGAGTCTACTGTGATAAGCAGACTCAAAATGAATTATCATAACAGACTTATATTGATGTACCTTTGAGCTTATTTTGGCTCTAGGTTTATTATTGATCATAGGTGTCAAAGTCAAAGCCCGGAAGCCGGATCCGGGCCGCAATAAAAATTTTAGCGGCCCCTAAAAGTATGTTTTATTATTATTACCCAGCAGCGTTGATGGTTAAGAGCGACCAGGGCAGGTTATACATCATCCATGGTCTCAGGAAAACAACCAAATGTAATGTATTCTAACATTTTAACCCAAAAACACATCATTAGAAGTTAAATAGTTCAGTATAAAATGTATTTAACTTTATATTTGATCCAGTTTTGGTTCAATCTAAACAATAAACACATTTTGTTTTCAGAAAAATAAACCAGAAAAAAACAGTGAAACTCAAACCACATTAAAGTCATTTTAAAATATCTTCATAATGAAAAAAAAAACTTAAAGAAATGTGTTGCATCGTGGCCAGTAATTAAGACAGAGACATCTCGTATCAACTTGCACGTTTACTCCGACATGTAACAACAGGTTACAACGTGGTCAACGTTCAACACTGGCAATGCTCTCTTGCCTATGCGATGGCGCCCTCTAAGGGTGAACGCCGGTATACTATTCTAGACAGATAATACACATGCTATTATCAGTATATCACATCTCCCCCACCTTTAAGTGAACAACCCATAATACAGTCTGGTAACAAACAAAATTGTAAATAACAGTTTACAAGATAAACATGTAAATAAACTCAATCACTAAGAAAACGTATGGGCGACAGTAGCTCAGTTGGTAGAGCATTGGCCTTAAGGCCAGAAGGTGGTGGGTTCAATTCCCACCTCTGCACCTTCTCCATCGACTCCCACTGATGACTGCTGTTGTTGTGTCCTTGGGCAAGACACTTAACCCCACTTTGCCCAAAGCTCCCACTGAAAGATCAAGGCTATGCTCACACTCAGAGCAGCCGTCCTCCTGTGGACTCACCACCTGCAGAGGGTCAGTGAGGGGCTGGTGCTATGAGACTTGGGTGACATCTCTGATTGCCACCCCCCTGACCCAGAAATGGATTAAAGGGTAGAAAATGGATGGATGGATGGACTAAGAAAACGAAGTATTTAGCTCACTCTGTTGTAATAATGCACTCAATGAACAAGGTCTCTAAGATGAACAGGTATACGTTTCTCCCTAATGGAACGTTTCTTCACTGTCTCAAAAGGTAAAACGGAAACACCCTTGCTCTCTGGGCTAAGTGGTAACTCTGACACACTATTTTCACTTGTAGTGGCCTGATCCGGAACAAGGTTTGGCTGTTCTTGTACTGACTCAACAGTAATTTGGTTACTCTCTGGAAACAATGGTAAGGAAACCTCTTTCTCCGTAGTTAACTCTGGATCGGACATTCTAGATCTAACCTGATCTACATGCCTTTTCATCACCTGACCAGACCCAATAGTAACTGCATAAGACAGTGGTCCTGAACTATCCTGTACCACACCAGGAATCCATTTTGGGCCATAGGCATAATTCCTGATTAGAACATCATCTCCTGCTGCAAAGTTCCTTTGTTTGCTGTGAGTGTCATGATAATGTTTTTGTTTCATCTGCTTTTCTTGCACTTTTGTTTTCAAGTCCGGAACCACTAAATCCAAAGCCGATCTCAGTTTGCGTGACATCATCAACTCTGCGGGTGACAAACCTGTAGTGGCCGTGAGGTGTAATTCTGTAACTAAACAAGAATCTTGAAAGCCTTGTTTGTATTGTCCCTTCTTTCATCTTTTTCATCCCCACTTTGAAAGTTTGAACTGCTCTTTCTGCGAGTCCATTTGAAGATGGATGAAACGGGGCTGACCTCACATGACGAATGCCATTTTGTCTCATAAATGTTTCAAACTCTCCACTTGTGAAACAGGTCCCGTTGTCTGACACAAGCATTTTTGGCAAACCAAAAACACTGAAACTTTGTCTGAGCTTCTCAATGGTAACTTGAGAAGAGCTTGTCTTGGTAGGATAAATATCCAACCATTTGGAGTGAGCATCCACTATCACCAGGAACATTTCTCCCAGAAACGGTCCCGCATAGTCCACATGAATCCTCGACCATGGACTCTCAGGCCATTCCCATGGGTGTAAAGGTGCTGGAGCGGGTGCCTTTTGGTGGGATTGACACTCATGACACGCTCGAACCGTTTTTTCAACATCATGATCCATTCCTGGCCACCACATGTACGATCTGGCCAGGCCTTTCATTTTTGTCATTCCACAGTGCGTTTGATGTAGTAGTTTAAGCATTTTATCTCTTCCTTTGTTTGGAATTACTACTCTTGCCCCCCATAGAACACAGCCATCTCTTACACTGAGCTCCATTCTTCTCTGGTGAAAAGGTTTAAGACTCAGCTCAGTAACTGTAGGCCATCCTTTCAGAATGTATTCATGAACTTGTGATAAAATAGTATCTTTGGTAGTCCAGTTCTTTATTTGACTCGCCTCAATCAGTGTCTCATCCAGTACGTCCATCATTAAAACTTGCTCAGTTCTCTCCTCCTTCCTTAGTTTGACCGGTAGAGGCAACCTGCTCATTGCATCCGCATTAGCATGATTTTTTCCTGGTTTATACACGATTTGGTACTTGTATGCACTCAGTTTTACAGCCCACCTTTGAACTCTCGGCGATCCCATTTGTGGTATCGGTTTCTTTTCATTAAACAGATAAATTAGCGGTTTGTGGTCTGTATAAATGGTGAACTTGCGCCCGTACAAGTATTTGTGAAACTTTTCAACACCAAATATGACAGCAAGCCCTTCTTTGTCTAGTTGAGAGTACCTTGTCTCAGCCGGTTGTAACGTACGTGACATAAATCCAATTGGTCTTTCACTTCCATCTTCCATGACGTGTGATAACACCGCACCCACTCCATAAGGCGAAGCGTCACATGATAACACCAGCTCACGGTCAGCTGAGTAATGTATCAAAACATCATTCGTGTTCAACATGTCTTTAGCATTTTGAAACGCTTGTTCTTGCTCTGTGCTCCATTTCCACCGAACATCCTGTCTTAGTAGTTTGTGTAAAGGAGCCAACCTTGTTGCCAGGTTTGGTAGGAACTTATTGTAATAATTGAGCAACCCCAAAAACGATTTCAACTCAGTCACATTTGTAGGGGCAGGAGCATCTTGGATTGCTTTGACTTTTTTATCCAGAGGATGTAATCCCTGTGCATCAACTCTGTACCCTAGGTACTCCACTTCATTCTGCATGAAGGTGCACTTGCTCCTTCTGAGACGAAGCCCCGCCTCCTTCAGCCTCGACAACACAGTATTCAGATTATGTAAGTGATCTGCTTCATTTACCCCACTCACTAAAATATCGTCCAAATAGACAGATACGAGCGGAATCCCAATTAATAGACTCTCCATTGTCCTTTGAAAAATGGCTGGAGCCGAAGCCACACCAAATGGTAGTCTATTGTATGTGAACAGCCCCCTGTGCGTGTTCACTGTGAGGTATTTCTTTGACTCGTCATCCATGAGTATTTGTTGGTAAGCATGACTCATATCCAGTTTTGAAAACTGTTCGCCTTTTGAGAGGGCATTGAACAAATCATCCACTCTGGGTATCGGATATTGCTCCAGAGAGGAAACAGTATTTACCGTTAGTTTGTAATCCCCACACAACCTCACTGAACCGGTAGGCTTCAGTATTGGTACCACTGGAGCGGCCCAATCAGAGTATGTCACTGGTGTGATAATGTCTTCTTTCAATAATCTGTCAATTTCCTCATCCACTTTTCCTTTCATGGCATAAGGAATTGACCTGGGTCGGAAAAATCGGGGTACAGCATTTTCCTTGATGTGAATTTTTGCTTTAGTGCCCTTTAATGTTCCCAATTCATCCTTAAACACAACCTCATTATTGCACAGCACTTCCCGCAGTGTTGTCTTCTTCCCTGAGTGGACATGGTGAACCTGACGAGCTTCACGCCTGGCTTTCACCTCCTTCCAATCCAGCTGAATGTCCTCCAGCCAGCCTCTGCCCAGTAGAGTGGGACCATCCCCTTTGACAACCACCAACGGCAGTTTGGCGGTTTGCTTTTTATATTTCACTTTCACACGTGCGGCTCCCACTACTTTCACTGGATCTCCTGTATGAGTTTCCAACTTGATTTGTACTGGTTTGATCTGTGGTGTTTTGTCTTTTTCCCACATTGTTTGAAATGTCTTTTCGTTCATCACTGTGAGACTGCACCCTGTGTCTATTTCAAAATTAACTTTTTTACCATTCACTTTCAGGGTCTCTGTATATGGATTCACTTTCCTCAAATGTATTTCACTCATGCGTCCCAGTTTGAATTCCATGCACTGTAATGCAAAAGGACCATCTTCAGAGCTGTCGGAGTTGCTATCTTCTTGTTCTTGGACATTATGTGAACGATAACTTGAGCTTTTTCTTTCCCTTATGAAAGCACCCGATTTTCCTTTGCCTTTGTCCTGTTTACTCTTATTACGACATGCTCTTGCAATATGCCCCACTTTTCCACATGCATGACATTTTTCTTGTTTAAACTTACATTCAGTGCTTCGTGTTGTCCTTTGCATCGGTAACATTCCTTCATAGCGGCCTTGAACGCACCAGTCCCCCGCTCACGTGCGCCTTTGTTCAACTTAAAACACTTTGCTGCTGCGCTGGGATTCTGGAGATCATGTGCATTTTTATTAGCTGTTTCGGCAGCAACTGCAATGGACATCGCTTTTTCACAGGTTAAATCTGTTTCTGCCAGAAGTCTCCTTTGAATGCGGTCATCGTTTATTCCACAAACAAGCCTGTCTCTTAACTTCTGCTGTAACGTATTCCCATAATTACAATCCTGCGCCAGCCTCCGCAGCTCGGCCACGTAATCCATAACACTCTCATTCTGGTTACGACTACGGGAATCAAACTTGTACCTCTGCACGATTTCACTTGGTTTCGGGTCAAAGTGGTTTTTCAGCAGCACCACGAGTTGATGGTAAGTTTTCTCTTTCGGTTTCTCCGGGCTGAGAAGGTTACGCATTAAACTGTAAGTAGATGCGCCGACCACGCTGAGGAGTATAGCTCTTTGCTTATCTCCGTCATCAATTTCGTTGGCCTCAAAAAACTGCTCCATTATCTTACAGTATTCTTCCCAGCTTTGATTTTTAGCATCAAACGCCGCCAGAGTGCCAATGGTCGCCATTACGTTTCGTTTTTAGTTGCTTTCGCCTTCTCCTCTCCCCCTTACTTGCTCCAACTTTGCCCACAAAATCCAAAATCCTTACTTCTCAAAAGTGTTCATCCTCGTCGCCAAAAGATGTTGCATCGTGGCCAGTAATTAAGACAGAGACATCTCGTATCAACTTGCACGTTTACTCCGACATGTAACAACAGGTTACAACGTGGTCAACGTTCAACACTGGCAATGCTCTCTTGCCTATGCGATGGCGCCCTCTAAGGGTGAACGCCGGTATACTATTCTAGACAGATAATACACATGCTCTTATCAGTATATCACAAAATGGAAATCTCTTCTATTGTTTCAGCCCATGACCAAAAACAGTTTGACGCGCCTGTCATAGATCCAAACACATCCATGGCTCTACCTTCACCATGCACCAGAATACTGCCCGTGGGTGGAACTGCCCAGGTACATAATCGAGCTAGCATTTTGAGCGTGCCGTAAAAGTTGCCCAGTTAAACAGCATAAGTGAGTCAGTGCTAAAAATAAGGTGTTCTATTGTTCATGTCACAGATGTGTCCAAGTCATGTGTCCCGTTTCTCGGCCCCGAGTTCCAGTGGGATTTTGGAGCTTTGAGTTGGAGCCAAGAGGAATGTGGTCCTGAGAGGCACAGCGAAGTGTCAGGGCCCATAACATGACAGAGTCCAGCGATAAACTACAGCTGTTCTGCCCCGAGGGACGGTCTCAGAACAGAACAAGACCGAGATCATTCTGAGGCAAACAGTTTGGGTTTGCTGCACCACGTTTTGTTTTCCTACATGTTTGTCAGACCTAAAAAAATACATTAAAGCAGTAATATGTAAAACATGTGGCCAAAAGTGGTACTGCAGCCTCTCCCACTCTCCCTGACTCAGGTTGCCAGATATGCAGACGAATCCAGCTGGGACCATAACAGCTGAATAGACAAGAGTTTAGTCAACAACAAATCTATAACCAACACCTTTTTCACAAAGATAGAAATCCTGGTTTTATTCCTTGTTTTGTCGTTAATGATTTGAGAATCATAACGAGACCTTGTTTAGTTCTGCGCCACATGGTACAGCCACATGGTACAGCCACATATGAAGGGAGTGGGACTGCTCGGTCGTTGGCAATTGTTGTCATTGAAGTCCATTCTACTTCATCTGGGGGCTGCTCTGAAACCTTTTATCACAGACGCCTTTATTCCCACGAGCAGTATCTGAAGTATCTGTTCTCAGTGAAGATTTTTGCTCAAGTAAAGGAATTTAATAATAATAATAATAATAATAAGGCATACATTGTGAACAGACCTTTTTCTGGACGCTCAAAGTCTCTTCACATCATTCTTCTCTCTCTCCAAACACGGTGGTGATAAACTACTACTGTAGCCACAGCTGCCCTGGGGCACACTGACAGAAGCGAGGCAACCAGTCTGTGCCATCGGCCCCTCCCACCACCACCAACCATTCACACACACACCAGACTCATTCTAATGTGGGGGAAGTGTCTTGACTAAGGATCAGAGAGAGACCAGAGAGAGACCTAAAAGAGACCAGAGAGAGACCAGAGAGAGACCAGAGAGAGACCTAAGAGAGACGAGAGAGACCAGAGAGAGACCAGAGAGACCAGAGAGAGACCAGAGAGAGACCAGAGAGAGACCAAAGAGAGACCAGAGAGAGACCAGAGAGAGACCTAAGAGAGACGAGAGAGACCAGAGAGAGACCAGAGAGAGACCAGAGAGAGACCAGAGAGAGACCAGAGAGAGACCAGAGAGAGACCAAAGAGAGACCAAAGAGAGACCAGAGAGAGACCAAAGAGAGACGAGAGAGACCAGAGAGAGAGACCAGAGAGAGACCAGAGAGAGAGACCAGAGAGAGACCAGAGAGAGACCTAAGAGAGACGAGAGAGAGACCAGAGAGAGACCAGAGAGAGACCAGAGAGAGACCAGAGAGAGACCAAAGAGAGACCAGAGAGAGACCAGAGAGAGACCAGAGAGAGACCAAAGAGAGAGACCAGAGAGAGACCTAAGAGAGACTAGAGAGAGACCAAAGAGAGACCAGAGAGAGACCAGAGAGAGACCAGAGAGAGACCAGTGAGAGACCAGTGAGACCAGAGAGAGACCAAAGAGAGAGACCAGAGAGAGACCAGAGAGACCAGTGAGAGACCAAAGAGAGAGACCAGAGAGAGACCAAAGAGTGAGACCAGAGAGAGACCAGAGAGAGACCAAAGAGAGAGACCAGAGAGAGACCATAGAGAGACCAAAGAGAGAGACCAGAGAAAGACCAGAGAGAGACCAGAGAGACCAGAAAGAGACCGGAGAGAGACCAGAGAGAGACCAGAGAGAGACCAGAGAGAGACCAGAGAGAGGCCTGAGAGAGGCCAAAGAGAGAGACCAGAGAGAGACCAGAGAGAGACCAGAGAGAGACCAAAGAGAGAGACCAGAGAGACCAGAGAGAGACAGAGAGAGACCAAAGAGAGAGACCAGAGAGAGAGACCAGAGAGAGACCAGAGAGAGACCAGAGAGAGGCCAGAGAGAGGCCAGAGAGAGACCAGAGAGAGACCAGAGAGAGACTAGAGAGAGACCAGAGAGAGACCAGAGAGAGACCAGAGAGAGACCAGAGAGAGACCAAAGACCAACCATTCACACACACACCAGACTCCTTCCAATGTGGGTGTAGTGTCTTGCCTAAGGACACAACCACAGCTGGAACTTTAGAGCCGCAGCCGCCCCACTGTGGCACCTGCTGTTCCCAGACGTTAAGTGTCTTGCCCAAGGACACAACGACATTAGACATCAGTTGGAGTCGATGGAGAAAGTCTTGTGGTGGACTCGAACCCATGCCGTGGAGTGAACCGATATGATGTAATGTATAGTTTACTGTACCATATTCATCCCATTATAGTTTTGCAGGTGGTTTATGGTGTCAGCGTGTCACATGGTTTTCCAGCTCCCTTAGATCTGTCGTGGATTAACTTCATACGACAGCTTTACGTCACATTCTTATTTTGAAAGGACAGAGTATATATAGTAGAGTGGATTAGTTTGGTGGCATGGACCATGTCACGTATGTGTTGGCGCAGGACGGAAGAAGTGTGCCTCTGTTTGAGAAAGTAAATGTTTTAAAGACATCGCTGCAAACTGTCCAAGAAATACAGTATACATTGGGTCTAGTCATCATTAAAGGGCCGTAATCTGTCATCATTAAAGGGCCCTAATCTGTCATCATTACAAAGCCCTAATCCGTCATCATTAAAGGGCCCTAATCTGTCATCATTAACGGGCCCTAATCTGTCATCATTAAAAAGCCCTAATCCGTCATCATTAAAGGGCCCTAATCTGTCATCATTACAAAGCCCTAATCCGTCATCATTAACGGGCCCTAATCTGTCATCATTAAAAAGCCCTAATCCGTCATCATTAAAGGGCCCTAATCTGTCATCATTAAAAAGCCCTAATCCGTCATCATTAAAGGGCCCTAATCTGTCATCATTAAAGGACCCTAATCTGTCATCATTAAAGGGCCCTAATCTGTCATCATTAAAGGGCCCTAATCCGTCATCATTAAAGGGCCCTAATCTGTCATCATTAAAGGGCCCTAATCCATCATCATTAAAGGGCCCTAATCTGTCATCATTAAAGGGCCCTAATCCATCATCATTAAAGGGCCCTAATCTGTCATCATTAAAGGGCCCTAATCTGTCATTATAATAAAACCGGCTCTTTTCCAATACTTCTTTAACTGATAACAGTAGTTCAGAGATATTTGGATTTCAAAATTTCCAGCTCCTAAATCATGTTATTGTTTTCATTTCGATGTCCCGCCACTACTGTAGCCACAGCTGCCCTGGGTCACACTGACAGAAGTGAGGCCACCAGTCTGTGCCATCGGATCCTTGTCCTTGCAAAAGAAAATGTAATTATAATGTTTTGTCAAAGTCACCATTGCGGCACTTTGACAGTGTCATCCAACCAACTTCAGCTCCATCAACACAGTCATGCTGTACCTTGTTGTAAATCTCAGACCCTCTGGAATCCAGACGTTGATTTTATTGTTATTTACTGGCATTTGTTTTATGGATTGGATCAGTAAGCACGTATCAAAACCCATTTTAAATTCCAGAATCCAGTCAATCCAGCTTGAATCCAGTTTTAAAATCCAGGTTGTCGGCCCCAGGTTAAGTCTAGGCCCTCTTACTATAAAGTTTGGACACCCCTGATCTAGACAGTGACCTACAGAAGTGCATTGGTTTGAATATATTAAGGCAAACACTGGCCGTATAATACAGAATACACAATATACAATGAAGAGAGACCAGAGAGAGACCAGAGAGAGAGACCAGAGAGAGAGACCAGAGAGAGAGACCAGAGAGATACCAGAGAGAGAGACCAGAGAGAGAGACCAGAGAGAGACCAGAGAGAGAGACCAGAGAGAGAGACCAGAGAGATACCAGAGAGAGAGACCAGAGAGAGACCAGAGAGAGAGACCAGAGAGAGAGACCAGAGAGATACCAGAGAGAGAGACCAGAGAGAGAGACCAGAGAGAGACCAGAGAGAGAGACCAGAGAGATACCAGAGAGGGACCAAAGAGAGACCAGAGAGAGACCAAAGAGCGACCAGAGAGAGACCAGAGAGAGGCCAGAGAGAGACCAGAGAGAGACCAGAGAGAGACCAGAGAGAGACCAGAGAGAGACCAGAGAGAGACCAGAGAGAGACCAGAGAGAGAGACCAGAGAGATACCAGAGAGAGAGACCAGAGAGAGAGACCAGAGAGAGAGACCAGAGAGAGACCAGAGAGAGAGACCAGAGAGAGACCAGAGAGAGAGACCAAAGAGGGAGACCAGAGAGAGACCAAAGAGCGACCAGAGAGAGACCAGAGAGAGACCAGAGAGAGACCAGAGAGACCAGAGAGAGACCAGAGAGAGACCAGAGAGAGACCAGAGAGATACCAGAGAGAGAGACCAGAGAGAGAGACCAGAGAGAGAGACCAGAGAGAGACCAGAGAGAGAGACCAGAGAGAGACCAGAGAGAGAGACCAAAGAGGGAGACCAGAGAGAGACCAAAGAGCGACCAGAGAGAGACCAGAGAGAGACCAGAGAGAGTGCAGAGACTAACCACTCACTCACACCAGACTCCTTCCAGTGGGGGTGAAGTGTCTTGCCTAAGGACACAACCACAGCTGGAACTTTACAGCCGCACAATATACAATGAAAACACAGAGTCAGACAAAAAAGGTTACGCATAAATACCTACACTGTGCAAAACTACATTTCAGAAGCGTTTTATCACAAACAAACAGACAGCTGGTGTGAGATGGAGGGATGGAGAGGGAGAGCACAGGTCAAAAAGAAAACATAGAAAGAGAAGAACAGCTGATTGAGCCGGAGAGGTGTCCGTTACAATACCTCCATCTTTCACTGAGCAGTAAAACAGCAGAGAAACAGAGGCATGGGCGGGTGTGACAAACAGTGAAGGATTTGGGGGGCTGCGGGGGGGCAATGTGGTGACGGACTGAACAGGCTGTTTTCATAAATATAGATCATATAAAGAGGAACGGTCTAATAACTGCTGACAGGGCAGGTCCATGTGCAGTACTGACCCGGGGGACGGATTTATGTTGTGTGTTATAAACGTTTCATCACAGTCTGTATGCAGTCACTCATGTACAGTGCAAGATGTGTGCGACCGTCAGACTGCCCCATACGCAAACGTTTCTGAGATAAAAAACTTCTCTGTATTTGCTGATGAAAGTAGACAATAGCACATGATATTCTGAGGGTCTTGAGAATCAGTGAAATATTCATATTTGGCTGGTAGTCAATGAGGATCCAGGACCACCCTCCGACCTCAAGGCTCGGCCGTGGAAAACTGCTAAAAATGACAGTCACTTGAACGGCTGTTGTTCTGGAAGGATCCCTGGAGACTTTGGCGGAGGATTGGACTCCTCTTGAGGACTCTGTGGGATGAACAGAACACGTCTGCTCAAATGAATTAATCAATGAATTAATAAGGACGGTCTGGACTCTCACTGTTCGTAATTTGCTTTTTGTCAAAACAATGGACTTTTATATATTTTTTTGATACAACAAAATAAATGTGTGAAAATATGTGATTCTTTTCAAAATGGCCGCTGCAAACGAAGCTAGGTCTAGGTATGTCATGAAATGTGTAGACTAGACGCGTAGACCAGTAAATATTGACTTTTTGGTTTTTTTTGTTTTCTCTCCTTTCAGTTATGTGTTCAATAATAAAAAAAAATGTTGCAACTTTATTCGGACATTGCAATTTTAAAATACTTTCTCTTATTTACAGAACAATTACCTATAACAGAATGTTTTGTCTTGCCATTGTTGGGTACACGATTTATGCGTACGCTGAAAAATACATATATAATCTTCAGCCTTGAAAAAGAGCAGAGAGGAGAGAGTCTGATGGAGAACTGCAGAAGTGTGTTGCTAAAAGACAGGTCAGAATGTCTTCAAAACAAAGTAAATATTATTGGGCTGTGTCTGACGACTGATGGAGTCAGTCTCCAAAGATAGAGACAAAGCCTTTTACAGAACAGACCAATCAGAGCAGAGGACCCTGGTCACATGGCGTCAACATGAGGTTATAAAGATAAGAAACAAGAGTCCAATCCAGACCTGGATCTGGAAAAGTCAACAGAACCAGTCCGACCCAAACACAGCAGCTGCACTTGGACTAGAGCAGTACCAGAAGCAGCTGAACAAGGTGAGGACCATGTGGAGCAAATACTTACTCCTCTTTAGCAGTTTTTACAGCTTTTGTTCTTAACAAGTTTATCTTTTTAACACCTGCGCAGCTGTGATCATGGAAGTGATTTAACTGAAACATGAGGTTTGATGAAGACAGAAAGTGAAATGGTCCCATGATAGTTTGGATTCTGTGGTGGTTCAGCAGTGGAGCAGTGGTTCTAATCCCTTTCTGCTTCTCCTGCATCTGCTCGAATCATTATGATGAGATTAAAGAGCCCAGAGGCCCAGGACCAGGACTGATGTGAGCCCAGAGGCCCAGAGGCCCAGGACCAGGACTGATGTGAGCCCAGAGGCCCAGAACCAGGACTGATGTGAGCCCAGAGGCCCAGGACCAGGACTGATGTGAGCCCAGAGGCCCAGAGGCCCAGAACCAGGACTGATGTGAGCCCAGAGGCCCAGAGGCCCAGGACCAGGACTGATGTGAGCCCAGAGGCCCAGAACCAGGACTGATGTGAGCCCAGAGGCCCAGGACCAGGACTGATGTGAGCCCAGAGGCCCAGAACCAGGACTGATGTGAGCCCAGAGGCATTCCAGTGCTGGGTTTAGCAGACGATAGATGGATTCTGGCCCAGGGTTAGCCGGGCTTAGAAGTGACTGTGGACGTGGTTTATTCCAGGTTTAGAGGGATCTCAGAGGAGCATCAGCTGCTGCCACAGAGCCACATGGAGCTGTCAGAGCCAGACTGAGGTCAATAGACTAAGAACTGGACCAAGTCTATAATTACTCAGAGAAGAACCACCAGAGACAGACGGCTTATCCAAAAATCTGCATTGCAGACTCAGATAAAAATAAATAAAAAATATAAATATTTCTTTATATTGGTCCTTTCACAGACCAGAGTCACAAAACACTTTCCAACTGTTGTGGACATTTGTCTCTCACTTCAGACAGAGATGCAGCAGGTCAGGACCAGGACCATGCCAGACCTATTGCACATGTTTATAGTGGCAGGGAAAACCGGAGCACTTGAAGGAAACCTACGCAGTCACAGGGAGAACATGCAAACTCCACTCAGAAAGGCCCTGTTCACGTTCAGTCGTCAAGTCGAGGGTAAACGGGCCCTAATCTGTCATCATTAAAGGGCCCTAATCTGTCATCATTAAAGGGCCCTAATCTGTCATCATTAAAGGGCCCTAATCTGTCATCATTAAAGGGCCCTAATCTGTCATCATTAAAGGGCCCTAATCTGTCATCATTAAAGGGCCCTAATCTGTCATCATTAAAGGGCCCTAATCTGTCATCATGAAAGGGCCCTAATCTGTCATCATTAAAGGGCCCTAATCTGTCATCATTAAAGGGCCCTAATCTGTCATCATTAAAGGGCCCTAATCTGTCATAATAATAAACGGCTCTTTTCCAATACTTCTTTAACTGATAACAGTATTTCAGAGATATTTGAATTTCTAAATTACTTTTCCAGCCTCTAAATCTTGTTATTGTTTTCATTTTGATGTCCCGTCCTCCACCGTTTCACCAATCAGAAAGTCTGTGATCCGGGCGCCAGAACTCACTCAAACTAATCTCACTGGTAAAGTACCATGTGGCGCAGAACTAAAAAAGGTCTCGTTATGATTCTCAAATCATTAACGACAAAACAAGGAATAAAACCAGGATTTCTATCTTTGTGAAAAAGGTGTTGGTTATAGATTTGTTGTTGACAAAACTCTTGTCTATTCAGCTGTTATGGTCCCAGCTGGATTCGTCTGCATATCTGGCAACCTGAGTCAGGGAGAGTGGGAGAGGCTGCAGTACCACTTTTGGCCACATTTTTCCATACTGCTCAGTTAAGAATTTGACATAGGTTCTTCCTCAAGTTTTTAGTTTTAAAATAAGTCCTTAAGAGTCGAGTAGATCCTATCCCCAAACACCAGCTATACCCTTAATAAATATACCCTAATACAGTGTTTTTCAACCTGTGGGTCTACCAAATATTGTGAGATGATTAGACAGATTGTTTTGTGATTGTGTGATTTGTTACTTTTATAATAGATATTAATGAGAATGAAAAGGCTGTAGATTTTCAATTTTAGATCAAATTCAGCTGGTTGTGTGCCAAATGATTTTGACAAAGGTTGAGGGAAAACCACCCCAATATTAATGTATACATCTATCTTGGCAAAAGGCGGGAACATTTGTCATGAATAATTAGTGAATATAACGTGTCTGTGGCCCAACAGGTTCAGTTTGGGGCGTTATTGAGAAAGCAGGCCAGTGTAGTTGTGAAGATAAGTATGGGATAATGTATACACAGTAGTAGGCAGCTTCGTCCTGTCAGTAGTTAATTCTTATTTTCCGATAATGACCTGCTTACTGTACATTTTCTTAGTGACTTACGGCTTTGTGCCAACTGAACACACACACGTCCACTTTTATCAATCCCTAAATGTTTATTTAATGACTGCAGATAAAATAGTTCCCAAAGGTTTTGCTGTGCTGTGGCTAGTTAGGCTAGCAACAGTTAGGCTAGTAGTAGTTAGGCTAGTAATAGTTAGGCTAGTAACAGTTAGGCTAGCAACAGTTAGGCTAGTAACAGTTAGGCTAGTAACAGTTAGGCTAGTAACAGTTAGGCTAGTTACAGTTAGGCTAGTAGCAGTTAGGCTAGTAACAGTTAGGCTAGTAGCAGTTAGGCTAGTAACAGTTAGGCTAGTAGCAGTTAGGCTAGTAACAGTTAGGCTAGTAACAGTTAGTCTAGTAACAGTTAGGCTAGTAACAGTTAGGCTAGTAACAGTTAGGCTAGCAACAGTTAGGCTAGTAACAGTTAGGCTAGTAACAGTTAGGCTAGTAACAGTTAGGCTAGTTACAGTTAGGCTAGTAGCAGTTAGGCTAGTAACAGTTAGGCTAGTAGCAGTTAGGCTAGTAACAGTTAGGCTAGTAGCAGTTAGGCTAGTAACAGTTAGGCTAGTAACAGTTAGGCTAGTTACAGTTAGGCTAGTAGCAGTTAGGCTAGTAACAGTTAGGCTAGTAGCAGTTAGGCTAGTAACAGTTAGGCTAGTAACAGTTAGGCTAGTAACAGTTAGGCTAGTAGCAGTTAGGCTAGTAACAGTTAGGCTAGTAACAGTTAGGCTAGTAACAGTTAGGCTAGTAACAGTTAGGCTAGTAACAGTTAGGCTAGTAACAGTTAGCCTAGTAACAGTTAGGCTAGTAACAGTTAGGCTAGTTACAGTTAGGCTAGTAGCAGTTAGGCTAGTAACAGTTAGGCTAGTAACAGTTAGCCTAGTAACAGTTAGCCTAGTAACAGTTAGGCTAGTAACAGTTAGGCTAGTAACAGTTAGGCTAGTAACAGTTAGGCTAGTAGCAGTTAGGCTAGTAACAGTTAGGCTAGTAACAGTTAGGCTAGTAACAGTTAGGCTAGTAACAGTTAGGCTAGTAACAGTTAGGCTAGTAACAGTTAGGCTAGTAACAGTTAGGCTAGTAACAGTTAGGCTAGTAACAGTTAGGCTAGTAACAGTTAGGCTAGTAATAGTTAGGCTAGTAACAGTTAGGCTAGTAACAGTTAGGCTAGTAACAGTTAGGCTAGTAGCAGTTAGGCTAGTAACAGTTAGGCTAGTAACAGTTAGGCTAGTAACAGTTAGGCTAGTAACAGTTAGGCTAGTAACAGTTAGGCTAGTAACAGTTAGGCTAGTAACAGTTAGGCTAGTAACAGTTAGGCTAGTAACAGTTAGGCTAGTAACAGTTAGGCTAGTAACAGTTAGGCTAGTAACGGTTAGGCTAGTAACAGTTAGGCTAGTAACAGTTAGGCTAGTAACAGTTAGGCTAGCTACTTCAAAACTAGAAGTATTTGCAACTACATGAAAACTGAAAAAATGAAATGATCAGCGGTGAGTGACCCAAACATAAACTCAACCTAAATCCATAATCCAATTGAAATTTAATTGTAATATGTGTAGTATTGTTTTTGTCCACAATTGAAACAAATAAATAAATAAATAAATAATCTGTGTCTTAAATGTTTTATTAATGTTAATGGTTACTAACGGGTTTAGTTACCGCGATTTATTTTTGTCGCATTAAAACAGTATTTTTGTCATGAAAACGTTAACAGATCATTCTGAAAACCTCTGTGAATGCATTTGTTCAGTATAGACCAACAGTTTGGACAAACCTTCTCTTTCAAAGAGTTTATTTTCATGATTATGAAAATTGTAGATTGACAATGAAGGCATCAAAACTGAATGAACTCATGTGAATTATGTACGCACTAAAAAAAAGTATGAACCAAGCGCAAATATGTGTTATATTCTTGTTCTTCAAAGTAGCTCCTTTTGCTCTGATACTGCTTCACTCTTGGCATTCTCTGGATGAGCTTCAACAGGACCTGAAATGGTCTGAGTTCCCATGATGCTTAGCACTTGTTGGCCCCTTCACTCTGTGGTCCAGCCCCAAAACCACCTGGACTGGGTTCAGGTCCAAAACCATCTGGACTGGGTTCAGGTCCAAAACCATCTGGACTGGGTTCAGGTCCAAAACCATCTGGACTGGGTTCAGGTCCAAAACCATCTGGATTGGGTTCAGGTCCAAAACCGCCTGGACTGGGTTCAGGTCCAAAACCATCTGGACTGGGTTCAGGTCCGAAACCATCTGGACTGGGTTCAGGTCCAAAACCGCCTGGACTGGGTTCAGGTCCAAAACCATCTGGACTGGGTTCAGGTCCAAAACCATCTGGACTGGGTTCAGGTCCAAAACCGCCTGGACTGGGTTCAGGTCCAAAACCATCTGGACTGGGTTCAGGTCCAAAACCATCTGGACTGGGTTCAGGTCCAAAACCGCCTGGAATGGGTTCAGGTCCAAAACCGCCTGGACTGGGTTCAGGTCCAAAACCATCTGGACTGGGTTCAGGTCCAAAACCATCTGGACTGGGTTCAGGTCCAAAACCATCTGGACTGGGTTCAGGTCCAGTGACTGTGGCCCAGCACCATCACTCTCCACAGCCTGGTGTGGCTCTAAAGCCAGTAGGCCTAACCCTAACAGTGAAGTGAAGGACAGAGGCTGTCCAAACTTCTGATCTGTATAAATAAAAAATAATGACCTGTAGAACGTTTTGAAACGACATTCAAATAAATGGAGCGTTTTACTGCTGCTGTGAGGAGCTGTTTAAGATCAGATAAACTTTACTGATCTCTGATTGTGCAGAAGACAGAAGTGTGAAACATGTTAAAGGTTGTTGCTCTCTCCTCAGATGTCACGTTTTCTCGACATGAAAGAGTTTGGGGAATCCGCTCGCTTCCTCAGACTCACAAACCTGGAGCAGCTGGCAGCCAAAGCCCAGGCCTTTGATGGTGAGACCATGTGGACGCCTTGTTTGTTTGTTCAGGTATTTAGGACCTGGTTCCTGGTTAAGACTTGTTTTATGGTTCTCTGAAGGGACCAAGAGGGTGTGGATGGCTGATGAGGTGGAGGCCTATACGGAGGTGGAGGTCCGGGAGTTAAATGGAGACAAAAGCACAGTGGAGACCAAGGATGGACGGGTAAATTAGACACCCCTGGTCTGATAAAATGAGTAATAAATAAATAATCGCAGGTCCTGACCCTGCTTTTGTTCCCTCAGTTTGTGATTGTGAAAGAGGACGACCTGTACCCAATGAACCCTCCGAAGTTTGACATGATGGAGGACATGGCCATGTTAACCCACCTCAATGAGCCGTCAGTCCTGTTCAACCTGAAGAGGAGATATGCAATGTGGATGATCTATGTAAGCAGCCTTTCACATTTGAGCTGTTTTTATCACGCAGGAGAGTAAACTATACCAGGTGTTTTACTTGCATGGTCATGTCAGCTTGTGTATATTATGTGTTTTTTCATAATTGGGCTTGTTCACACTAAGAAAGGTCTGACAAAAGGCCAAAAATTAGATCAGAATCAGAAGTTATATTATGTTTTTAATGTATCCAAGTCCAAAAGAGAACTGTTTTATAAAGAGTACAAGTCAACTATAGCGTACCCTTTGAATGAAGTAATTTACATGTTTTCAGATCCACATTTGATTTATACAATATTTTTTTGATTACTTTCAAATAGTAAATCAATTAAAGGTGAAACTAGACAATATTTTTTTTCCTCGAGTTTAATTTTTAGAAACCATCTTTCCTTTTGATTTTATCCACACTATCTCTTTGATATGTCTGTGTTTTAAATCTTATTCTAATCTGTGAAAGTCATTTTAGTTTTTGCGTTATACCCTTTTAAAGTCCAGATACTTTCATTGACACTTTACTGTGAACAATACAAATGACCAGGATGACTTCTGTTCTAGACATACTCAGGTCTGTTCTGCGTCACAATGAATCCATACAAGTGGCTTCCAGTTTACACTCAGGAGGTCATCGCTGGCTACAAGGGCCGGCGGCGAGCGGAGACCCCGCCCCACATCTACGCCATCGCCGACAACGCTTACACCGACCTGCTCCAGAGTAAGATTCTTGTTTTCACAAAATGTTCTCCTTCCAAATTTAATTTGAAAAAATAATATGTATTTTTCAGATCGTGAGAATCAGTCCATGTTGATCACGTATGTTGATAATAATAATAATAATGCAAATTAATAAAACAATAATCATATTTCTCATAAAGTGCCAAAACCGTAACTTCAGAATCTGTCTTTGACTTTCCTCTTTCAGCGGTGAGTCTGGGGCCGGGAAAACCGTCAACACCAAGAGGGTCATCCAATACTTTGCCATCGTCGCAGCCCTCGGGGAAAACATCAAGAAAGGAGTAAATACACACTGTGGTTATTACAGAAGTGTGGACTCAGGTCATGTGACTTAGACTGGACTACAGTCATGTGACTGGGGCTACAGTCATGTGACTTAGACTGGACTACAGTCATGTGACTGGGGCTACAGTCATGTGACTGGGGCTACAGTCATGTGACTTGGACTACAGTCATGTGACTGGGACTACAGTCATGTGACTTGGACTACAGTCATGTGACTTGGACTACAGTCATGTGACTGGGACTACAGTCATGTGACTTGGACTACAGTCATGTGACTGGGACTACAGTCATGTGACTTAGACTGGACTACAGTCATGTGACTGGGGCTACAGTCATGTGACTGGGGCTACAGTCATGTGACTTGGACTACAGTCATGTGACTGGGGCTACAGTCATGTGACTTGGACTACAGTCATGTGACTTGGACTACAGTCATGTGACTGGGGCTACAGTCATGTGACTTGGACTACAGTCATGTGACTGGGGCTACAGTCATGTGACTTGGACTACAGTCATGTGACTGGGACTACAGTCATGTGACTTGGACTACAGTCATGTGACTGGGACTACAGTCATGTGACTTGGACTACAGTCATGTGACTTGGACTACAGTCATGTGACTGGGGCTACAGTCATGTGACTTGGACTACAGTCATGTGACTGGGGCTACAGTCATGTGACTTGGACCGGAGTCAGACTCGAGTCATGAATTTGATGACTTTAGACTCGACTTGGACTTAAACATCAATGACACTGACTTTCACTTGGACTTGCACCTACTGACCATAAAACCCCCAGAGATGAAAAGTGCAAACTGCTCTGTGTGTGTGCGTCTGTGTGTATGGCTGTGTGTGCGTCTGTGCATGTGTGTGCGTCTGTGTGTATGGCTGTGTGTGCGTCTGTGCATGTGTGTGCGTCTGTGTGTATGGCTGTGTGTGCGTCTGTGTGTATGGCTGTGTGTGCGTCTGTGCATGTGTGTGCGTCTGTGTGTATGGCTGTGTGTGCGTCTGTGCGTCTGTGTGTATGGCTGTGTGTGCGTCTGTGTGTGTGGCAGGGTGTGCGTCTGTGCATGTGTGACCTTCGCCACAACCGCCAATCAAATCACGTGGATTGTTTAGATCCGACAGCGGCCAAACACATGGAACAAGTCCAGGGTCTAGACTAAGATTATTGCCGACAAAAAGAGTCGAAAGGACTTTTAAAGTCAAACCATAGGACTTGGCACTTCTCTAGAAATGTGTTGGTTTTTGACTTGGGTCTTGACTCAGGACTTGACTCTGGACTTGACTCAGGACTTGACTCTGGACTTGACTTTGGACTTGACTCTGGACTTGACTCAGGACTTGACTTGGGACTTGTTGGACTTTGACTTGGGTCTTGACTCGGGACTTGCCTATCTTGATTCAGGACTTGCCTCATCTCAAGACTCGACTCAAGACTTGACCTGTGACTTGTTGACCTTTAACTCTGGACTCAACTCGAGACTTGACTCTGGACTTGACCTGGGACTTGTTGACTTTTGACTCAGGGCTCGACCTGGGACTCAAATCGGGACTCGACTCGAGACTCGACTCGGGACTTGAGGGCAATGAATTGAGACTAACTTGTGCCTCGCAATTTTGCCTCGAGATGGTGAACACTTTTTAATTATCATTAAATCACTTTTTTCAGTTTTTAACACATGTTAAAGGTTTAAAGGAGGATTTCCCAAATTTTAGGAAAGAACCGCCCTCTCCACTTTTTGAACAAAACGCTCTGCTCTTATTGGACAAGCACGTATCACCAGAATGATTGACAGTTGGGAGGACTAATAGTCTTGATGAAGTAGAAAACCCTCCTTTAAACTTCTCTGATAAATCTTCGGTCTGGACCTGGTCTTACAACGCGGCTTTTTCAGGGATCTTTGGAGGACCAGATCATCGAGGCCAACCCTGCCATGGAGGCCTTTGGAAACGCCAAAACAATTCGTAACGACAACTCCTCACGCTTTGTACGCTTCACTTTGAATCTTAAAAAATGATTATAATTAGGAATAATATAATCATGACTTAATAATCCATTCAAGGGGAAATTCATCCGCATTCATTTTGGGACGACCGGGAAACTTGCTTCAGCCGACATCGACATCTGTGAGTGACCAAGGAAGTTCTTCTCGTTTGTTTTTTCAATCACTTGTTATTATTTGTTGCTGTATCCGACAGAATACATTAAGCACAATCACAAAATGACATGTCCACAGACCAAAGGGCTTTAGGCTGAAGCTATGACGCCCTTTCCCGATTCACGAAAACACAAGAAGTAGCAAGAAATCACATTCAAGTTTCATAAAAAAAAAAAGTACATTACATTAATATTAATATGCATTAAAAATACCAGAACGAGGCACAAGTCCATAGTAAATACATCAACATCAGTACATGTAACTCATACTGGGGGAGGTTGGAAAACAATCCCTTAAAAAAAATAAGAAAAACGTAAATGAAAATAAAATACTGCTTAAAAGAATAAAAATAATCTGTCAATAAAATAAGAAAACATGACTTAAGATTTCTGAAAAAAAAGAAAATACTTTCCCCAAATGACTTGATTCTATTTTAAAAACCTACATTTCAAGTATTATTTACTTATTTTTTGAGAATTGTTTTCTTAAAATAATGCTGTATTTTATAAACTTATTTTATCTAAACAAGAAAAGTCTGGAAATTAAAAAAATACACTTAAAAGACACTTAAAAACTCTTTATTCAGACTTTTTGAAGTATCTTAAAACTAGTAAAATAATCTTATGAAAAAATTGCCATTAAGAAATAAATATTTTTTATGTAATTTTTAGTGAATAAATCTGACCAAGATTTTAGTTTATTTAAGCGTTTGAAGATACAGTGGACAAGATTAAGAGATCCTTTATTTGTCCCACAGCGGGGAAATTTCAGTGTTGCATCACAAGTTACAGACCAGTAGGAAAGAGGAGCACACGGCACAATATAAATGAACAATAACTCTATACTAATAAAAATAAAACAAAATCTCTAACTCTAGCATCAATAAAAGTATAAAATCTCTATCTTGAAAATAATAAGATAGAGATTTTATACTTTTATTTATCCAGTTTTATTATCAAAAATATAAATGTTTGTATTTTTTATATGTATGTACGGGTGACTTTGTGCCTTTGTCTCAGATCTGTTGGAGAAGTCCAGAGTCGTGTTTCAGCAGCCAGGAGAGAGGAGCTACCACATCTACTACCAAATCCTCTCCAGTCAGAAGCCAGAGCTACAAGGTCAGGAACCAGGGAAACACAGAGCAAAACATGAATCTACAACAGACATACAACATATGTTCATGATTTACAGACATGCTGCTTGTGACGACAAACCCCTACGACTACCACTTCTGCTCTCAGGGAGTCACCACTGTGGAAAGTATCAACGATGGGGAGGAGCTCATGCTCACAGATGTAAGAGTCAAACTCAACTAAACTGGGCTCCACTTCATGTCACTTTTTCCCCGTGTTTTAATGTTATTTATTTATTTTTACTGGTGGGATAAATAAAGTAGTCTGAATCTGAATCTAAATTGTTAAACTAACCTGACAATGATAGGTTTGTGTAAGATCTCAGTCGTACAGGGATTATTCAAAGCAAAAGAAGATAGCTCACTCATTATCTGTACTTCAGTTTGCAGGTTTCCCGACATTTTGTTCTTAATCTGAAGAACTTTCTCAAGGAAATTAAAGCTCAGGTCCAAATAAGTTGGAGATTTAGAACCAGTGGGAGTAGCTAGACCCCCCATGATCCTGAGGCTAACTCATTAACACATCTGCAGTCTGCTAAGATGTGGTCTGGTCCAGAGTGGGCGGGTCCCAGCTCCAATCTTGCTGACAGGCTGCAATCTTACTCCTTGCTGGTGGGGGTGTACCCGGAAACAGAATTACCCAATGCTTTTGAATGGCGTCTTCTTTCCTCTTGAAAACGTCTTTACAGGATGATCCAAAAGTGGTTCTTGGTCCAAAAGTGGGTCTTGGTCCAAAAGTAGCTCTTGGTCCAAAAGTGGCTCATGGTCCAAAAGTGGTTCTTGGTCCAAAAGTGGCTCATGGTCCCAAAAGTGGCTCTTGGTCCAAAAGTGGTTCTTGGTCTAAAAGTGGTTCTTGGTCCAAAAGTGGCTCATGGTCCAAAAGTGGCTCATGGTCCAAAAGTGGTTCTTGGTCCAAAAGTGGCTCATGGTCCCAAAAGTGGCTCTTGGTCCAAAAGTGGCTCTTGGTCCAAAAGTGGTTCTTGGTCCAAAAGTGGTTCTTGGTCCAAAGCTAAGTTCCAGATGCTGTCAATGTTGAGGGGAGTATATATTTTTGGACCAGTCTAGTTTAGCCGCTGTGGACTTTTGCACTCGTTAAATTGATAATGAACAACAGTGACATGCTAGTGAGGTAGATTCATTAGGCCTAGCAGGACCGCTAGCGCTAACAGGACCGCTAGACCTAACAGGACCGCTAGACCTAACAGGACCGCTAGACCTAACAGGACCGCTAGACCTAACAGGACCGCTAGACCTAACAGGATTGTAAGACCTAACAGGATCGTTAGACCTAACAGGATCGTTAGACCTAACAGGATCGTTAGACCTAACAGGATCCTTAGACCTGACAGGATCGTTAGACCTAACGGGATCGTTAGACCCAACAGGATCATTAGACCTGCTCCCAACCATGTCTTAGCAGACTTTAGATGTATTAAAGAGTTAGCCACAGGATCATGGGGTGCCTATAAACACATCCACAAGTTATAAACCTTTATTTTTGCAAATCTCCAGTTCGAGGCTAAGCTTTAATTTCCTTGAGAACATTTTTTGGATCATGAACAAAACTTTAGAAAACCTGCCAACTGCACAAGTGCACGTACAGATAATGGGTTAGCAATGTTCCTTTGTTTTAACCTGAACTACACAAGTTGACTGATGTGAGAACATTGTCTATAGTTCCCTGGTAATAATTCAAATATGATCTTGCAGCATGCCATGGATACTTTGGGATTCACCGTGGAGGAGAAGTATGGCTGTTATAAGATCGTTGGAGCCATAATGCACTTTGGAAATATGAAGTTCAAGAAGAAACAAAGAGAAGAGCAGGCCGAGGCTGACGGCACCGAGAGTAAGCTCTTTGCTGCTAAATTGCTTAATTTACACTTGCCCCATTTTGGCAGATGTGTTTTTCTCCTTTGATTGTGGTTCCACACCTAATCCCTCACATTCCATTTGCCAAGGCAGAAGTCGACTCTTCTCTTCTTCAAAACAAATCTCAGAGTCACAGCAGTTTTACCCAGCTCTGGAACACCCCCCTGACCCAGAAATGGACAAAGGGGAATAAAATGGATGGATCTGGAGCACACAATTAGATTAGACCGAATTTGGGTTTCTATTTTACATGATTAGAAGGAGACAGCTGAAGGCCGCAGCAGAAGGCCACCGTGTTATCACAGCTCCAATCCATCGTCTTCTGATCTCTCTTCCATACTCAATCCAATTTCATTAACGAAAGACACACATCCAAATCAGAATCAATTTCAATTTCATTGCCATTTGTAGAGAAGTCTAAATTGGAATGCAAACAGGAGACACCAGGGGCACCAACACCACAAAGCACACACACACACACAGAAAGAAGACACAGTTAGGCACATATAAAACTCTGAAAAGCATTATTAAGAAACTGGAAGGAGCTACAAAGAGAATCAGATCTCAGGGCGCTCTGTTCAGTCTTATAACCGCCTGAGGAAAGAAGCTATCCATGACTATGTAAACAGTCAAGACATATAGCTACTGGACAGAGCAAGCATCGGAAAACAAAGAAACAATGTCATTGTCAAAGTCTGACGGACGACCCCCTCCGTCAGACTTCATGAAAACATAAAAAGGCCTAAATACTGTATGTGTCGTGAAATAGATTTAAAACACCATGTTCTCAATATTCATGAAGATAATCTAAACGCAACCTTATGTATGTATTACACCTCTACCTCTTATGTCGTGCATGTGTGTTCTGTGTATAACGCGTACTTACTTTGTGTCTGTTGCCAGGTGTGGACAAGGCAGCGTACTTGATGGGCATCAGCTCTGCAGATCTACTGAAGGGCCTGCTGAACCCCAGAGTCAAAGTGGGGAATGAATACATAGTTAAAGGACAAACAGTCGAGCAGGTAAAAACATTTAACAAACCGATAACAATAATAATAATACATTGGTTTTATGCAGCGCTTTTCAATTCAGGACACACACACTTAGACAGAGACACAAAACTGAAAAACTAAAAGCAGGAAAGAAGAGTACAAAGCGTTTAGTGAGTCCGAGTTTCTGAGGTCAGAGATTTCCAGAGAGTTGCCGCAGAGATGTCGAAAGCTCTGTCCCCCAAGGTTCGTTGCTTGGATTCGACAGTGGGACTGAGGTGAGTCTGCAGATCGGAGTTGACGGGAGGGACTGTAGGGCTGTAGAGGTTCAGGGAGGTCTGGAGGAGCAATAGGCCACACAGCAGGCCACCCATTCCAAACGATAAATGCCTTGATGTGCAAATATGAGTTGGAATTAGACCTGTTCCTGTCCTGGTTCAAGGTCTTGTTACTCTTCCATCGCAGGTGTACTACGCTGTGGCAGCTCTGGCCAAAGCGACTTATGATCGAATGTTTAAGTGGCTTGTCAGTCGGATCAACACATCTCTCTACACTGCTCTGCCAAGACAATACTTCATCGGAGTCCTGGATATCGCTGGCTTTGAGATTTTCGAGGTTCTTTTACACTCTACTTGATCAACCCCAGTTAGCTCCAAATGAACGATGGGTTAGCTCTGGGTTTAAACTTGTCCTACTTTCTTCCAGTTTAATAACTTTGAGCAGCTGTGCATTAACTTCACAAACGAGAAGCTGCAGCAGTATTTCAACCACCACATGTTTATCCTGGAGCAAGAAGAGTACAAGACTGAGGGAATCGAATGGACATTTATAGACTTTGGACTGGACCTTCAGGCCTGCATTGACCTCATTGAGAAGGTACCACAAATACAACCATTAACACACACATATATACATTTACACTGCTGTCTGAGTGTCATCTGTCCTTCAGCCCATGGGGATCCTGTCCATCATGGAGGAAGAGTGCATGTTTCCAAAGGCCACAGACCAGAGTTTTAAAACCAAACTCTACGACAATCATCTGGGAAAGTCTCCAAACTTCCTCCGACCTCGCCACGACAAGAAACGCAAATACGAGACACACTTTGAGCTCAATCATTATGCTGGAGTGGTGAGTTATAAAACTAACTAATGCCAAAATCCATCCCAGGAACTAAAATCAGCATTGAGATTTATCCTAATACATCTACTGTATATACACCCACATGGAGCTTCCCCTATAGTACATTCATTCGACAGACACTGATGCATTCTTAAAACAATGAAATCTAGGTTAATAAACAGTCAAAGGAAAGATCAGAAAGGATACAATACAATTTATTCTTGTATTGCCCTAAATCACAACAGTATCATTTCAGAGACAAAACCATTGAAATCACCAACAGTTAAAGCCCATAAAGAATATAGATATAAAAAATGTCCATACATGTTGTAGAAGGGAGGTATTTTTTTAATTAAATCTGATGTAGGCCACATTATTAATTCTCTAGCCTGGTCGCACCACACCATAGTACAAATTACATTTCACACAAAGGTCTGGATTTGCTCCATTGACTCCGTTATAGCAAGACCGCAAGAAATCACACTGAGCTCCAGCTTTAGAGATGAAAGAAAAAATACAATAATAATAAAAAGAACGAAAACAATCAAAAAACATTACATTACAACATTATTCATTATAACAGAACTATGTCCAACTTAAAATGTTAGGGTTTGCGGATACAGGTCGACGTCTCATGTGCTAAATGCAGTTTTTAGTCAGAGTAATCAATCATATTCTCAATATTCTGGGTGTTTTTATTTCTAGAGTAATATATTTCTCTATGACGTTGGTCTTAAATGTTTGTTTAAATGTGTAAAATCATAAAACAACTCAAAGTTCTGGCATCCCCCGTGTACACCTGTAGCTGCTCAGCCTGGACTGACTAACCCCAACCCTAACCCTCAGACTGGGATCTCTGTGGTTCTTTCAGGTCCCCTACAACATCACGGGCTGGCTGGATAAGAACCGCGACCCTCTCAATGAGACAGTGGTGACGCTTTTCCAGAAGTCTTCAAACAAGTTGATGGCCGGGTTGTTTGATTTCTACATCAATGCTGATATGGGTTGGTTTCTCAATAGTTTCTGTATATTTATATTATTTGGTATACATTTTAACTTGTGCTTAAATGTGTTCAGCTTCCAACACCAAAGGGGAAGTCCGGCCCAGGAAGAGGAAGGGAGCATCTTTCCAGACTGTGTCACAGCTCCATAAAGTCAGTTCATAAAATCACAAACACTGTATTCGTGCTTTAGTATTGACACAATTCAAGTGTAATTAATCCTGTATCATGTTTTATCAGTTTAGCTGCTTATATAGACAATACCTGAGGATGAAATAGTGTTCAGGGATAACTAAATGTATCGTATAGGAGCAGTATGTAAAAATACGTCTAAAAGTGGTACTGCAGCCTCTCCCACTCTCCCTGACTCAGGTTGCCAGATATGCAGACGAATCCAGCTGGGACCATAACAGCTGAATAGACAAGAGTTTTGTCAACAACAAATCTATAACCAACACCTTTTTCACAAAGATAGAAATCCTGGTTTTATTCCTTGTTTTGTCGTTAATGATTTGAGAATCATAACGAGACCTTTTTTAGTTCTGCGCCACATGGTTCTTTACCAGTGAGATTAGCTCCACGCGGTGAGTTCTGGCGCCCGGATCACAGACTTTCTGATTGGTGAAACGATGGAGGGCGGGACATTGAAATTAAAACAATAACAAGATTTACAGGCTGGAAAAGTAATTTAGAAATTCAAATATCTCTGAACGACTGTTATCAGTTAAAGAAGTATTTGACAGATTAGGGCCCTTTAAAGATGAGAGATTAGGGCCGTTTTTTGATGACAGATTAGGGCCCTTTATTGATGACAGATTAGGGCCCTTTAATGATGACAGATTAGGGCCCTTTAATGATGACTTGACGTGAAAATCTTACATATTGCCAAATTAATCCGAGCACATTCTGACTGAGCCGTTAAGCAAGATTTGCAAATGGGACAAAGCAAAATTATCTTGTTTTAAAACGTTACAAGAAATGTCTTCCTTGGAATGATAAAATAAAGCAACAGTTCTTAAAATAAGACAAATCTAGTTTTAAAACCAGATCAGTTTTGCAGTGTGGCTCCTGGGGTCAGAACTAGAATCCATCTCACCATCTTCTGATAATATATTTCTAGGAAAACCTGAACAAACTGATGGCCAACCTGCGCAGCACTCAGCCACACTTTGTCCGCTGCATCATCCCCAACGAGTCTAAAGTCCCAGGTCAGAACCTTTTTTCACGAAGCATGGGTCTAACTAATTCGTTTTGGAAGAGCACAGATCTCTCACAACGAGAACTCAATATTGACTAACTCACGTAACTCAAGTACTGACAAAACCACAGGGTCTTAATCGGGGACACACAATTCTAAGGGAGGACTAACAAATATTTCTCAAAAGAGTCTTGATTTCGGGCATTTTTGGGGAAAAAAAACAGAAGAAATTGCTGCGTTTCATTGGGGTGGCCTGCAGGGGGCGCTTATCTGGGAAAGCCTTGATCCACCTCGCCTGCCTCATTCCAGTGATGTTTTCAAAGTGTCCTCCTTTATATGAGACCACAATTGGAACATGAACAAACTCTGGTCTTTCTCTCTATTTGTGCGGTTGCTACAAACGTACACCGCACAAAAAGATGGCATTTTGACAGCGCTTCTTCTTCTACTATATCTCCGTGTATAAACCACTTCTTCTTCTACTATATCTCCGTGTATAAACCACTTCTTCTTCTACTATATCTCTGTGTATAAACCCGGCAGACTGCAGCGCCAGGATACGTCACGTCCGGTCCTACGTTTGTTATTCGGACCACTGCCTTGACGTCATATGAAACCCAAGAATTGCCACTCTTTCTTTTATTGCCACTTTTTAATATACATAATTATATCCTGCACAGACTATATTTTTAACCTATAACGTGTTGATTCTATCTGTGCAAATAACACATACATTTCTCCAGAGTCTTTTCTAATCTCATAGTTCTTTCTTCTCAGGGCTGAATGAATCTTCTTGTGTTTCAGGTGTGATGGAGCCATTCTTGGTTCTGCAGCAGCTCAGGTGTAATGGTGTTTTAGAAGGAATTCGAATCTGCAGAAAAGGATTTCCAAACAGAATCTTGTACGCAGAGTTTAAGCAGAGGTGAGACCAAAACTTCAAGTAGCAATATGTAAGATTAACATGGCCATTCATCATTAAAGGGCCCTAATCTGTCATCATTAAATATCATAATCTGTCATCATTAAAGGGCCCTAATCCGTCATCATTAAATATCATAATCTGTCACCATTAAAGGGCCCTAATCTGTCATCATTAAAGGGCTCTAATCTGTCATCATTAAAGGGCCCTGATCTGTCATCATTAAAGGGCCCTAATATGTCATCATTAAAGGCCCTAATCTGTCATCATTAAAGGGCCCTAATCTGTCATCATTAAAGGGCCATAATCTGTCATAAGTAAAGGACCCTAATCTGTCATCATTAAAGGGCCCTAATCTGTCATCATTAAAGGGCCATAATCTGTCATAATTAAAGGGCCCTAATCCGTGTTAAGGAAGTTTCTACCCAATGAAGGAGAAAACTCAAAGGTCTTTGTCTGATCAAAAGCGTAAGTTTATTGTTAACATATGTACGGAGAGTCAGCACATACACAAGGCAGCATGTACTAGCTCTGAGGGCAGAGCCCCAAGTTTCCTGTATACAAGACACACACGAGAGACAGTCCCGCCCACAACAGATTGGAGGGGGCCACCCGTGAGGAGGCGCATGGGGAGCGTTTGGCGCCGTCTGGGAACGAGGTGCGAACAGACAGACAATGGTCTAAATGCAGGTCATACAGATGCAAGACACGGAAGACACAAGGGTGTGACAGACAGCAGGACGTAGAAGATGCACACATACAGACCGATAGATATGCAAGAGGCGAAAGGCACAAGGGTGTGACAGGCAGCAGGATGTAGAAGATGCACACATACAGACCGATAGATATGCAAGAGGCGAAAGGGAGGACAGTGATTTGCGCCATTGTCTGTAGGTGTCGGGGGGGCCCGGCTCCTTCCTGGAACAGGGACATATGACATATGAATAGACACAGGCAGGGTTGCATGAATACTAGTCGCTTGCCATCACACTCCTTTCCCGTGATAATGTAAAAACCCCAGTTTTACAGAGATCACATTCAGGTGTGCGAGTATTAACCTTGGCCCCTGAGTAAAAGAAGAGTTGTTGATGGGCAGGTTACGCCGCCGTCACCCAAGCCTCTTGTATTACGGGGGTGTGGTCAAAGCTCTTCGCTGTGATACCCTCCCCCTAAATTGTGGGCGGAACAAGTGGAAAAATAAGAACAAAGTAAACAAGAAAGAAAAACGTTAGACAAAGTCGTCGTCCGAATCGCTGATATAATCAGGATCGGAGTTCAGTGGGACCGCGGCCAGGTCCGCCTCAGGGTCTCTGTGTTGAATGGACACAAAGTGAGTGGATATCATTTTACCAACGGCCCGAAACACCATGGGTAATACACATGAAAATAAAATCATAACGGTCAATAGGGCTAAACCAAGATTAATGAGCACACTTCGCCAGGAGGACAGGAGCCAGTCCAGACCGTGAGGAGTGTCCGTGACATTGTCCGCTTGCATGGCGTCCCGGAGTCTAGTCAGATTGGCTATGCCCTGTTGGATAAGACCTCCGTCCTCATCGTTGGCCGGAATATATGTACAGCAGGACGACCCGATGATCGTGCATACGCCTCCCACAGACGCGGTCAGGTGGTCCAGGACCAGCCGGTCGAACAGTGCCGCCTTGCAGTCAGTGGCACCGCTCCCTATGAGCGTGTGTGGAGCGTTAGTGGTCATGGCGATGTTTGGTCTTGGAGCGGCAAGACTCTATTTGCGTTGAAGCCTTGGCCTCAGCACTCGGTTGGGCAGAGTGCTCGGGATTTGGGGTGTGGCCTTGGGGTCCGGGGGCTGGGGAGTTGGGCAAAGGGGGGTTGCCTCGGCAACGCTGGGATCCTCTGGGTTTTGTTGTTGGCCTGCTTCACCGATGGTGGCCGCACGCCGGCCAACCTCTTCAGCGTAGGGAGCCGCGGATGGGCCTGGTCCGTCCGCGCCCTCGGTGTCCTCGTCTATGGCCCTCAGTGGCAGCACCGCACGACAGTGGTTGGCGTGGATCCAAGTTGTCCTCTCCGCGACCTTAACGGCAGTGTCCGTCACCAGGAGGGCGAGGAATGGGCCGAGCCAGCGCTTGGACCGCCAATGCTTTCGTCTCGTTTCCTTCATCAGGACCCAGTCGCCTGCGCAGCCTGTGGCAGGGCGCTCCTGACCTGGGCAGAAATAGAGGACAAAAGTGCATTAATTTCCTTACAATAGGACAGCATGTCGTCATCACACAAAGAGGTGCTTGGCAGATCTCTGTTCGGGGGTCCCGCGCCCAACGTGGGGCTAGCGGCAGAGCTTTGAGTGCCATTCTCTCGCTCGCACGTGCCTCCGGACCAGGGGGCGTAACTGCAGTGTTTACGTATATCAATGCCCAGAAATTCACCCACTTCCTCAATGACTTTTGCTACAAAGTGACTCACCACCGCGTTGCTCGTGGCGTGTATGCCTGCAAATACTTCAGTCCATTTGGACCAGAGATCCGCCAGACCCAGACAGTATTACTTACCTTGGCATGGTGTGAGTTCAACAAAGTCCCTTTGGACATGTTGAAATGGGCGCAGGGGCGGAGGATGAGCAGCCTGTTGGATACTTTTGGAACTTACCTGGGTTGTGCGCGGGGCATATAGCGCATGTTTGGCTGAATCTCTGTGCAAATGCCGTAAACCCCTTTGTATACCAATTTTGTGTGATTAAATCACACATCATCCCTCCTTTTGAGGCATGGTCTCGACCATGTGCTAAAATTGCAAACTGTCTGAAGAAATGCCGTGGTAGGCACGGTTTGCTGTCTGGTCCCAGCCACACACACCATGCCGTCGTTGAGCCCCATTCCCCTCCCACAGCAGCGTCTCTGCTGGAGTAGAAAATATCAACGTCTTGAGTGAGGTAGTGTGTGTGTGTGTGTAGAGGTGCGTATGCCGCTGCCTTGTCCGCACGCCGATTCCCTGCAGAGATGGGATCAGTGGCATTAGTGTGGGCCTGGCATTTGCATACAGCGATCTCTAAGGGCAACATTACAGCTTTCAGCAGACGTTCAACCTGTGTGGAATTAAGAATTGGTTTACCATCAGATTTCATAAAATTGCGGTGTTTCCACAGTGCTTCCCAGTCGTGCACCACAGAGAAACCATAACGCGTATCACAGAATATGTTAACCGTTTTGCCCGCTGCCAGCCCCGGTGGGCGCGACCAGTTCAGCGGTTTGTGCTGAATGGTAGTGGGGCAAACTACCAGAGTCTATAGTATCAAAATCAGAACACACAGCATAGCCGACTCGGTTCTCCCAGTGTTGTCACGTGACGCGGCTCCGTCTGTATATAAAAAAAATCAAGTCAGGATTAGTCAGAGGCACCTCTTTCAGGTCTGGCCTGGGAGTGCATATCTGTTCTATTGTGGCGATACAGCAGTGTGCCTCCCCTTCCTCTGGCGTGGGCAGCAGCGAGGAGGGGCTCAGCTGTGTGCATCCCTTCACCGTAGTTCAAAGAGCACCGTGTTGTACCCCAGCCAACGAGCCGCAGAAAGGCGAGAGGCCCTCTGCTCTAACAGGATCAGGGAAACAGCATGGGGCACAAGCAAGGTTAGTTCAGTGTATCCCACAAGGTCACGTGATGCTAGGGCCGCTTTCTCAGCAGCAGCCACAGCCCGCAGGCAGCGAGGCAACCCTGCTGCCACGGGATCGAGTTTTGCTGAGAAGTAAGCAGTGGGTCTCAGTGGCCCTCAGTGAGGCTGCAAAAGTACCGACTGTTCCGTTCATCTCCAGTTGCTTTTCTCCCGGATCGTCCTCAATTCATATTGTGGGCTTTTGTGCCAAAGTGGAGGCTCATTTCCTCCTGATCCATACTACTGTCATCCCTGGAGCAGGGGTAGTTTATCTCTCATCTGAAAAAGAAATATCAGAACACAAAAAAAACACAAAAAATGCCCACTTTCGCTTGTCAATCTTTTTCCCAATTGGGCAAAACATAACTGCATTGACAGACGGTGTGTGGCATCAGGGCGGAGGCTGTAGCCAGATACAGAACAACAAAATGTATGTTACTAATTTTATACTCCCCTAAATGTGAGTTTACGAACCAAAGTTGTCCTCCGCCCAATGACCGCTCACTGCCGTTGGACCGAATCACTGTCAGGGCAAACAGCAGAGGGAGGAACTCCCAATATCTTCAGCGAGGTATTTCATCTCCGAGTACTTTCCGCAGAGTACTTTTCTCAGAGTACTCATCCCAGAGTACTCTCACTTTTACACCTGTTCAATAAAGGTCGTTATCTTTGAATCTCTAGTACTTACACCGTATGCTGTTGACAAAAAAGAATTATTCCATGATCACATTAAAACATTACAGACACATTTGTTATTCCATGATTCCGTTCAGCATTCCTCATTTCACTCCACACTCACATCACAGTCACATCACAGTCACATCACAGTCACATCACAGTCACATCACAGGCCGATTCCCCACGTTAGTATTGGTCCAGAGTTTGTTAAGGTCAGCGTAGTGTACTTTGACATGACACACAAACATATAACATACACAAAACATATAACACACAAACATGTAACACACACAGAAGGCCTGTACTTTTAACTTTGTTATATTTTTCCATGTCCAATTCCAATTGTCTCATGAGCTATTTCTTATTGTTGCAACTTTCAGAGCCTGCAGAGCTTTAAAAGAGTTTTCCTAAAAGGATCCATTTCCAACTTTAGTGTTTACCACGTGGTCTATACTTCGGGCTTATCACAGATTGTGTCCCCTATATCTCTAATGAGCTCTTGTCACCTAAAAAAAATGTTTTTTTTCCTTATTTTTTTTTTTCTTTTTCAATAAAGCCAGGTCGGATTCATTAAAAATGTAAATTAGTCTCAAACTTTAATACTTCACCTTTGTTTCACGATAAAAATGTTTTTGTTACTCATTAAGTAGCACAGATAGTGGTGCCTATCTCAATAAACGTACTCCGTTAGCCTATCTTCCCTACACTGCATGAATTTTCAAACTCCAAGTTATTGTCTGGGAACGACCGGAGAGAGCAGCTTAGGTCGTTCGCGTGGTTGACCTCCAAATTTTGTGCGGGCGTCACTATCCACTTGTTGTGGCTAATAACTTAGCAATCTCAGGGTTTGGTGTCAATTTCCAGTGGTAGTTAACTTTTGGGACCGGTGCCTCCTTTTATTTATCTATTTTTAATTGAGTCTGCACATAAGGTCTCGGCCTAGTAGGTTAACCGGGGACAATGGGGAATATAGAAAAGAATGTTTAAGCTGGTTGCCCTGAGAATCAAAACACGTTAGCGGTGACGTAAATTGCTCTTTAGTCGTCTCTCCGACGCTGCTAATTAGAATATGAAGCGGCCGCTCATTTTAGGGGAGACAGAAAGGCTGTCACTTTTAGCACAGAATTTGTTGCCCCGGAGTCATCCAGAATTTTAACTTGTACACCACAGGTTGTTAGCGTATATTACGGGCATGAATTATCTCTAAAAAGTGCCAATTGCAATTTGTTGTTGTTCAACTTACATGAGCGGTCGCTTTGGTGACGAATGTGAACCCAGGTTTGGTCAGTCGCTCGTGTTTCCTCCGTGCCCGCCTCTGCCGTCCTCTGGCCCCGTGTGAGCCTCTGCCTTTAACGCCTCCTCCGGTGACAGTCCTTCGACCCATGTCGAGCACACAGTCTTTCCGCCGGGCTGTGGAAGTTTTTCAAAGTCCGCAGGAGGCCCAGGTAGCCCAAAGCGTTAGCATGTGGTCCATGAGGGTTGGTGAATGACCCAAACGTGCCGGTCACAATGGCTTCTTCTGTTTGCGGTGCGGGAACAACTTTCAAGCGGGTTTCCGCGGGTGCGTTTGGTATATCACGCTGCCCCCTCCGTGGAGAACAGTCACGGGATTTGGAGCAGTTTCTCTCTGTGCTCCAAAGCAGTTGTCGGTGTCTCACATATTTGTTTCCCTCGCTTCTTCTTCTGTGGTTTCCTGAGCGTGTGTCTGTTTCCGCCTCTTCTTCTTCTGCGGTTTGGGCCCACTTCTCGCGGGGTCTCAGCTGGTGCGGGCGCCGCCTGTGGTTGGGGCGTGGGGCTGGTGCTTTGAGGCAGAGGACAGAGCGCGGAGGAAAGGCGCCGACAGACCTGGATAGGGAAGAGGGAAAAGAGACAACAGTAGTCTGCTTCATTTTTTAAAAACCCAACGCCTTGTTTGGGCGCGTACTTAGCATGGAGTTCTGCTCCTAGTGTGAAAGGGTTAGTAGGTGAGAGAGGGCGTGTGTGTGCGCCTGTGTGTTCTCCGCTTTGGTGAAAGGCGGAGGAGCTATTGTTTTTACATATTTCTTTCTCTAACCTCTTTTGCCGTGATATTCTTAAAACCAAGTATATTTTTTTTCTTCCCTTCTTCTTCTAAATTATCACGCAGATGACCTGCACCATAGGCAAGCACTTCATAGCTTGCATCTGTAGATTGATTTTACCCATTTTCTCGTACGAACAATGGGCCTAACCCGCTTAGTCTCTCCCTGCTCTTACCCACTTTGGGGCGCTCCGTTCCCCCCCCCGCTGGTTCAACCAGCGAGCGCGCGTTCTTGAAAACGGAGCGGTTCTGGCTGAAGACACTCAGAGATTCCAGGGTCGCTTACAATGCGATACTAACGCGCAGCCGCTAGCTTCAATCTAGAACAAAAAGCACCCCAAAAAATCCCGCACACAGACTATGCTGTGGCAATGAATGAAATACCCCAAAAATACATAAATAAACAAATCCCCGTGTCGACTTAAGGGCTGCCCTGGGCTCGTTACGCAGATGAAAAGACAAGACTCACCAGATTAGGTTCTTTTTGGTCTTGTGTGGCAAAAGGATTCCTTCCGTGCGCGGGACGAGCGCGCCCTCCTTTGTCTCCAAAAAGGAACAGAGGCTGGTGATCCAGGTCGGCCAAACAAAGCCGCTCGTCCCCGCCGAAAGTATCCATGCCAAGACATGTCAGCAACGCCAAATTGTTAAGGAAGTTTCTACCCAATGAAGGAGAAAACTCAAAGGTCTTTGTCTGATCAAAAGCGTAAGTTTATTGTTAACATATGTACGGAGAGTCAGCACATACACAAGGCAGCATGTACTAGCTCTGAGGGCAGAGCCCCAAGTTTCCTGTATACAAGACACACACGAGAGACAGTCCCGCCCACAACAGATTGGAGGGGGCCACCCGTGAGGAGGCGCATGGGGAGCGTTTGGCGCCGTCTGGGAACGAGGTGCGAACAGACAGACAATGGTCTAAATGCAGGTCATACAGATGCAAGACACGGAAGACACAAGGGTGTGACAGACAGCAGGACGTAGAAGATGCACACATACAGACCGATAGATATGCAAGAGGCGAAAGGCACAAGGGTGTGACAGGCAGCAGGATGTAGAAGATGCACACATACAGACCGATAGATATGCAAGAGGCGAAAGGGAGGACAGTGATTTGCGCCATTGTCTGTAGGTGTCGGGGGGGCCCGGCTCCTTCCTGGAACAGGGACATATGACATATGAATAGACACAGGCAGGGTTGCATGAATACTAGTCGCTTGCCATCACATCCGTCATCATTAAATATCATAATCTGTCACCATTAAAGGGCCCTAATCTGTCATCATTAAAGGGCTCTAATCTGTCATCATTAAAGGGCCCTGATCTGTCATCATTAAAGGGCCCTAATCTGTAATCATTAAAGTGCCCTAATATGTCATCATTAAAGGCCCTAATCTGTCATCATTAAAGGGCCCTAATCTGTCATCATTAAAGGGCCATAATCTGTCATAAGTAAAGGACCCTAATCTGTCATCATTAAAGGGCCCTAATCTGTCATCATTAAAGGGCCATAATCTGTCATAATTAAAGGGCCCTAATCTGTCATCATTAAAGGGCCCTAATCTGTCATCATTAAAGGGCCCTAATCTGTCATAATTAACGGGCCCTAATCTGTCGTCATTAAAGGGCCCTAATCTGTCATCATTAAAGGGCCTTAATCTGTCATCATTAAAGGGCCCTAATCTGTCAGGGCCTTAATCTGTTATCATTAAAGGGCCTTAATCTGTCATCATTAAAGGGCCTTAATCTGTCCAAAGACATTAATAAAACATGTTCTATTCCAATATTTATTTACCTGATAAAAGTAGTTCAGAGATATTTGAATTTATAAATTAGTTTTACAGCCCCTAAATCTTTTTTTTGTTTTTATTTTGATGTCTTATAAACTCTTCATTTGAAAGTGAACCAACCCGGCTTCTTAAAGGCTGCTCCAGGTCTTTAATCTCTCTTCACCTGTCTTTGTCAGATACCGGATCCTAAACCCGGCTGCAGTCCCTGAAGACTCGTTTGTGGACAGTAGAAAGGCTGTGGAGAAACTTCTGTCGTCTCTGGACATCGACCACACACAGTACAAGTTTGGACAGACCAAGGTAAATCTAATCCATTGAGGGGCGTCAAACAGAACCTGCGGCTCGGGACCAGTCCTCAGGTCCAGGGAGTCCAGGGTTTTGAGTCCCACTAGTGCCTTTGTGAAACAGACAGAGGGACAACGGGTGAACAGCAATGAACAGACCACATTTAAGCTTTTGGCAAAATTGGCCGTAGATGTGACGGGTTCAAAACAGAGAAATAGATAGATACTGGCATAGAATCTGGTGCTTCAGTTCCTTAAACATGGATTCACAACAGGCCATAAAAACAGTTGTGTATTGTAGAGAAAGTTTATTATAAAGTAATTGATCAAATCTATCCACAGAGTCGTGAAAGCGGCCACCTTTTTGTGATTCTGGTTGAGAAAAGGCCTATTCCAGACAGACTCCTGCACACACGATTCCCCTACAGTAGACATGTCCAAACTCAGGCCCGCGAGCCAATTGCGGCCCTCTTTGCTATTTCATGTGGCCCTCTGCTGCTCGTCATCGAGGCACTTTGACAGTGTCATCCAACCAACTTCAGCTCCATCAATACAGTCACGCTATACGTTGTTGTAAATCTCAGACTCTCTGGAATCCTGTCGTCAACTTTATTGTTGTTTACTGACATTTGTTTTATGATCGTGTCACAACATTCAAAAAAAATGCAGCTGTGAATCAATAAGGACGTATCAAAGCCCATTTTAAATTCTAGAATTCAGTCAGTCTAGCTCGAATCCAGTTTTTAAATCCAGGTCAAGTCTGTATAACTAAAGTCAGAATCAGAATCATTTTTATTGCCACGTAAGTAACAGAAGTCACCACTTGGAATTTGTTTTGGCAGAAGAAAGCATGCCACGGCGCCATTTGCTGCGCTGTGTGACACTCTTACTAAAAAGTTTGGACACCCCAACCCTACAGTATGTACGGGGCATTAAAAACAGTACACTTTAACTCACACACATACGTATCTCTGTTGCTCATCTCTTTCCCGGTCTCCTGTTTGTGTTTCCGTTTGTCTGATACATGTTTAATTCTGTCTCTGTGCGTTTCCGGCCTCTTCCCTGGGGCAGGTGTTCTTTAAGGCGGGGCTCCTGGGGCAGCTGGAGGACATGAGGGACACTCGTCTGTCTCAGATTCTCACCACGGTTCAAGCCATGTGTCGCGGGAAACTCATGAGGATGGAACGTGACAAAATGATTCTTTACAGGTCCGTTATCGTCAAGACAGACTTTATTTCTGATGCTTCATTTGGAATTGTCTCTTGATTCGACTATTCATGATAATCTTGATTAGATAAATAGATAGATAGATAGATACTTTATTGATCCCTGTAGGAGAAATGCAGGTGTCCAGTAGCAGCAAAAACATCCATCCAAATCAGGGGGGTCAAACTCATTTCAGTCGGGGCCAAGTTTAAAATGAGCTATACTTGATTTTTTTCTAATGAGTTCATAAAAATGCTTATTACTACAAACAAGTTGTATTAAAATCCGTAATTGAATGTAAAACTTGAGCTCATTGATTCAGCTGTGTGTGAATTCAGGCGTGAAAAGTGCTGAGTAGAGACTTAGCGTGACGCCCGCTCTCCTCCAATCACAGAACGAGGCTGCGTCCTCTAGCCTCTACAGCGCTGCTAAACACAGTAGCATGTTAGCATAAGTGGCTATAACAGCAAAACAGCCCAAACGAGAGCGTAGAGGAAATGAGAAGCCTGTGAATGAGTTGGGGGCTGGGCTAAACATTCAAACCTTGCAGAAACGGGTATAGCTCCTTTAAAAACATAAGAGCAGGTCTGGGCCAAACATATAAAAGTGGTTTACTTTGATAATTTTTTTTGTTTTTTTTGTTTACATATTTTCATAGTTTGACAAATTCATTTTATTTTCAAAGAATTGTTTTCCAGTAGGTTTGGATTCAATTACAACTGGGCCAAATATCAAGAATACAGTTAAATACAAAAACATAAAACTTGACTTAATAACATATTTGTTAACATTTTAGAAAATATTGTGATTTGATAGTTTTCCTGAGACAATACGCTTCATAGTGTATAACAGGCCATAGTCTCCCAGTACCATCAATGCTGCTAGTTACTATAATAATGATGACTAAAAACCATTACAAGGGCCGCTATATATGGTCTCGCCGGCCGAATTTAGCCCATGGGCCTGAGTTTGACAAAGTTGATCCAAACAAACAAAATAAATAAGTAGTAAGTAAGTAATCTTTATTTATATACCGCCTTTTCACTGCACATTGGAGTCTCAAAGCGGTTTACTATTGTTATTTTTTTTGGGAGTGGGGCCAGTACAGGAGGCACATGTCAGACCTATTGTACATATTTTTAGTGGTAGGGGAAACCGGAGCACCCGGAGGAAACCGGAGCACCTGGAGGAAACCTACGCAGACACGGGGAGAACATGCAAACTCCACTCAGAAAGGCCCTGGTCCAACCGGGATTCGAACCCAGGACCTTCTTGCTGAGAGGCGAGAGTGCTATCCACTCAGCCACCGTGCCGCCGGATATATAGAAATAGATATAGAAATAAATAGATCATTCTAATAATCTAACAATGATAATAAAATACAGCAGTCCTTCAGGTCACAGCAGCAGAGGTGGAGCTTCTTTTAGACCGTTTTCTCTGCTCTGGTCCAAAGTAAAATGCTAAATACTTCATTAGCATTTTTCCAAAAGTTGATTAATCCCAATAATGAATGTGAATGTCCCGTGTTCTGTTCTAGCTAAGTCCGTGTTTGTGTTGCAGGGACGCGGTGGTGGTGATCCAGTTCAACCTTCGGGCCTTCTTCTCGGTGCGGACCTGGCCTTGGATGATGCTGTTCTATAAAATCAAGCCCTTGCTTCGAAGTGCGCAGGTGGAAAAAGAACTGGCCACTCTCAATGAAGACTTCAGCAAACTCAAAGAAGCCTATGAGAAGTACCAGAATTTAACCAGTTCTGGAAGTTTTTTGTCCAATTCCGCTTTGGTTTGAAATATGTTTGTTTGTAGGGCGGAGGGAAAGCGGCAGGACGCCGAGGAGCGGCAGGTGGTTCTGGTTCAGGAGAAGAACGACCTGGCTCTGCAACTGCAAGCCGTAAGTCACACACTGCTCTGGACCAAATCACTATGACGTAAAATAAGAACAATGTGAAAATAAGTTAAATTCTGCTTAAAATAATAAAAAAATATATATATGACAATAGAACAATGAAATATGAGCTAAGATTTCTGATAATAATAAATTAATACTAGCCCCAAATGACTTGATTCTAGTTTAAAAACATACATTTGTCATCATTAAAGGGCCCTAATCTGTCATCATTATCCATCCATCCATCCATTTTCTACCCTTTGATCCATTTCTGGGTCAGGGGGGTGGCAGTCAGAGATGCCACCCAAGTCTCATAGCACCAGCCCCTCACTGACCCTCTGCAGGTGGTGAGTCCACAGGAGGACGGCTGCTCTCTGACTGTGAGCATAGCCTTGATCTTTCAGTGGGAGCTTTTTGGGCAAAGTGGGGTTAAGTGTCTTGCCCAAGGACACAACGACAGCAGTCATCAGTGGGAGTCGATGGTCATCATTAAAGGGCCCTAATCTGTCATCATTAAAGGCCCTAATCTGTCATCATTAAAGGGCCCTAATCTGTCATCATTAAAGGCCCTAATCTGTCATCATTAAAGGGCCCTAATCTGTCATCATTAAAGGGCCCTAATCTGTCATCATTAAAGGCCCTAATCTGTCATCATTAAAGGGCCCTAATCTGTCATCATTAAAGGCCCTAATCTGTCATCATTAAAGGGCCCTAATCTGTTATCATTAAAGGGCCCTAAACTGTCATAATTAAAGGGGCCTAATCTGTCATAATTAAAGGGCCCTAATCTGTTATCATTAAAGGGCCCTAATCTGTCATCATTAAAGGGGCCTAATCTGTCATCATTAAAGGGCCCTAATCTGTCATCATAAAAGGGCCCTAATCTGTCATCATTAAAGGGCCCTAATCTGTCATAATTAAAGGGTCCTAATCTGTTATCATTAAAGGGCCCCAATCGGTCATCATTAAAGGGGCCTAATCTGTCATCATTAAAGGGCCCTAATCTGTCATCATTAAAGGGCCCTAATCTGTCATCATTAAAGGGCTCTAAGCTGTCATAATAATAATCTGCTCTTTTCCAATACTTCTTTAACTGATAACAGTAGTTCAGAGATATTTGAATTTCTAAATTACTTTTCCAGCTTCTAGATCTTGTGATTGTTTTAATTTCAATGTCCCGCCCTCCACCGTTTCACCAATCAGAAAGTCTGTGATCCGGGCGCCAGAACACACCGCGTGGAGCTAATCTCACTGGTAAAGTACCATGTGGCGCAGAACTAAAAAAGGTCTCGTTATGATTCTCAAATCATTAACGACAAAACAAGGAATAAAACCAGGATTTCTATCTTTGTGAAAAAGGTGTTGGTTATAGATTTGTTGTTGACAAAACTCTTGTCTATTCAGCTGTTATGGTCCCAGCTGGATTCGTCTGCATATCTGGCAACCTGAGTCAGGGAGAGTGGGAGAGGCTGCAGTACCACTTTTGGCCACATACTGCTCCTTTGTATTATGATTAGTTTTCGTGCATAAAATATCATTACTATCAATTATGTTAAATAGGGCTTTTTCTTTACGTATTCGTAGTTTCTATCATTTATGCCCCTTTGTCTCAGGAGCAAGATAATCTAGCAGACGCTGAGGACCGCTGCAACCAGCTGATCCAGTCCAAGATCCACCTGGACCAGCGCCTGAAGGACATGCAGGAGCGACTGGAGGACGAGGAAGAAGTCAGCATCACACTCACAACCAAGAAGCGGGTTCTGGAAGAGGAGGTGGTGACGCTGAAGAAAGACGTGGACCAGCTGGAGCACACCTTGTCCAGAGTGGAGCGAGACCGGCACGGGGTGGAGAACAAGGTGAGGACCAGGACTGCAAGCTACAGAAGTCCAGGTCTGAAGCAGGGTCTCATGTTGGTCTTGTTTCAGCTGAAGAACCTGTCTCAGGAGATGTCGGTTCTGGATGAGTCCATTCTTGTTCTGGGCCGAGAGAAGGCTGCGCTACAGGAGGCGCATCAGCAGGCTCTTCAGGACCTAAACACTCAGGAAGACAAGGTCACAGCTCTGTGCAAAACCAAGTCCAGACTGGAACAACAAGTGGACCATGTAAGTCCGAGTTCACGGAAGATAATGATAATGTGTGGTTCAGTAGAGTCTAGGGTTATCTAACACCCGCCATTGGTACGTTTTAATCTGTCATTATGCATTCAAGCTTAATCAACTGGGACCCTCTCCACGACTCCCACTGAGGTCCCCTGTCCTTGTGTCCTTGGGCAAGACACTTACCCTAACCCCACGCCCGACCCAGCAAGAGTTTAAGGGGTAGAAACGGATGGATGGTTCAATGAAATAAAATAGATACATAGATAGATACTTTATTGATCACTATAAATTTCACACTTTATTTGTTCAGGCTTTTGCGTAAGTTTGTCTTGCTGTATTTTTTTACATGGTTGTCTTGGCCTTTAAAAATGTGTATGTCTAATTTATATGTCTGTTTTTATACTATGTGAAGCGCTTTGTGACCCTGGTCTGTGAAGGGCGCTATATAAATAAAGTTTACTTACTTACTTACTATCACCCATAGGAGAACTACAGGTGTCCAGCATTCTCCTCTATTCTCATCTATGTATCTAAGTTATTTCATTGAACCATCTATCCATTTTATACCCCTTAAACTAAAATAAAACAATACAATTTATAATTATAAAAAGCAAACATTAATTAATCATAACAAGCAACAGTCCTTCAGGTCACAGCAGCAGAGGTGGAGCCGCCTGGTTCAGACCATTGCTCTGGTCCAAAGTAAAATGCTTTGTTAGCATCTTTAAAAAAGTTAGCAGTGGATTTTCACCTGATCCACTTGGTTCGGACCATGAATCTTCTCTGCTCTGGTCTGGACCAGTGTAAAACCATGAATCCTCTCTGCTCTGGTCTGGACCAGTGTAAAACCATAAACACTGAACTGCAGTAACATAGAAAAAAGTAGAGAAACGCAAGAAAAATACATTTGTACATTTCACCTGTGTGAGATCAATAAAGTCTTTCTTATCTTAAAAATTGTAAAACACAAAACAACAACTTAACAATAGACAAAGAATAAGTTGTATATACGTTGAACTTCTACAAGAGCATATTTGACTTTACAGAACACAGCCCTAACCTCGTCCTTCTGTGTCCCTCCTGCTGCAGGTGGAGAGCAGCCTGGAGCAGGAGAAGAAAGCGAGGGTGGAGCTGGAGAGGACTCGCCGCAAAATGGAGGCAGATCTGAAACTGTCCCAGGAGTCAGTCCGAGACCTGGAGACCCACAAGGACAATCTGGAAGATCGCCTCAAAAAGTATTCTTCTCAGATGATGCGTTAAACTTGCAGTCTTGGTGTACTTTTACCACAGCCTTGTTTGGTTTTGTCTAAACGTGGATTTGACTTGTCTTGGGTAAGGAAGGACAGTGAGCTGACTCTGCTTCAATCCAAACTTGAAGATGAGCAGGGCATCGTGGCTCAGCTGCAGAAGAAAATCAAAGAGCTCGAGGTGTGTGTGACAACAAAAGAGGAAGTCGTAAACATTACTTTCAGCACTTTTATATCAGCCCAAAGCAATTTATACAATTTCAAATGAAAAATAAATCATGTTTTTTACTATTTCAGACACGTATTGAGGAGCTGGAGGAGGCGCTTGATGCTGAAAGAGCCTGGAGAATGAAGGCAGAGCGACAGAGGAACGACATCGCACGAGAGTTGGAGGAGCTGGGGGAGAAGTTAGAGGAAGCAGGAGGAGCTTCAGCCGCTCAGATCGCCCTGAACCGGTGAGTCCTGCTTTCACCTCAGCCCTTTTCTGAACAACCTGCTTAGATAGATAGATACATGTACATGCTTAGATAGATAGATAGATACAGTACATACATAGATACATAGATACATAGATAGATACATAGATAGATAGATAGATAGATACATGCATAGATAGATAGATAGATACATGTACATGCTTAGATAGATAGATAGATACAGTACATACATAGATACATAGATACATAAATAGATACATAGATAGATAGATAGATACATGCATAGATAGATAGATAGATACATGTACATGCTTAGATAGATAGATAGATAGATACAGTACATGCATAGATAGATAGATAGATACATACATAGATAGATAGATACATAGATAGATACATAGATAGATAGATAGATACAGTACATACATAGATAGATAGATAGATACATAGATAGATAGATAGATACATGCATAGATAGATACATACATAGATAGATAGATAGATACATAGATAGATAGATACATACATAGATAGATAGATAGATAGATAGATAGATAGATAGATAGATAGATAGATAGATAGATACATAGATAGATAGATAGATAGATAGATACATAGATAGATAGATAGATACATAGATAGATAGATAGATAGATAGATACATAGATAGATACATAGATAGATACATAGATAGATAGATAGATACATAGATGCATAGATAGATACATACATAGATAGATAGATGATTGAAAGATACTTTATTGATCCCCTTAGGAGAAGTTCAGGTGTCAAGTAGCAGCAAAAATAAAAAATAAAATTGATTATTCTAAAAAGCTAACAATAGTAATAATCAACAGCCCTTCAGGTCACAGCAGCAGAGGTGGAGTAGTCTCTGGGTGGAGCAGGACAGGTCACAGCAGCAGAGGTGGAGTAGTCTCTGGGTGGAGCAGGACAGGTCACAGCAGCAGAGGTGGAGTAGCCTCTGGGTGGAGCAGGACGGGTCACAGCAGCAGAGGTGGAGTAGCCTCTGGGTGGAGCAGGACAGGTCACAGCAGCAGAGGTGGAGTAGCCTCTGGGTGGAGCAGGACGGGTCACAGCAGCAGAGGTGGAGTAGCCTCTGGGTGGAGCAGGACGGGTCACAGCAGCAGAGGTGGAGTAGCCTCTGGGTGGAGCAGGACAGGTCACAGCAGCAGAGGTGGAGTAGCCTCTGGGTGGAGCAGGACGGGTCACAGCAGCAGAGGTGGAGTAGCCTCTGGGTGGAGCAGGACGGGTCACAGCAGCAGAGGTGGAGTAGCCTCTGGGTGGAGCAGGACGGGTCACAGCAGCAGAGGTGGAGCAGCCTCTGGGTGGAGCAGGACGGGTCACAGCAGCAGAGGTGGAGCAGCCGTCAGACAAACATCCAAGAAGAGACTATAGCTACATACCTTTGATCATAGACATTCATAATTCCCCCGAAAGAACACTTTACTCCCACTGATGTCTGCTGTTGTTGTGTCCTTGGGCAAGACACTTCACCCACATTGCCTAGAATTAGTCTGGTGTGTGGGTGAATGGTTGGTGGTGGGAGGGGCCAGTGGCACAGACTGGTTGCCTTGCTTCTTTCATATTTATTTATAGACATTTATGTTTCATTTGTATTCAATTTGTGCATACAGAAAGCGAGAGGCAGATTTCCTTAAGATGCGGCGGGAGCTGGAGGAAGCGGGACTTCACCATGAAACCACTGCAGCCACTCTCCGGAAGAAACACTCGGACACTGTGACCGAGATGAGCGAGCAAATAGACAACCTGCAGAGAGCCAAACAAAAACTGGAGAAGGAGAAGGTGGAGACAAGGCTTCATGCTGATGACCTGGCCTCCACTGTAGAGACCCTCACCAGATCTAAGGTAAAACCATGGATCTATAATAATATCTGCATGGGGGGTACTAGCTTGGAGCTGAAGGACCCATGTGCTCGGGGGATTCTTGCGGGACTGCAGACTAAATAAAACTAAATTCACGTGGGCTTTTCCCCATAAAACTCAATGTAAACTAAAACAGCTCGACCACAGCTGGCAGAGAACCTGACAGAGAACCTACAGCTTTCATAAAAGTCGGATTTTGTGGGGATTTTAGTGTCTCTTGTCGTTGTCAACTTTTCTTTCCTCTTAAATCCTCTGGCTCTAGCTCCGCTCTAGCTCCGCTCTGATTGGTCGAGCTCTGATTGGGCGAGCTCTGATTGGGCGAACTCCCTCTGTGCACGTGCATGACAGCCACACACTTGTATTTGCCGCAAAGCCTCATGGGAGCTCGTCCACTGTTCAGAACCAGAAGACCAGAGAAATGACCAAATATGGGCGAGTTCCTCTAATCTTTCAGTCCCCATGGCGACACTTGCACTACTGAGCTCAAGCCACTGATTCGTACAGGCCGCCATCTTGGATCAGCAGGGTTTGTGGGTAAAACCAGTCTGAGTGAAACTGTTGCAGTTCAGATGAATGAGGGATGCAGTTATAGAACAATATCAGCAGGAAATACGTGTGTTTCCACTTTGTTCCAGGGAGCAACAGAGAAGTTGTGTCGGTCTTATGAGGACCAGCTGACAGAGAGTCGGAATCGAGTGGACGACCTCCAGAGACAATTAACAGAAGTGTCTGCGCACAAGGCCCGTGCCGTCACAGAAACCGGTATCACTACAGTTACACCGTTTTACAATACGATACAATGCAATACAATACATCATGATACGATACGATACAATACAATACATCACGATACGATACAATACAATACATCACGATACGATACAATACAATACATCACGATACGATACAATACAATACAATACATCACAATAATGCATCGGTTTTATATAGCGCTTTTTTGGACACTCAAAGACGCTTCACATGTGTCATTATTCATTCACTCCAAACACGGTGGTGATAAACTACTACTGTGGCCACAGCTGCCCTGGGGCACACTGACAGAAGCGAGGCAACCAGTATGCGCCATTGGCCCCTCCGACCACCACCAACACCAGACTCATTCTTGGCAATGGGGGTGAAGTCTCTTGCCTAAGGACACAACGACAGTAGTCAGTGGGAGTCGATGGTGAAAGTCTTGAGCGGGGCTTGAACCCACGACCTTCCCAGAGGTTAAGTGTCTTGCCAAGGACACAACGACAGTAGTCAGTGGGAGTCAATGGTGAAAGTCTTGAGCGGGGCTTGAACCCACGACCTTCTGGCTCAAAGGCCAACGCTCTACCAACTGAGCTACTGCCGCCCTAGATATGATACAATACAATACACTACATAACAATACATCACAATACATCACGATATGATACGATACAATACGAAACAATACAATGCACTACATTACAATACAACACAACACCGAGTCACATAGTTTTGCTGGTTTAGATTGCATTAACGTAGAACCATGTGTGGCGTGTTGTTGCAGCCGAGTACAGTCGACGCCTGGAAGAACGAGATGCTCTGGTTGGTCAGCTCCAGCGTTCAAAGGCGGGACTAACTCAGAACTCTGATGATTTAAAGAGACAGCTGGAAGAAGAGAGCAAAGTAAGTGCTGGACGAGCCCGTGTTTGAAGCAGAGCTAATTTTGTTGATGAAATATTATCGTCAAGCTTCGAGGTGATTAATTTGCTCTACCGCCATCATGTGGACAAAAATATGTAAAACACCTAAATTAAATGGTGGGTCTGAAACATCTACAGTTGATCTACAATGATATTATATACAAATATTATTATATAGAAACAATGAAATTATATAAAAACAAGATTACTAGTTACCCGTGTGGTGACAATACTGTACGAGTTTGAACAAAAATTTCCCTATCATGAGCAACATGTTTCATTAAATTTTAGTCAACTAAAATTGGACTAAAACTAAATTAAATAATTTGACTAAATTTGGACTGGAATTTGGACCAAAACTCATATAATTTTTAGTCAAAAAACTAAGATTAAGAGAAAATTTGAATTTCTTGTCAGAGCTAACACAGGTCTGAATCAGTATCTCTGTAGTGTATGATCAGTCATGTCTGCTGTGTCTATACTCATCTCTCTTGTTGCCTCAGGCTCGTGTGGCTCTCGCTCACGCTGTCCAGTCCTCGCGGCACAACTGCAGTCTCCTCCGGGAGCAGCTGGAGGAGGAGCAGGAGGCCCGGGCCGAGCTCCAGAGGGCGATGTCTAAGGCAAACAGCCAGGTGGCTCAGTGGAGAACCAAGTATGAGACTGAGGCAGTGCTGAGGATCGAGGAGCTAGAAGAGGCCAAGTAAGAACAGATCTGATCCAGGCTTAGAAAGTTCTTTGATCAGACAAAAGATGAAAAGAAGCTAGAAATACTTAAATTTACCGACATCCACTTTGCCGTACCATTGTATTTTTTTCTCAACCAGAGAAAAAGTACAATGTCATTTAGGAAATACCATGTAGAAGCTGCGATAAAACACAAATAGGAGAAACAGGAAGAGCTCTCGGGACCAGAAAGAAGGAACATCAAAAGAAATGTGAAAAAAGAAACAGCAGCGCGACTAATAAGATCAACCAAGGACAAAGCAACACAGGAAAATCTCAAATGAGCAATATCGGTCCACTGCTAAAGAGAAAATCACAGAATGGACTGGGGCAGAGCAAAAATGTAAGGAACAGAAAGACATAAATACAAAAGATGGAAACAAGAGGCGATTGAAATCAAGAAGCAGGGCGCAGGGACCATCAACAGAGACGAGGGGGCTTTCACCTTGGCACACACTTCTCATGAGACCACAAGGGGGCATGGCCAGTATTAGGGGGCGTGGCCAGTCTGACATATCTGTGAGACTGACCGCATCCGGTAACAACAGCTGATCAGAGCTGTCTCAACATCACGTGACTTAAGCAGTGCGAGCTTCCTTAAACTTTTGTCTTATTACAGGCATGTCGTAACTCAGGCCCGGGGGCCAATTGCGGCCCTCTGTGTCATTTTATACGGCCCTCTGCCTTGCTAACCCACATTCTATTTCTCTGGAATCCGTTGACTTTTTGACTAAACTAACACTTATTTTGTATTGTATGGTGCTGATGTATCTGGTGATTAAACCTTTGTCATTCAGCCAACTTCAGCTCTGTCGAAGATTAACCAATAACCACTTTACACCTAATCTTAAAGCTCTGAACATACTTGACCCGGTTTACCCATGTTGTCAGCCCTTGGGCATTTTTGGTGAACCAAAGTGGTCCCTTTACTAAAAAGTTTGGACACCCCTCATTGACTGCCATTGACGTATTTGTCTGAGACCCTCTATTCGACTGGGGATTACAGGACAATAAAAATTGCTAAAAACAAACTTATTTTTGCTGATGAAAGAAGACAATCCAGTCTTTCAGAATCTGGTTTCATATTTCACATACTCTTAGGAAATAATATTCTGTGGGTCTTGAGAAACAGTGAAATCATCAAAAATGGCTCGCAGTTAATGAGTCAAAAAGAACCTGCTAAGACTTAAACATTAGTTAATTTATTATTTTTCTACCACTTTATTATTGCGTTTCTGCCACTCAAAGGCTCATAGCACCAGTAACTTAAACATATGAAGACAAAATTAACTTTTCACATTTATCTGACCCAGTTACCTTGCTGTGTTCTCTCCTAATGCTTGTGGGTTTCAGGAAGAAGCTGGTGTTGAAGCTGCAGTCTCTGGAGGAAGCTGTGGAGTCTTCTCAGGCCAAATGCTGCTCTTTAGATAAAAGCAAGCTCAGACTGCAGACCGAGATTGAGGACGTAGTCATGGAACTAGAGAAATCTAACGCCAACGCTTTAGCCCTGGACAAAAAGAGCAGAAACTTTGAGAAGGTAAAGAACACTGTCTACTCCCTCATTATTAGTTTGCCTTGTTCTTACTCTTATTTCTGTGATCAGTTACTGACAGAGGCAAAGCAACGTTTCGACGAGAGTCAGAGTGAGCTGGAGGTCTCTCAGAAGGAGTCCCGCAGTCTCAGCACTGAACTATTCAAGCTGAAGACCTGCTACGAAGAGGCGCTGGAACAACTGGAGACAGTCAAACGGGAAAACAAAAACCTTCAGGGTACAACAGCACAACTTGAATATGTACCAACCGATAACAACTTGTCTTTTGTTAATATATATATGTTTCTTGGCGGCTTCAGTTTCCCATTTTCCTTCAGCTTCACGCAGTCACTGTCACCGCCCCTTGTTTCTATAACGTCCAATGAGATTCTTTGGTAAAGGATTTTCTCGCAGCTCTTGAAATCTCACTGAACCCTTTTTCTGATACGGTCAATTACCGCCACACGACCGCCGTCATATTCTTGGTTTCTTCTACTGAGGAAAGTGCACAGACGCCCTCTACTGGTGGCTCTTCACACGCGCCACCATCAACCAATGTCATTTTTATTTACCGATGGTCGTTAACAAGCCAAACATCTATCGATACCGGTGTTCAGACGAAACATCGGTGCACCCCTAGTGTCAACCAAGACGCTAAACCGCAGTTTGATAAATCTCAAAGTTCAAGGGCTGAACTTACAGAAAGAGAAGATAGTTTCATATTTAGCTGCATATTATCTGAAATTCTTAAAGATTGATACACAAGCTGGTTTTCTCTAAATTACTGTGTTTTTCAGAGTATTAAGTCGCACCAGCCAAAACTGCATCGTAAAAAAGAAAAATTGCATTAGAGTATAAGTCGCATTTTGGGGGAAATTTTAATTGATTAGATCCAACACCAAGAATAGACATTTCATCTTAAGGCAATTTAAGATAAAAAATGGAATAGGGAACAACAGGCTGAATAAGTGTACGTTAAATGAGGCATATGAGGTTTGTTAACGTATGATGCCTGCGGGTTTTGATCAACCAAAATACATGTACTAAAACAAATAAACACACTCCAAAATGTAAAACGTGCCGTCGGCGAGCCACGTATTTTCAATAGCGTTATCGCTCACTTTAATAACCCGGGTTATTGTTTGATATTTTACAACAAAATAAAATAAAAAATTCCACTATAAAATGTAATAATTTCACACATAAGTCGCACCTCCGGCCAAACTATGACTTGTAATCCAAAAAATACATTAGAACCATCTTCTCTGAGTAAATGACATAGTCCCTTTGAGTGACTGTTTGATTTCTAAAAAACACCACTTTTCCTGTGTTTTCATCAAGACCTGTTACAGACTAAAATAATAAATATAAAAATATGAATCAAGAATTGTTTGATAAAGATGTATCTGATTTTGATTGCAGAAAGTGACCAATCCTTTTCAGTGGATCCTCTTCCATGCAACAGGACTTTAATGAATTCATTCTAACTGACCTTAGGTTTTTACTAAATGATAATGAATACAAAAGCACAAGATGAAGGTTTTTATTAAGTCATGCAACCTACTCACTGCTCTGTTATTGGCCTAGAGGAGATTATGGACCTCACAGATCACCTGAGCAGTGAGGGGAAGACCATTATGGAGCTGGAGAGGATGAAGAAGGTTCTAGATATGGAGAAGAGTGATATCAAGACTGCCCTGGAAGACGCAGAGGTATCGTTTTACTGTATTTTGAAAAACTAAATGCAATGATGGCTTTTATTATGTATTATTAGTTTAGTGTGGGCGGGTCCTGGCTCCAAAAGGTCCCTGAGCACGTGTCCTGACATGCTGCAATCTCACTCTGGGCTGGTGGTGGGGGTGTACCCGGAAAGAGAATTACCCAATGCTTTTGTATAGTGTCTTTTTTTTTTTTTTTTTTTTTTTTAAGATGGCGCCTCGTACGGTCGACATGGCTCTTTGCTGCTCTCTTTTTCTTTTGTTTTTACTTTTTAACTGTGCATCTGGCTGTTCCTACACCCGTGAGGAACTTATGAACATCCGACCCACCGTTCCCATGGACCTATTGCCTGTTTTCTTGGCATCTGCGGCTGATTTAGTTCATGTTCTAGCCAAAAAAGTGTGGGCCCGTAAAAGGGGAAAGCGAGGAGGCCTGCTCGTGCGTCTTAGGAGGAGAGGAGCGCGCACGGCTCTCCCCGGCATTTTTCTCTCCAACGTACGCTCACTGGGCAATAAGATGGACGAACTCAGCCTGCTCATGAGAAGAAACAAGGACTTCGCCACATCCTGTGTCCTCTGCTTCACTGAGACCTGGCTAAATGAGCGGATCCCGGACTGCGCTCTGGAGCTGCAGGGCTTTGGGCTGTTCCGCGGGGATCGCCATTGTGCGCTCTCAGGGAAGAGCAGAGGCGGAGGGCTCTGTTTCTACGTCAATACAAACTGGTGTAACGATGTGACAGTGATCTCCAAGCACTGCTCTCCTGCTCTGGAATATCTTTTCATTCATTGTAAACCATATTACTCCCCGCGGGAAATTGTTTCATTCATTCTTGCCTCTGTTTACATACCGCCATGCGCGGACGCGCGCGAGGCTCAGCGCGCACTCGCAGAGCAAGTACTGTGTATGGAACGCTTATACCCGGACTCTCTGATTATTATCCTGGGGGATTTTAATAAGGGAAACTTGAGCCAGGAATTACCCAAATACAGACAGTTTATCAAATGCCCGACCAGAGAGGAGAACACTCTGGATCACTGCTACACCACTGTGCGCGGAGCTTTTCGCGCTGTTCCCAAGCCAGCCCTCGGCTTCTCAGATCACTCCATGATACATCTGGTTCCTGCTTACAGACAGAGTCTAAAGCTCTCGAAACCTGCAGTGAGGAGCTCCAAAGTGTGGTCTGATGAAGCTGTGGAAGAGCTGCGCGCATGCATGGAATCTACAGACTGGGACCTTTTTAGAGCTGCCACAGACAGCTTGGATGAATATACGGACACTGTGACGTCATACATCCACTTCTGTGAGGATAGCATCATTCCAACAAGGACCAGGGTCATCTATAACAACGACAAACCCTGGTTCACTGCTAAACTCCGGCAGCTCAGGAAAGCAAAGGAGTCTGCTTTCAGGGAGGGGGACCGCAGCGGCTACAAAGCAGCTAAATATCAGTTCAGGAAAGAACTGAAAGCAGCCAAGTCCCGGCACAGAGAACGACTACAGGAGCAGTTTGGTAACAACGATACTGCTTCTGTCTGGAGGGGCCTACGGGAGATCACCAACTACAAACCCAAAGCCCCCCCCTGTGCTGATGACCACAAGCTAGCTGACGATCTGAACTTATTTTTCAGTCGCTTTGATGCTGCCCCTGACACATCTCCCTCCCCCACCCCCCACTACTCTAACGACCCACCCATCAGCCCTGCCCCCAGCCTAACAATAGCCGCTAAAGAGATTAAACAACTCTTCCTGAGGCTGCACCCCCGCAAAGCTCCTGGCCCGGACCACGTGTCTCCGGCCACTCTGAGACACTGCGCCAGTGAGCTTACTCCTGTGTTCACGGACATTTTCAACACCTCTCTGCAGTCCTGCCATGTCCCGGCCTGCTTCAAATCCTCCATCATTGTCCCCGTCCCGAAGAAGCCCAGGATCACAGGACTCAATGACTACAGACCTGTAGCACTTACGTCTGTCGTCATGAAGTCATTTGAACGCCTGGTTCTCTCCCATCTCAAGTCCCTCACCTCCCCCCTCCTGGACCCCCTGCAGTTCGCCTACAGAGCCAACAGATCTGTAGACGACGCCATTAACCTGGCCCTCCACCACATCCTACAGCACCTGGACTCCCCGGGGACCTACGCCAGGGTCCTGTTCGTGGACTTCAGCTCTGCCTTCAACACAATCCTGCCATCCCTGCTCCAGGACAAGCTCTCCCAGCTCAACGTGCCCGATTCCACCTGCAGGTGGATCACTGACTTCCTGACGGACAGGAAGCAGCGAGTGCGTCTGGGGAAGAATGTCTCGGACTCTCGGATTATAAATACAGGAGCCCCACAGGGCTGTGTTCTTTCTCCCCTGCTCTTCTCCCTGTACACCAACCACTGCACCTCCAGCCACGACTCCGTGAAGCTGATCAAGTTCGCGGACGACACCACCCTCATTGGACTCATCTCCAACAACGACGAGTCCGCCTACAGGAGGGAGGTGGACCGGCTGGTGTCCTGGTGCAGTGGTAACAACCTGGAGCTGAACGCCCAGAAGACAGTGGAGATGATTGTGGACTTCAGGAAGAGCACTGTCCCCCCGCCCCCACCCTCCGTGATGGACTCCCCCATCACCTCTGTGGAGTCCTTCCGTTTCCTGGGCACCACCATCACCCAGGACCTCAAGTGGGAGCCGACCATCAGCTCCCTCATCAAGAAGGCCCAGCAGAGGATGTACTTCCTGCGGCAGCTCAGGAAAGCCAAGCTGCCTGCACAGATGTTGGTGCAGTTCTACACGGCCATCATCGAGTCCATCCTCACCTCCTCCATCACCGTGTGGTTCGCTGGAGCCACAGTCAGGGACAAACAGAGACTACAGCGCATTGTGCGCTCTGCAAGAGGAAGTGATCGGCCGCAGCCTTCCATCGCTGCAGGACCTGTACGTCGCCCGAGCTCGAGGCCGGGCTGGTCGTATCACAGCCGACCCCTCTCACCCTGCACATGGACTATTCCAACCACTCCCCTCAGGCAGGAGGCTGCGGTCCATCAGGACTAGAACCTCCCGCCACAAGAACAGTTTCTTCCCCTCTGCTGTTGGACTCTTGAACACTTCTTAACCTGTCCCCCCGCCTTTTATAAAGTCACTTTACTGCCCATCATACGTCACTTTACTTCACTGTACTGCTGTCACCTTACATTGTGTGCACCATGTGCACTTGTATATTGTAAATAGTAACTGTAACTCTATTTTAAATTTAAATTTATTCTTAGAAGTGTTTTTTATTCTTATTTTTATTATCTCTTTTTGACTGTTGCACTGAGCCAAAGCAATTTCCAAGTCTGTGACCTCCCGTTACTTACGTTGGCAATAAAAATGATTCTGATTCTGATTCTGATTCTGATTCTGATTCTTACCTCTGGAAAACGTCTTTACAGGATGATCCAAAAGTGGCTCGGTCCGAAAGTGGCTCTTAGTTCAAAAGTTGCTCTTGGTCCAAAAGTTGCTCTTGGTCCAAAAGTGGCTCTTGGTCCAAAAGTGGCTCTTGGTCCAAAAGTGGTTCTTGGTCCAAAAGTGGCTCTTGGTCCGGAAGTGGCTCTTGGTCTAAAAGTGGTTCTTGGTCCAAAAGGGGCTCTTGGTTCAAAAGTGGCCCTTGGTCCAAAAGTGGCTCTTGGTCCAAAAGTGGTTCTTGGTCCAAAAGTGGCTCTTGGTCCAAAAGTGGTTCTTGGTCCAAAAGTGGATCTTGGTCCAAAAGTGGCTCTTGGTCCAAAAGTGGCCCTTGGTCCAAAAGTGGCTCGGTCCAAAAGTGGCTCTTGGTCCAAAAGTGGCTCTTGGTCCAAAGCTACGTTCCAGATGCTGTCGATGTTGAGTATTTTTTTTGGACCAGTCTAGTTTAGCCGTTGTGGACTTTTGAATGCACTCGTTAAATGAATGGGGCTAGTGCAGCTAACACATGCACAAATGTGTTTTTGAAAAAGCCACACAAGGCAAAAGTGATGTCACATTAGCTTAAACAGCGGAGATAGATGTGACTACGTCTGTTAAAGGAGCAATATGTAATATTTGCATGTCAAGTCATCATTAAATGACCCAAATATTTCAAAAGGCGTTATTAAATCATACTCTTTTCGAATTCATCTTTAACTGATAACAGTAGTTCAGCCGAGATATTTGATCATCAAAATTAGTTTTACGACCCGTAAAAGTTGTTATTGTTTTGATTTTGATGTCCTACCCTCCGCCGTTTCGCCAATCAGGAAGTGTCATGTAAGTCCGTGATCGAGTTGCTAGAACTCCGCGCGGCTCATTAATCTCAGTGGTAAAATAACATGTGGCGTAGAACTAAAAAAGGTCTTGTTATGACTCTCAAATAATTAATGACAAAACAAAGACTAAAACGAGGATTTATATCGGGATGCCTTTGAACAATTGAAACAGCTGATAAAAGTTTACGTGTCATGCAGAATTCACGGTATCTCCGTTCGTGTGAACCGGTGGTTTAGCGGTCTAAGCTGCGCGCTTACGATGCAGGAACCCGGGTTCGATCCTGGGCTATGTCTTTTTGTATTTATTGCATGTGATCACATTCTATGACACATTGCTCTAAAAACGGTAAAAGATGAAGGTCAAGACGTTTTTTTGCAGATTATAGCTTAATTGTAAAAATAATCATTTAAGACCACATGTACCCCAATTAAAATAATGTTAGTCTCTTTTTGATGTGGGACTTTTACATGTTTGTCTAAAAAATAGGGAATAAATAAAATTGAAAGGTGATATCCTCTTGAGCAAACCCTGATGTTGATACGCTGAAGAAATACGTTCCAACATCCATTCTTCCCACTCCTATTTTGGACATCAATTTCTTATTTATTTTGCATAAACTATGTATAATTACATTACATAATAACAATGTAATGTAATGAAAAACATTCATTCAGCATTAGCACGGCTGTCATGGCAATGTGAATGGAGACGGACAAACAACTGATAAAATAATTCCCTGTGTTTGCTGCTGGATTTGGTGTGAATCTGGCAACCTGAGTCAGGGAGAGTGGGAGAGGACTACAAAATATTGACTGTGACTGCAGTACCACTTTTGGCCAGATTTTTACATATTGCTCCTTTAATATTTACAATCTATATTTTAATCAGATATTTTTGGGCGCACACTCACAAAACAATGTCAAAATGAAAGTCTTGCAGCTGTTATGACAATGTTGTGATTGTCTGACCAGGGAACTCTGGAGCATGAGGAGACAAAGACAATCAGAGTCCAGATGGAGCTGCACCAAGTGAGGTCAGAGATCGAACGCAAGATTTCAGAAAAGGACGAGGAGATTGACAACCTGCGGTACTACCTCTTACTGATGCTTAAATATGTGTTTTGCCTGAAGCTTGGGCCACAAATATAATCATAAAAGGACGTTGTGTAAAAAGTATTTGTTTTATCTGAACTATAAGGAGGAGCCAGCAGAAGGCCCTGGAGACCCTGCAGTCCAGTCTGGAAGCTGAGTGCCGAAGTCGCAGTGAAGCGCAAAGACAGAAGAAGAAACTGGAGTCAGAGCTCAACGAGATGGAGGTCCAAATGAGTCACGCTCACCGACAGGCCGCAGAGAGCCAGAGGGTCATCCGGGAGCTGCAGACTCAGGTAACTTCTCATGGACCTCCTCCACTGAATCCAGATCCAGACCCTCTCTTTTAAACCAGAACCTATAAAAGGGACCAAACCCTTGAAATGCATGATGTCCTCTCTCAGGTGAAGGAGCAGCAGCTTGACTTGGAGGAGAAGCTTCAGGCCTCAAATCAGCTGAAGGAGCAAATCGCGCTGCTGGAACGCCGCTGTTCTCTGATGACTGCAGAGAAGGAGGAGCTGAAGGGAGTGCTGGACCTGACTGACCGATCCAGGAGGAGCGCCGAGCATGAGCTGGTGGAGGTGTCTGAACGGGTCAACCTGCTGAGCTCTCAGGTACAGCACCGTGACTGACTGAGAGCCACCCAAACTATCTGAGGGTGTTTACTGTATAGTCTGGTTCTTTGTATTTAGAACACAAGCCTGGTGAACCATAAGCGGAAACTTGAGACTGATGTTTCTCAGCTCTGTGGAGAAGTGGATGAGGTTCTGACCGAGTCCAAGAATACAGAAGAAAAGGCCAAAAAGGCAATCACAGATGTAAGTCTTATTTAACTAATTGTCTTCTAGCCGTTTTTGATGATTTCACTGATTCTCAAGACCCACAGAATTCTAAGTGCTATGACTATGTGAAATATGAGACCAGATTCTGAAAGACTGGGCTGTCTACTTTCATCAGCAAAAATAAGTTTGTTTCTAGCTAGTTTTGTTCTCCTGTAATCCCCAGTCAAAGAGAGGGAAGTCTGACAGAAATCCCCGTCAATGGCAGCCAATGAGTTAACTGCAGTCACTCAACTACTGCACTACTGTGTGTTCTACCGCCTCCTGCCGACAAGCTGGTGTTTATGGTTGACTTTTCTGCCTCTGGGGTATAGGCAGCACTGATGGCCGAAGAGCTGAAGAAGGAGCAGGACAGCAGTGTTCTCCTGGAGCGATTAAAGAAGAACATGGAGGTGACGGTGAAAGAGTTGCAGCTCAAATTGGACGAGACCGAGCAGATGGCTCTGAAAGGAGGCAAGAAACAACTGTTCAAGCTGGAAAACCGCGTAAGTAACTGAACGCAGGTTAAAGTGCTCTGTGGCATTTCTACAGTAGCTCCAAATGAAAAAACATGCTAACAATTGTGACGTTTTTTATTTATTACCTCCACCATGTTTTTGACTTGTTGTCGTAGGCTTAGAATTGGATTTATAAATGTCCATGAGGCTGAGGACTCTGTTTCAGGGGTCTCCAACCTGAAGCTCCAGAGCCAACGGTAGCTCGCCACTCCCTTCCAAGTAGCTCACCAAAGGATTTAGAAATTAATAAATCAAATAATATACTTCATATTTCAGATGGTATTATTCACTCTCATTATTTATTTTTGTAAATGCGCTTACTTTGTCACTAGTAACAAATATGTGATAAATATACATAGAATAATATATGAAAAATAATGACTGTACCTGATGCCAATATATTTAAAACAATGTCCCCAGGGACGCTAAAAGGAGTAGCTCTCTACCTTTATTGTCATGGGAAAGTAGCTCTCTGGGTGAAAACGGTTGGAGACGCCTGCTCTTGAAATACAGTAGTTGATAAGGGACAAAAAGGAGTTTGAGCGGGAGGTCAGAACCATTGTCAAAGACCACATATTGTCCTGTGAAGCCACCGTAGTTCCGTAAATTGTAATCTATGATCTGACTGCTAGATGGGAGTAAAAACAACACAGTGAACCTGAAAATGTACAATAAAAAGCTGGACACAGACCAGACTAGAATACAGACAGAATTAGCCCGATTTCAGTTTGGGATGCTTCTGATACAATTGAGTTTTCTTGAAGGCGTAAAAGGTTCTCATGAAAAGAATGGTCTCTAGAGAAGTGAGTCCCAAGTGTGAGCCAAGGTGTAAGCCCCCTCATCTCTGTCCATGGTCCGTGCTCCCCGCTTCCTGAATTCATTTGCTTGTCGTATCCATCTTTTTTATTTAGTCCTTCCGTTCCTACTATTTTTGCCTTGTCCCAGTCCATATGATTTTGTCTTTTGCAGTGCTCAGATATTTGCTTTTTCCTTAGTTGATCTCGTTGGTCTCGCTGCCGTGATGGTCACCAGGGGAGCAGAAACCACACTGGTTCTGAGTCTGATCCCGACCCTCTCTCTTTGCAGGTGCGAGAACTGCAAACAGAGCTCATGGTGGAACAGAAGAAGAGTGAGGAGTACCACAAAGGAGTGAGACGCTACGAGAAGCGGCTTAAAGAACTGAACTCTCAGGTAGAGAATGACTTTTATACTTTTAAGAGTTTTTTAGGGTCTAACACGAAGAACTGGGGTGATGATCCAGGACACTTTAACATGCTACAACATGTATGACATTTATCGACATTCATGGACATTGGTCTCTCCCTATGGTCCAATACCATGTGGTCTCTCCCTATGGTTGAATACCATGTGGTCTCTCCCTATGGTCCAATACCATGTGTTCTATATTGTCTATGTTGGAACTGTTTGATTCTCTGAGCTGTGTTGGCAATTTCTACGGTTTTGATTTTTATGTCAAGTCATCATTAAAGGGCCCTAATCTGTCATCAATAAAGGGCCCTAATCTGTCATCATTAAAGGGCCCTAATCTGTCATCATTAAAGGGCCCTAATCTGTCATCATTAAAGGGCCCTAATCTGGCTGAGTGGATAGCACTCTCGCCTCTCAGCAAGAAGGTCCTGGGTTCGAATCCCGGCCGGACCAGGGCCTTTCTGAGTGGAGTTTGCATGTTCTCCCCGTGTCTGCGTAGGTTTCCTCCGGGTACTCCGGTTTCCCCTACCACTAAAAATATGTACAATAGGTCTGGCATGCGCCTCCTGTTCGGCGACCCCGCTCCCATCTCTGTGTGGAGTGAGAGGACAAATGCCCAAAAAATAACAATTGTAAACCGCTTTGTGACTCTGGTCTGTGAAAGGCGGTATATAAATAAAGCTTACTACTACTACTAATCTGTCATCATTATAGGGCCCTAACCTGTCATCATTAAAGGGGCCTAATCTGTCATCATTAAAGGGGCCTAATCTGTCATCATTAAAGGGCCCTTATCTGTCATCATTAAAGGGCCTTAATCTGTTTTAATAATAAACTGTGAAGAAGATGACATAGTCTGGGATCGCGTCTTTAATTCAGACAGAAGACATGTTTTATTGTCGATGGTAGAGACAGCACGAACAGAGCACACGATCACAGATACAACAGAATGCAAGTGTATTATACAGAGCGGAGGCATGGAGACCTCCAATCAGCAGCTGCCACGGTGTGCTTGTAGCTTGGCCTTCAGATAGACAAAACAAGGGAAGAGTACTGGCTTCTGCACATTGATAGAATGATGAGTTTAACTTTAACAAAAGTTGCTTAAAAGTGTTATGAAATCTCACATTCCCCCCTCTGGTCATACATTCACGTGTGACCATCAGGATCGATAAACAGCAACATAACATCATATCTCAATACTTCAAAAACTCATAAACTCGGTACTTCAAAAAACTCAGAACTCGGAATACTTCAAAAACTCAGAAAACTCATAAAACATGTTCAGATCTTTCATAAAACTTGTCAACAATCTTCAGTAAAATACCAAACTTCATCAGTCGATGGTGGTTCCAGATATTGCTTTGAAAACAGTCTCTCCCACTTCTCCGTGTTGGTTTCTTCAGCTGCATTTGTGTCGAGCCATGAATTCTTCTGTGACGTGTCTTTCAATCACACGTTTCAGCTTCAGTGTCCAGATTCAGCAATTCAATTCAGTCCAAATTATGTCCAAATTCAGAAATCCAGATTGTTCCAAATTATGTCCTTGCAAAAGAGGACGATGGTATTGTCCATGTCTCAGCAGCTCACAGCCTGACTGGAATCAGGGGCTGTGCAGATTGTCCATGTGCTGGTCCAGATGCATTGTTTCTCTTGAGGTTTTTCAGTTTTGGCTTAAAAAAAAAACACTTTTTGTGTAAAAAAAAAAAGTAGTCTTCTGTTCTCTAGATGTTACAGACAAGGCCCGCATTCTCCACCACCTGAAGAAGATGGCATAGTCTGGGATCGCGTCTTTAATTCAGACAGAAGACATGTTTTATTGTCGATGGTAGAGACAGCACGAACAGAGCACACGATCACAGATACAATAGAATGCAAGTGTATTATACAGAGCGGAGGCATGGAGACCTCCAATCAGCAGCTGCCACGGTGCCATGTAGCTTGGCCTTCAGATAGACAAACCAAGGGAAGAGTACTGGCTTCTGCACATTGATAGAATGATGAGTTTAACTTTAACAAAAGTTGCTTAAAAGTGTTATGAAATCTCACAACTGCTCTTTTCCAATACTTCTTTAACTGATAACAGTAGTTCAGAGATATTTTAATTTCTAAATTACTTTTCCAGCCCCTAAATCTTGTTATTGTTTTCATTTTGATGTCCCGCCCTCCACCGTTTCACCAATCAGAAAGTCTGTGATCCGGGCGCCAGAACTCACCGTGTGGAGCTAATCTCACTGGTAAAGTACCATGTGGCGCAGAACTAAAAAAGGTCTCGTTATGATTCTCAAATCATTTACGACAAAACAAGGAATAAAGCCAGGATTTCTATCTTTGTGAAAAAGGTGTTGGTTATAGATTTGTTGTTGACAAAACTCTTGTCTATTCAGCTGTTATGGTCCCAGCTGGATTCGTCTGCATATCTGGCAACCTGAGTCAGGGAGAGTGGGAGAGGCTGCAGTACCACTTTTGGACACATTTTTACATACTGCTCCTAAATTCTTTGAGACATTGTTGTGATTAAGGGCGATACAAGAATACATTGAATTGAATGGATCACTAATACTACATCTGGGATTACTAACACGACCACAGCGACTGCATCAATATCAGAGGAGAAACGTGATTTGTGTGTTTTCTAGTCTGAAGAAGATCGGAAGACTCTGCTGAGGATGCAGGAGCTGGTGGACAAACTTCAATCTAAAGTGAAGAGCTTCAAGAGACAAGCGGATCACTCTGTCAGTACAACTACAGCACAGCACACATTAGATACACTGCTTCACTAACGACTGTTGTTCTTCTGCTGTCCACCAGGAGGAGCAGATCAGCTCCAACGTGGTACGCTACCGGAAGATCCAGCACGAATTAGACGATGCAGAAGAGCGAGCGGAGATTGCAGAAACTACTGTGAACAAACTGCGAATCAGAACCAGAGAGCAGACCGTCAAAGCCACAGCACAGGTACACAGACCAGGCACCTGCAGAACGGGTTAGCTAGAAGGTCCTGGGTTCGAATCCCGCTCTGAACAGGGTCTTTCTGAGTGGAGTTGGCATGTTCTCCTCATGTGTGTGTAGGTTTTCTCCGCGTGCTCCAGTTTCACCTGCCACTAAAAACATGCACAATTGGTCTGAATGGAATGAGTGAGAGAATGGAGGGTGTTTGGTCGGAGGTTTTGATGGACCAGTGTGTTCGGATCCCGCTTCTGTCATCACCGTGTGGAGAGAATGGACAAATATCTGACCTTGGTCTGTAAAAATGCGCTTTATAAATACAGATTACTTACTCACTCACTCACTTACTTACTTTTTATCTCGGTAGTGCTAAATACTTTAAGAGTCCCTCAAAAATACACATGTGTGGACTTATCTGTATTTTTAAGATGACAAAACTTTGGTCTTGTTTTGTTTTGTCCTATGGTCACAATCCAATCCACTTTGTTTTTACAGCACATTTTCTAAAACACGTTTCCAAAGTGAAAAGTCTGCCAGCTTTAAATAAAAACAATTAAAATAAAGTAAAATCTAGTAAAACAAAATTCAAGTATCGCACAAATCCGTCTGTTTTCAGATGTAGGGCTGTTGTAGTTATTCTAGTTTTTTATCTAGGATGACAGGGACAGTGTACGATAAACACTAAACTCAAATGGAAAGATTCTTTGTACCAGGTTTTACTTCCAGAGCTAAATTCCAACCATAGTCCCTGAGTTGATGGTATGATATTACATTAAAATAACAAACACATGGATATACAGTTTAAAATCATTAAGCACCAAAGTCTAGCTCAGCATAACCTGCACATGACATTTTGAAGACGATTCCTCTTGTAAACGATTGTTCTTTTGTGTTTTGTGTATTTTTGTTTTTGTGTGAGCTCGGGACTGCGGATGTAAATGAGCAGTTTCGCTATAATCTGTCTTGTATATGATTGTTCTTTAATGTGTGTTGTCCCGATCACATAAATAACACTGGGTAACAAAATAATATGATTTGAAAATAGTCCAGGGTTTTCAGATGAATCAGACTAATGTTGATGCTCCGTGTCCGAAAATGACCTTGGTTTTGCTCAATCAGGTCAGGATTTTTGCGTAAAAAACACATTTCTGCGGATCATCAGCTGAGAAACCCTTGACGTTTTTTCCGTTTTCCTCAAGAAATAAAAGTCAACGTATCCAAAGTCATTCAGTTTTTATTTACTCCATCAAATTTGATAAGCAGCATTCATAATAACGTAGACATAATCCGTAACACTATGGCTGTATCTCAAAAAGTTGACCTGATAGAGAAAAATGCATGTGATATTCGGACTCAGAACACCAACATTAGTCTGAATCAGTTGAGAAACCCCTGAACATTTTTTGGCTGTCAACTTGTGTTATTAGTAAATAAACAGACAATGGTCATGGTTTGAAAAATACACAAAATTTCAAGTTTTTTGTAAATAAACTGTTTTTTTTCTTGTTTCCACAGATTGCCGAGTGAAAATGGCTGCCGTGTTTTCTTTTCTTTTCTTTATGGATTGAATATTGAGATTTGTTCTGTTTCTTCTGAGTGTATTCTGAGATTTAAGGTCAAAATATTTGGCAAAAAGATGAATATTATTTTGTCAAACTTATCTTCATATTCAGTTTGTGGCTGCATTATTTAAAACAGCAGAGTGCGGTGCTTCGTGAGTGCACAGTTTGATTTAAGCTCTATATTTTAAATGGAAAGACAGTAGAAAAAGCATGTGTTTTGAAAAACTGGGTGTGACTTTAATAAAAGGATTGCAATCTGACGTCTGCGTTTGTTCAGCTGAAAACAGACACACTGAATTTCTCTATTTGTACCACATTGGGGAAACTTTGGGAAAAACTAAATAAACAAGAGCTTGCACACATCAAACATGGTAAATACTAAATAATAAGATAAGAATAAGATCAAACTGGAGCTGTTATGTCACATGGTTCGGAGGGGTTTACAGATGTCGTACTTTAGCAGCAGAGAATATGAGCAGAATAAACAGTAGTAATAACAGCAGCAGGTAAAGTGACGATGGATCTGAAGTAACGTAGTGATAATAATGATTAATTCATGTTTTAATAGATTGTATATGATTTTAAAGTAAAGCACTTTGGTCGCCTGAGTGTTGTAAAGGGCTCTATAAATACAAAATTACACTGGAAATACGGGGCGACAGTGGCTCAGTTGGTAGAGCACTGGTCGTGGATTCAAGCCCAACACGACCCACGTCACCTGCTCCCACTGTTGTCTGCTGTCGTTGTGTCCCTGGGCAAGACACTTAACCCCACATTGCCTGAAGCCCCCGCTGAAAGACCAAGGCCATAGTCGATGACAGAGAAGCCATCTTCCCGTGGACCCACCACCGGCAGGAGGATCAGAGGGACTGGTGCATTGAGACCCCGACCCAGAAATGGATTAATAAAGGGGTAGAAAATGACATTGAAAATACCTTAAATCTTAACACATTGACTGCCAGCCGTTTTTGATTTTCAAGAGCCACAGAAAATTGAGCTATGATTTATTATGTGAAATGTAGATTCTGAAAGTCTAGACTATCTTCTTTCATCAGCAAAAATACGATTGTTTCTAGCTAGTTTGTTCTCCTGTAATATCCAGTCGAATAGAGGAAAAATTGACAGAAATCACCATTCTCAGGCAAATACGTCAAGGGCAGTCACTGAGTTAATACTTGGTGCAATTCCAAACACATTTTATATAACTAATAAGGTAAAGGAAGTGTCTTTTAAAATGATTCATAAATATTACCCAGCAAATTACTATATGACAAAATTGAAAGAGACATTGATGTGAAATGTAGCTTTTGTGAAAACCCCCCCGAGACTGTTCAGCACATGTTTTGGATCTGCTCTCACACCACTTCATTCTGGAAGGACTTCAGTAGATTCATCATTGATCATATTTATAAAGATTTTTATATAAAATGGTCATTTTTGTGTATTGCTGTGTGCCTGAAAATGCAAAATGGCCTTTTTTCGATTTTCCATTTCCCTTTAAAAATAGAAATGTATTGAACGCAAAAGTACACGGACCCAGAAGCCTGCCTTTATACATTTCTATAATGATTTTTTGTTGTATATCAAATTAATAAGTGGCATAATTAACAAAAAAGCTGTAAGGACTATTAACATTTGTGCATTTCGCTTTAACCCTCTGGCTATCTGATTGTTCATTTGTATGCATGTTGTATACCTGCGCTTTTGAAGAAATAAATTAATAAAAATAAATAAAACTCGGTGCAACAATACCCGTTCCCTCCAGCAGGTGGCGCTGGGAGCGGTGATGGTTTCTAACATAAACACAACAGAAGAAGAGCGAGGACCAGGAGGTGGTGGTGGATGAATGGGCCTCCGTGCGTCTCTCAGTCGGCTCTGAGGAGCTCGGTACAGCGGCATGGGGGAGGCCGAGCTGACGCTGAACCAGGCCGAAGAGAAGCCTCCGGAGCCGGGCCTTGTTCCTGCGGAGGAGCCGGTGATCTGGAGCCATGAAGTGGAAGTCTGTCTCTTCCACGCAATGATCGGACACAAGCCCGTGGGTCAGTGCAGGATTCCCACGGTCTATAATTAACACTGTTAGCATTAGCTCGTTAGCACTCACTGTCTAAGTAATGACGATGTTCGTTTACACCATTTAACCCTAAAACATAAACCAGCAACTCCCACATGACATCAGAACACAAAGGAACATGCTCTAAACTTCTGGATAAGTGATGCATTTCTACACAGGCTGTGGTCCTTTATCAGGGATTAGTTAGCACGTGTTAGCATGGAGCTAAAAACAACAACAGGCTTCAGCTCCCAATCTACGGGTGCTTAATGTGCAATGTTTATCTAGGACTGTAAATTATAAAAGTCTAACTATTTTTCTTCCCATTCATCTATTTTATTATTATTTATTATTATTATCAAAATATCTATTTAAACTTATTTATTCTATCTTGTAAGGGGCGCGGTCTAAATGCTGTGTCCAGACTGAGCAAAGTGAAGCATTATCAAGTAAAGAAAAATTTGAAAGATTTTTCCTTTTAGAATTTAATATATAATGCTAATAAGAATTTTACATAGAAATAATACTAATATAAAGTAAAGGAAAATTGGAACCAAATGTGTATATATAACACAATGTAAGTAAGTAATGTTTATTTATATAGCGCATTTTACAGCCCAAGGTCAGACCCAAAGCACTTTCCAATGTTCAGAGTCAGATATTGTTCCAATCCTTCCACACACGGTGATGACAGAAGCGAGTCCAGAACACACTGGACCATCAAAGCCTCTGACCCAACACCATTCACTCTCTCATTCACATTCAGACCTATTGTGCATGTTTTTAGTGGTAGGGGAAACCGGAGCACCTGGAGGAAACCTACGCAGACACGGGGAGAACATGCAAACTCCACTCAGAAAGGCCCTGTTCCGACCGGGATTCGAACCCAGGACCTTCTTGCTGAGAAGCGAGAGTGCTATCCACTCATCCTCCTCTTTATATGTAAAATGAGGAATTAAAGACTTAAATGATGATAACAGTTTCAAGTACATATTTTCAAATTATTAGGTTATTTAGGTTTTTGTGTCTCCAGTCTTTTTGCTAACTTTGTGTTTAAGTAGTTAATTAAACACACATGTAGGCCTTTCTGAGTGGAGTTTCTTCTACCTAATAAAAACATTGGTAAAAATCCTCAGGCTCTGGTCCCCGGGTGCTGTTACTACGGCGACCACTGCTCCTGACAAAAGCCTCAGTGGCATCAGGGTCAAATGCAGAGGATGAAAACGAAGTGCACATTTTCCATTTACAATTGTTCTTTTTTCAGCCGTTAGATTAAGCTTGGTAATAAATGTGTGATGTTGTAGGAGTGAACCGGCACTTCCACATGATGTGCATCAGGGACAAATTCAGCCAGAACATTGGACGGCAGGTTTCCTCCGACCTGATCTGGGAACATCTGGGCACGATGTACGACATGCAGGCCCTGGTGGGTACTCCCTGATTCCACTTAGACCTGGTTTAGTCTGGGTTCAAACCAAGTCTTGTCTGTTGCAGCATGAGTCTGAAATTTTACCTTTTCCAAACCCGGAGAAGAGCTTTTCGTTACCGGAGGACATTGTCCAGGATGTCAGAGAAGGTCTCCTCAGCTATTGAACTTTTATTATACACATTTATAAAAGTAAAAGTCTAAATGTAACGAGTGGATGATGTTTTCAGGTCGAAATGAAGAGGAGCTGGAAGAGCTGAGAGTTGAGCCTCCAGTGATCGCAGAGGAAGGTAAGAGCTCATGTGTTTGTTTTCATTAGAAAACAAAAATGGTCCAGGACTCTGGACCATCAAGTAAGTAATCTTTATTTATATAGCACAGACCAGAGTCAAAGCGGTTGTGGGCATTAGTCTGTCGCTCCACACAGAGATGGGAGCGGGGCCAGTACAGGAGGCACAGACCTATTGTGCATGTTTTTAGTGGGAGGGGAAACCGGAGGAAACCTACGCAGACACAGGGAGAACATGCAAATTCCACTCAAAAAGGCCCTGTTCCGACCAGGATTCGAACCCAGACTGAGAAGCGAGAGTGCTAACCACTCAGCCACCATGCCGTCCAGGACTCGGGCTATAGATCCAAGACTCAGGCTGTAAAACGAGGCCTGAGGCCCTGAGCCTGTCGAGGACCAAGGCTGAGTGGAGCAGTGAGGGGGAAAATGCACTGTGCTTTTTTGATTGAAACGAGAGCTCAACAGTGCCCCCTTGTGCGTGACTGTGGCGTGACGGTGTGTGTGACGGTGTGTGTGATGTGTGCGTGACGGTGGCGTGACGGTGTGTGTGATGTGTGCGTGACGGTGGCGTGACGGTGTGTGTGATGTGTGCGTGACGGTGGCGTGACGGTGTGTGTGATGTGTGCGTGACGGTGGCGTGACGGTGTGTGTGATGTGTGTGTGACGGTGGCGTGACGGTGTGTGTGATGTGTGTGTGAATCTGTAGAAGTGCGGGACCACGCAGGGTGGACCTGCGGGGACCAGATGTGCTTGTTCCAATGAACCTCTGTAGCACTGCATCAGTATTTTCAGGAGGCTTTTTCACTTCATGACGGGGCCGTGTTAGCCTGGCCTTATCCATCCGTACACTCTGCTCAAGCATCATTTCACTACATGTAACGTCTGGGCCTGGTCCCCGTCTTAGCGATTACAATCGGCTGAATTTCGACCGATCAATCAGAGAGCGTGTTGTAGCTCGGTGCCGGTGACGTCAAGAGTTTGCGTCGAACGGGCAGGTTGTAGTTTGGCGAAGAATGCGATAGTAAAATAGTCTGGTCTGGTTCTATCAAGAAACTGAAGCCGGAGCAAGAGGAATGTTTAGCAAATGTAATCGCTGGTAAAGATTGTGGCGCTACTCCCCACGGGCTCTGTTAGCGGCAAAGGAGATGGCTAAAGCTAGGCTAAATGCTAAATGCTAACAACTCACTCGGGCGCATTACATACGTCACAGTAAACTCAGATCCAATCGTTTCAATCTGCAAAAGGAGTTAACCCCTCCCACCTGTTAACGGACTCAATGGAGCAGAACCAGACCTTTAGTACAGAATGTAATTTGTACTATGGTGTGGTACGGCCAGGCTTGTGCCGTGTCAATCAGGAGGTAATCAGAGCATTCATAGAACAGCTTCAGACAGAACCAGGACCACACTTCCTCACAGAGAGATGAGATTAACTGAGAGCTCAGCCGTCCAGAGTTTGTTTGGTTCTGTGTGTTCTTTGTTGGCCTGACGTGGTTCTGATTGAATTGTGGGAAACAAAACGTTATTTTCTCAAAGATCTGAATCCAGTGTGTTGATAATATTTTTTTGTTTTTTTTCAGGCAGTAATTCATCGGTGAAGTCCGATCGATCGAAGGATCGAGACAAACCCACGGAGTCTACCTCCAAAGACGAAAAGAAAAAGAGGTCTGCCCCAACACCTGCCCCGACAGCGGCTAAAGGTGGAGCACCTTCAGCCCCGGTGGCTAAAGGCGGGGCCCCTGCACCGTCCCCAGCCAAGGGAGGGGCTCCTGGATCTACCTCAACAAAGACGAGCAACACTGGAGCTTCTTCAGGTAAAGGAGGGTCGTCCGGACCCACACCGGCCAAAAGGAGGCGCTAGATCCTACAATATTTAAAACCAGACTTTTACTTTGTCAGACTTCCTGGGACTAGTGAATAGAAATTGATTTATTCTTTTTAATGCATTTCTTGAGCCAACTTGTTGTTTGGCACAAATGGAGCTTCTTTTGAACCAGCAATCTGCCGGAACAGTCCGTGATCCAGCAGTCTCAAAACCTTTGCATGGTTTGTATTTTTTGGACAAATGGCTTAAGTTTGATCGCATATTTTGATTAGAATATTCTCTTTTCAGATTTTTTTAAAAAAAGTTTGTCCTGAAATTCTATTTATTATACAATGTTGATTTCTGCAATTGATTGTCACGAGCCTGGTATTCATGTTATTTTGTATTTGTTTATCTATTTTTAAATAAAAGTCTGCAGTGCTTCACACGAGCGTCAGTCTGAGGATCCTTCTGCTTCAATCAAGAAGTAAAACCTTTTGAGAACCACAGTGACAGATCGCTCATGAACAATGTTCCATCAAGAAGGAAGTGCAGTGTTGTGGCTACAGTAATCAGATTACTTTTCAAGTAATTAAGTAGAGTTCTGCAATACTTTGAAAATACTTAATTATTCATTGTAACATAATACAGCAGTGGAAGCAATGTGGGGATGTTATGGTTCATTTATAAAGACAAGTGTTTTACACACACTGACCAGGTCGACACACACACATGTGTGTGTCTCATGAGTGTGCGTCTCGTCTGTGTCTGCAACATGGGTGTTCACACTGATCACACCACAGCAAAAAACATGGCCTCACATTCACGAGGCGGAAGAGGGAACATGGGCCGAGGAACTCTGTTTTTACTGTTTTATTCTTACACAAGTGCAGTCTTAATATATATATGATAATATATACATATATATAATTAGTAGTAGTAGTAAGTAATCTTTATTTATATACCGCCTTTTTCACTGCACATCGGAGTCTCAAAGCGGTTTACAATTGTTATTTTTGGGAGCAGGGGGGCCAGTACAGGAGGCACATGCCAGACCTATTGTACATATTTTTAGTGGTAGGGGAAACCGGAGCACCCGGAGGAAACCTACGCAGACACGGGGAGAACATGCAAACTCCACTCAGAAAGGCCCTGGTCCAACCGGGATTCGAACCCAGGACCTTCTTGCTGAGAGGCGAGAGAGCTATCCACTCAGCCACCGTGCCGACCAATTAGCTCTCCCAGAGAAACTTTTGGAGGCAAAGTCAAAGCAGCATCATTTTAGTATAATTCTCTGGGACCGCAGGCACAGAGCCAGGTGCATGCTGGGACCTTGACCTTGCCCTGGACCTTAGCATTAGCAAGACAAACCCGTCACACAGAAATGAATGCAGGCCAGCGCACGTTAACCATGCTAATGGTTCACTAATGTCATGCTAATTTAACGCTAATGACATGCTAATACCCCCTGAAGACTTCATTTGGAGCAAACACGGCCTGCTCTGTTTACTTTCAGAACCTAACTCCATGTTTAAATATTTGTATCCGACATTCTGCAGTAAAGTAAAAACCGGGTCAGTGGGTCCAAACTACAATCTGTCCCCAGTAACGATGTTAAATCTATCAGTTATGGCTGAAGAGTTTAAACAGTCAAATGCTCACCTGTGTATGAACCTCAACACTGGTCCTGATGCGGTTGCCACAGCAACCATCCTTTGGTTTCCATGGGAACAGCTGATTTGTAAGAAACTCGAGTGATGCTTATCTTTATATGTACATATACATTTGTGTGTGTGAGGGGGGCGGGGAGAATATTTATTTGGGAATCACAGTAGGTAAATGTCAATGTTGCAGCGCACAGACAGGACAGAGACACAACATATACACAACACACAACATATACACAATAAGTAGCTGCTGTTTCTTAGCTAGCTGTAAATACTTCAATATCAATCTTTCAAAATATCTACCGTGTATGGTGCAACGTTATATACATTTTGGGCAGGATAAGTAGAAAGTGACATTACAGTGGACATTCTGAAGCTACATGATTGCACTAAATGCTATTTACAGATGAATGCTAAGTACAGACTCAGCAGTTCTCCTTGTACAGTCTGACAGAAGCCTTCACACAGCGAGGGTGAATAAGCCTATCACTCTAGCTGCTCTACAGACCAAACAGGGTCCCTGTAGGGGTTCACTCATGGTACACACATGGTTCACAGATGGTTCACACATGATGCACACATGGTTCACACATGGTTCGCAGATGGATCACATGACGTAAAAAGGAAACATGAAATAGTGAGGCGCTCAGATGTAGAACTATAGTGATCTCTTCTATCCGTTACGACAGAAACTGCATAAATCTGTTTATATAAAGTCACCAACCGCCTCGCGACCCGCGCTTCCATCACGTGTCTCCGTTTTTAAATCTATTTAATCCATAATAATCTTGGTCTGTTTTTCTCCTGTTGCTTCGCTTCTGTCTCTGTCAGAGGACACTTCCTATTGGCTCAGAGTTCCGCAATCCCCGCCTATTTATTGACCGCAAACACTTTTCATTGGTGCAGAGGATTCCGTCTCTGGTGTGCTTGTTTCCTATTGGCTGAGCGCTCTTCCGGGTCCCTCCCACAAGTGAGTCACAGAAGGCAGCGCGAGGAAACAGCAGCAGCCGCAGAGAAATAAGGAAACTGCAGAGCGCCGCTGAGCTGAAGGAGCGGGGAGGATTTCTGCATAAAAACAACGTAACAAGCTCTCAACCCGGGCTAAACCGAGACGTCAGCAGGTCAGGGTCTGGCGCGGTCCGGGACGGGGTAGTTTGAGTGGACTAAAGTGGGCAAACCAGAGCAGATGCAGACTGTAGATGGTGTTACGGCTGGTCCAGTGTTTTTCTACCATTGTGCCTTGGCCAGTTTGTGCGCCGAGAGATTATGTCTGAAATTATCCAATATTATCTAAAAAGAAAAACATTGGAAAAATAATATAATGTAAGAAGATTGCAAGTTTTAATTCTAAGTCCATGTTTGGTTATTCTATACACTTATAATGACACATTTGTAATCACTCTGCATTATTAATTAAACATACAGAGTTTTATATTCTTTTTTTTTTCTGTTATTTTTTTAGTCTTTAGTCCTGGCAGGGCTTGGAGCAAGGAGTGAGCAAATATGAAAACGTAATTAGAACATCATGTGAGTAGATTCGTTTGCCTTGTGGGAAATTAATTCTTTGCGACAGCAAAGAATTTGCTGTCGCCTAATTTGATTAGTTGAACATCTAATTACTCCTTGATCATGCATGTCCTTTCATTATTCATGTATAATTTGATTTCTATGATACTTGGGTCTAAGTTACCTGCCACAGTGATTCAAAAATACCCAAAATACAAAATTTTTGAGCTAAATTTTTATGATATTTTCTACCTTGACCAACCCAGAGTCAGTTAGACCGTAAAATACCCTAATTAAGGTATTTTTCTTCAATTTGTATTCATCGTGGAGGGTATTTTTGACCCGAGGTTAGCACAAGTGAGTTCTGTTTGTACATTTGCGTAATAATATTTGATAAAAGCTAGTACAAGAATGAGAAAGGAGAAGAAAAGGCAGAGATCTACACATGAAGGCTTTGGTTTGTATTGACAGAATGGACTGGAGCCTGAGCTGAGGAGACGTAGATGCAACGGGAAAGACTTTTGAAGATGTGTGCAAAGATTTGGTTTCTGGAGATTGCTCAAAGGTGAGTCATAATGTAGAAATATGTGCAAGAAGAGATTTTTAACAAACGGACCCAAGATAAGCTCAGAGTTGTGTGTTATTACAGATGTTTGTCCCGTGTTTTGTGATAAATCTGCTCTTGTACCTCATGGACTTGTTGAATACATTACTTAGTTTTTTCAGAATCTGTGTTTAATGACTTAAGTTTCCTAGATTTTAGTAATGATTGATTGATTACTAGTGTTTTCATCCATAACATAGAGCAGTTTGTTGTTTTAGTTAGATTTAATATATAGTGATTCTGGAGATTTGAAATAAAACTTCAACTTTGATTTAGTAGTATGGAAAAATGTGTCCAAAAGTGGTACTGCAGCCTCTCCCACTCTCCCTGACTCAGGTTGCCAGATATGCAGACGAATCCAGCTGGGACCATAACAGCTGAATAGACAAGAGTTTAGTCAACAACAAATCTATAACCAACACCTTTTTCACAAAGATAGAAATCCTGGTTTTATTCCTTGTTTTGTCGTTAATGATTTGAGAATCATAACGAGACCTTTTTTAGTTCTGCGCCACATGGTACTTTACCAGTGAGATTAGCTCCACGCGGTGAGTTCTGGCGCCCGGAACATGGACTTTCTGATTGGTGAAACGGTGGAGGGCGGGACATTGAAATTAAAACAATAACAAGATTTAGAGGCTGGAAAAGTAATTTAGAAATTCAAATATCTCTGAACTACTGTTATCAGTTAAAGAAGTGTTGGAAAAGAGCAGTTTATTATTATGACAGATTAGGGCCCTTTAATGATGACGGATTAGGGCCCTTTAATGATGACAGATTAGAGCCCTTTAATGATGACGGATTAGGGCCCTTTAATGATGACAGATTAGGGCCCTCTAATGATGACAGATTAGAGCCCTTTAATGATGACATGAACATGCACTTCCGTTTCTGCTTTATCTACTCT